CCTCTGAGCGGGGGCGCGGCGGAGCCGGGAGCCGCCCGCGTCTAGAGCGGTCGGTGCGCCATGGAGCTCGGGGGCCCTGGGGCGCCGCCCCCGCTGCTGCCCGGGCTGCTGCTGCTCCTGGGGACCGGCCTCCTGCCGGGTAAGTTTCGGGGCGCCGAGCTAGACCCTTTGCGTCGGGCCAGGTGCCCGGGACCCGGAAGCCAGAAGAGGGGAGGCTCTGGCTGCAGTGCTAAAGCTCGGGTGCGCGCAGCGGGGCGGCCACGGGGACGCCCCTATCCGCGAGAGGCGCACGCTGTCCTTCGACGCAGGCTGAGCCCAGCCGGGAAGGAGCCTCGCTCCGCTAACGTCGGGAGAGGGGTCTGGGTGGGAGAGAGGGGTTCCGACTGCCTTCCTGTTCGGAGCCGACCCAGCACCTCCAGCCGGAGTGCCCGAGCGGGCTATTCCCTCACCAGGTTACCTGCAGACCCCGGTCTGCTCCGGGTTTAGGGTATCAGAGTGGAGCAGCCTGTGCCCTTGGGGGCCCCCACCCCGCCTTTTCCACTCCCCCAGGCTCCCTCCGCCTGCCCTTCTTCCCGTTCTCTGGGCAGCCACTCTGCAGCACCCTCTAGCCCGGGGCTTCCAGCCGGAATTTGACCCCAGCCTCCTCAGTGAGGGCCCCGCGCCGTCCAGGTCAAATGAACTGGGGAAACGTGGAGCCCATGCTCCCGGGTGTCTACAAGCAGTGGGTGGTTCCCAGGTGAGCAGATCCAGCGGGGAGCCGGGTTCTCCCCTTCTGTGAAGCAGCTGCTCCGAGGAGGCAGGGAGGCCCTGAGGCCACCAGAGGTCCGGGAGGGCCCGCCCTGGAAGCCCGGTGGGGTCTCAGGGAAGGCACCCTGTGTGTCTACCCAGCAACACAGGCTGTCTGTGGCCATGAGGCTCCTGGGGTCCTAGTCAGTGGCAGCACTGACCGCTCCCCAGGCACAGCTCCCTCTGTGCAGGAAGCAGGCGCTGCAGGAACAGGACCCCCCCCCCCATCTCTCTGCTCCTCTGTCCCAGTGCTGCTGTCACCTCTTGTCCTTTGTCTCTGCCGGTCACTGTAACGCAGTCCTTCCCTCAGTAGTCACCATCTGCTGGGAGACACAGCCTCTACTGCACCCCAAGCTGGATCCATTGTCTGGTTTTGTGGTGAGGTGCAGGGTACCAGGAAGGCCTGACCCCACCTGAGCAGTCTGGAGAAGGCTTCCCCGAGGAAGGTACAGTTACCTTCTGGAGGCAGGGGAAGCTGAGGCTCGGAGTGGGGCAGAGCACGCCCTGGAGAGGCAGCAGCACATGTGGGGGTCTTTAGGCGGGTGGGGACTGTGCGGAGCTGAAGGAAGGGGCTGTGGCAGGGGCCTGTGTGACGCTGGATGGAGGAGGAGCCTGGATGACACCGGCCCTTTTGCACTGGCCGCTTGCCTGTCTCTCCCACAGTGCGCAGCCACGTGGAGACCCGGGCCCACGCGGAGGAACGGCTCCTGAAGACCCTCTTCTCCGGCTATAACAAGTGGTCCCGGCCCGTGGCCAACATCTCAGATGTGGTCCTTGTCCGCTTCGGCCTGTCCATTGCCCAGCTCATTGACGTGGTAGGTGTGGGCAGGGCGACTGCGTAACCCTGCAGGGTAGGCCCTGTAGGAGGGCGGCTGGGACGGGCAGAGGACACCTTGAAGCGTTCATGTTCCGTGTCTGGCCATGACAAGCTGGCCAGAATGAGCCCAGCAGGTGTGCCTTCCTGACAGCCCCGCTCTTGCTCCATAGAGGAAAACCAGGTGACCAGGCTTTTGGCTCTGGCCCCTTCAGCAGCCAATAATGGAAAACACCTCAACGGGCAGGGACGGGCAGTACCACAGCCTCGCACAGCTGGGCTGCAGGGGCTTTTCTTGTGGCACTGGGTGGCGGGGCAGGCATTGTTGTGTCCTAGGGATACCCTTGACCTGGGCCTAATCCCAGAGGCTCTTGAGTATCTGAGCTCTGGGTTTGGGTTCTGGATGAGTCTCAGGCTCTGTGGACCTTGAAGGTCCAAGAAGTCTGCTGAGAGGGCATGTAGGGTCTAGCTGGGGCCCCTGCAGCGTGGGCCGGAGTGTAAGGAGCCCCTGTTCAGGGGAGCAATTGAAGGCCGTGTCACAGCCGCTAGAAGCGTGCTGCAAGAGACCCAGGGCCTTGTGCATAGCAGGGAAGCTCGGTTATGCACCCAGCATTTCCTGGCCAGGCTCAGCTGCTCTGCTGGGAGTGGAACCAATCTTTGAGGTCATTGGCTGGGTGCCATTGCGCAGCCTGGAGGGTCTTACTGTGTTTCAGCAGCACCTACCACCCTGCCTGTCACGGTAGGCCTTGGAGTGTGGGCTGTGGCAGGTCAGCGGGAGGGAGGGACAGACCAGGGCCTTGCAACTGGGGAGGCCAAGGCCATCTGGTTAGAAGGGCTTGAGTTTTCCTATAGGGATCCAGCCATCTCCAGCCCCTCTGAAGTCCACCTTGCTAGGCCCAGGGACAGAGCCGGAATCTGGATGGGGTAGCCAGCCACTGCAGGTGCTGCAACATTTCCAAGGGGGGCTGCCAGTGTGGAGGTTCTGGCTCCAGCCTGACTTTGCATTGGGTGGCCCTCTGTGCCCTAGTGTTCTTGCCAGATGTGGGCTGAGTGAGCAGCGTCTGGGGCTTTGGACGGTGTGCGTTTCCGGCCTGCCTGGGGCTGTACATAGACCCCAGCCGGGAACCCTGTTCGGAGCTGACACTCAGACTCCTGCCTTGAGGTGTCCCGGAACTAGCCCTTGAACGTTCCTGAAGCGTCCCTGGAAGGGGCCCAGCCAGAGGACAATGCAAGATGTGCGTGCTCCGTCAACCCTGCTGCGGTTTGCAAACATGTTTGCAAAGTGGTGGCTGGCGGAGGCAGCCATTGGCCGCTGCTCAAGGCTCCAGGTCTGCCACCGCCTGAGTTCCTAGCCGAGCCTGTCAGGGCTCACCATTGTGTCCCCTCGGCCACAGAACCCTGGGTTTCCCAGGAGACACCGAGACTTAGTGCACAGCTGAGACCCCAGTTAGGGCTGTGGCTCCCAGCAGCGGGCTGGGTGGGGTCCCTTGTGAGGGCTCAGGCTGTGTGTGCCGACACAGTGGCCCCTGGCCGGAGCTGTGGCTGAACCTGTGGCTGGAAGAGGCCTCGCTGCATCTGGCCCACCTTGCCTGTGCTGGCCCTGGTGCCTGCTGCCTGTGTCTCTTGGCGCAAACTCCTGGGCCTCCTGGGTCTCTGTCTGGGAGAGGGGCTGTGTAATGCATGTGTGATTCACACCCTGGTGCCAGCTGCAGAGGAGGCCACGGAATCCCCAGTGGTTTCCTGACCTGATGCTGAGGCTCGTTGACGTCTGCTGCTTCCAAGGACACTGGGGGAGTGACAGCTGGCCACGAGGTCTGGAGAGATGCCTCACAGGAGGGCCTGGCACAGCCACCATGGATTATTCCTGAGGACCCTGGAGCCCCCAGCGGGGGTGGGAGAGGCTCTCCCCACTCCTGGCTTCCTGACATGGGATCAGGTCACATGAGAATGTGATTGTGCAGGGACCTTGTCATGTGGGGTGAGGCTGTATAGGCAGTGCAGGGTGGCAGCTATGCTGAGGCCGGGCAGCAGACTACGTGCTGTGAGCCATGTCCCCCTCCTCAGCATCCTGCCAAGGAGGGGCTGGCTCAGGTGACCTTCCCCCAAAGCTGGGAGGGAGCAGCACGGGGCTGTCAAGGTGTCTGGGAAGGAGCTCAACCAACAGCAGCCGAAGGGGCCACTGCAGTCAGCGGAACCTTGTCCCCAGTTTCTTTCTGGAAAAGTTGCAGGGCTCCTGGGCCACCATCCTGGGCTTGGGTGCCTCCGGGGACAAGGCGCTCACTCTCTCTGAGGTCCAGCACTGGCCATGTTTGCCGTGGCTGTGATAGGAAACTCGGGATCAGAGGAGATGATGTGTCACCAAGAGGGTCTCAAGCTGCCTTCTCGCTTGGGTCCTAGGATGAGAAGAACCAGATGATGACAACGAACGTGTGGGTAAAGCAGGTGAGTGGGGGGTCTGCCCCGCCCCTGCCCTCTCCCTGCGCTCTCCCCCATGCCCCTCTCACCCATGGCTCTGTCCTACCCAGGAGTGGCATGACTACAAGCTGCGCTGGGACCCTAGTGACTACGAGAACGTCACCTCCATCCGCATTCCCTCCGAGCTCATCTGGCGGCCAGACATCGTCCTCTACAACAAGTGAGCCCTGGGAAACCCTGAGGGGCTAGGGCTGGGCCTGGGCCCATCAGGGAGAAGTCCATTTTCTGTGTTGGGGACCCCCTGGCAGCAAAGAATCTGAATATGTCAGGGTACTGAGTTCTGAATTGTTGGAGCCAGAGGGGCCTGGGTCCTGCCTGCCTACACCAGCACTATGCAGAGGGGTCTCCTGTCCGTTCCTGCCAGTCTCCCTCCTGCGGGCAGGAGAGGGTGCAGCACCCCTGCCCCTGTCGTGCTCATGTTGAGCTCACAGGCCCCAGGGCTGCTTCCCCTTGCTGGAGTGATTTTCACACCCAGCCTCCTGCCAAAGTCCACCTTCTGGAGAAAGCACGAAGTGGTGGGGTGCTCTGGGAGGTGGGGAGGGGGCCCCAGGTGGCTGTCCCCATGACTGCCCCACAGCTGGGCACTGTGCAGTCAGCAGTCCCGGCGCACCATGCTCTCAAGTAAAGCAGCCGGTCGTCAGGTCCTGAGAAGATGAGCTGAGATCTGTCCCTGAGATGCTTTGTTGTACCTGGGAGCCAGAATGGCGTTTCCAGGGACTGGCCCTGGCAGGATGTGGCCGCTGCAGCTTGTCCTGTGGACCCTCACCAGGGATTCGGGCCACTGGTCCTTGAGGCACAGCAGCCAGCTCTTTCTAAGCTGAATCTGCCCAGGGACAGCTCTCCAGCTCAGGGCTCCGGTGGCGGCAGCTCTTGCAGCACTTACAATGAAGAAGTGGAAGCCCCTTGTGCGCCTGGTGCTGACCATCTGCCCACAGCCCCCTCCAGGCCCCAGGGATCTGCCTGACCTACAAACGTCCCTATTTGATTAGGAACGATTGGGCTCCTCTTCCCACTTAATTGAGTCCCATAATGGCTACAGCCTTGTCATGTGAAAGGGCTTGGGCTGGTTCTCCAGGATGCATTAAGGGAAGGCAGCCAGCGCTGAGCGGGGAGAATGTGGCCACTGCTCTTCTGTGGGGTGGGCTCACTGCCCTTGGCAACTGCTCCGTCTGAACCACAAGCCCCAGCCCCACCCTGGGATGGCGAGTGGTTTGCCCAGGGCGGGACAGACTGGCCCCAGGTGGGAGTGGGCAGGCAGATAAGCAGGTCTAGGACCCCAGGACCAGCACTCCGGAGCCCAGGACTCATGAGGGAGTGGGTCAGCACTTAGGGCCCGGCAGCTGCTAGCCAGGGTGAACCCTGCTGCTCGGCAGGGGCGGCCCGCACTCTGGTGTCGGTTCTGGGGACCCACGGTCTAGGGACTTCCACGAGATTGGCCCCTGACCTAGAGCCCAGAAGTCCCTGACTTGGTGTTGGTGGGTGGGCAGAAGGGCTTGCTGTGCCTCTGCGCTGGAGCAGGTCCAGAGCAGGCTCATGGGTCTGTCAGGCAGCTCAACCCAAATGCTCATGCCACAGGCTTCTGGGCCTCCGAGGTGCTGGGATGGACGTGGGACGGGAAACGTTGCGCTCATCTGGAGCGCCCCCTGACGGCTCCCTGGAAGCTGCTGTTCTGAGGGCTGGGTTGCCCATAGATCTTCAGGGGCCATGCCTTGGGCACCTGTGGAAGAACAAAGAATCAAGAACTGCTTCGCATGGCGCTGGAGCTCTACGGGTCCCCCCAGCACCACCTGCACAACTGTGGGGCCTCACAGCAGCTCCCAGAGCAGGAAGGGCAGGAGCGGGGGCCCTGTGTCCTCGGAGACCCTCTCTTTCCTCAGGCAGCGTGCGTGGGGAGGTCTCAGGTGCAGCCCTGTGAGTGTGAGGCAGCGTGAGTGTAGAAGCCAAGTCCTCCTCACAGACTCCAGAGGGCGGTGGGCTGGGCTGGCAGGGTGAATAGGGCAGTGGGGGCAGCAGAGCCAGGTGGACGGGGCTCTGAGCCCTGGACCACACCCAGGGCCTGGGGCTGCTCCAGCGAGCTGAGCACCCCGCTCTGCTGGGCCACTGCAGCTGCAGCTGTCTGACCTCCTGTGGATGTTTGCTGAGCCAGGATTCGCTTGCGTGCCGTGGGAAGAGTTGCGTTTTTGCCTGAGGGGAAGGCTTTGAGTTTTGGAGAGACGGGGCTGGGAAGAGGAATCCACACTGGCTGCGGTGTGTGGCGAGATCCGCCTCCGCGCCCGCCCGAGGGAGCCCTGGCTTCCACACGGAAGGAAGCCGGCCCGCGCCTGGAGCCTCATTGGGATGCATGTGCAGAGCCGAAGCGGTGGTGGCTCCCTGCATCTGCAGCGGCCGCACAGCGAGGCAGGCCTGTGGCTGGCCCAGAATGAGGGGGACGCGGGGGGGAGCTGAGACCTTGGGACTCCCACTCAGTGACCTTGGGGTGCTGCTCAGCAGCAGGGAGAGTCCCCGGGGTCCCTCGTGGCTGCCTCTACCCAGTGACTGGTCTGGACTAGATGGGGAGACAGCAGTCGGCTGGGCCCCTTCTACCTGAGGACCTTGAGAGGCCCTGGCCTTCGAGCCAAGTCTTGGGGACAGAGACGGAGAAGGGGTGTGCAGAGGGTCCAGTGAGTCAGCAGACAGAGGCTGCGTGTGGCTAGGGCTGTCTTGCTCTGCGTGCGGGGACCAGCACGGTGCACGCTGGCGCCTTTAATGGGGAAGTTAATCAGGCCTCAGCACTTATTAAATGCTTCCCATCTGCATTCAGATCGAGGCTGGCAGGGCCGGCCCAGAGGGGCCCAGGCCTCAGCTGCTGCCCCTGCAGCTCTGTGGCTGCCAGGCTGGCATCAGGGTGGACAGCCTGGGTCTTGAGGGAACCTGAGGCCTGGAGAGTGGGACACTGGGAGCCCGGGTTGCACAGGGTACGAGTGGCACCTTAGACCAGGTTCTCCCATTTCAGGGGACAAAAGTGTGAGGGAAGCTGAGCCGACCCAGGAGCAGAGCAGGGCTTTGTGGGTGCTGCCGGCTGCTGCCCCTGAGTTCCCACAGTGAGCAAGTTGAGGCACACACATCACTGTGAAGTCCAGCGGTCAGGACTGCCCACCAGGAGGAGGGGCCCAAAGGACAGCAGGCCCTTGCCCTGTTGCTGATTCCAGTCTGTGGCAGGACACTAACACCTCTAAAGCATAGGTAGAGGCCAAGACGCTGGCCCTCAAGCAGGCGGCCCCTGTTTGTGCCAGCCCCGTGTCACTCCTGGGCCACCCAATGTCATGCTTGCCTCCGGGGCTGCAGCAGCCTTACCCTGTAGTGCAGGGAGGTGGCCTCTGAGTCCCTGAGGTTGCCAGGAGAGAGTGCCCTTCCCAGGGGAAGCTGGGTGCCACACTGAGTCTGGGCTCCCACGGATGGGACAGACAGCCCTGCTGGAGAGCAGTGGGCCTGTCTACCCACCTGGTCTGTGCTGAGGTCCATGATGGGCGAATGGCGCCTGCAGAACATGTGGCAGTGCCCGGGGTGCCCGCTGAAGCTTTGCTGGGTGGCACTCAGAGCTGTTTGCATGTCCGCCCCAGGAGAGGTCTGCTGAGCAGCTCCTGAGCCTGTCACCCACTTCACAAGGCAGCAGCGTGCATGGGCTGGGGGAAGCATGCCCCTGCTGAGCTTGGCATCTCTGCTCCTGGGCCCAGAGGAGTCCCCGGCCCTTCCCAGTGGACACGTACACACTCTGCACAGGACGCAGCCCCCTCCTGTGACCTCCAGGCTGTGCACTGGTGCCCGGCAGGGCTGGCTGCCAGTGCCAGGACCGAGGAGGACCTGGCACCGAATGCTTGTGACCCTCGAGTGTCAGCCAGCAGGAGGGGCTGCTAGGTGGAGAGTCTGGGATACCTACTCAGAGGGCAAAGGCGCCGAAGCGTCTCGGCATCCTTCAGAGGTGTGTGTGTATGGGGACACCGAGAGCCCCGGAAGCAGGAGCCAGAGCCTGGCCCCATACCCTTGCCCTGAGGGATGACAGCTGTCTCGAGCAGCAGTGACACAGCATGGTGTGCAGGCACAGCTGTCCCTCCTGTGTTCTCTGGACCACGTGGCTGCCCTCTCAACTCGGGTGATAAACTGAGGCACCCAGAGCCACGTGCCCAACTCCCCAGGGCCCCGTGACCGGTGGAGTCTGTCATGGAGGCTGCAGGTCTCTCTTGGTGCAATGTGGGCATGTAGGTGCATGGGAGGATGTCGGGGTGCGGATGTGCGCAGGCCTCATGCTGTTCTCTCCTGCCTGCAGTGCGGATGGGGACTTTGCTGTTACCCACCTGACCAAGGCCCACCTGTTCCATGACGGGCGGGTACAGTGGACGCCCCCCGCCATCTACAAGAGCTCCTGCAGCATCGACGTCACCTTCTTCCCCTTTGACCAGCAGAACTGCACCATGAAGTTTGGGTCCTGGACCTATGACAAGGCCAAGATCGACCTGGTGAACATGCACAGCCGTGTGGACCAGCTGGACTTCTGGGAGAGTGGAGAGTGGGTCATTGTGGACGCGGTGGGCACCTACAACACACGGAAGTATGAGTGCTGCGCTGAGATCTACCCTGACATCACCTACGCCTTCATCATCCGGCGGCTGCCACTGTTCTACACCATCAACCTCATCATCCCCTGCCTGCTCATCTCCTGCCTCACCGTGCTGGTCTTCTACCTGCCCTCTGACTGCGGTGAGAAGATCACGCTGTGCATCTCCGTGCTGCTGTCGCTCACTGTCTTCCTGCTGCTCATCACCGAGATCATCCCATCCACCTCGCTGGTCATCCCGCTCATCGGCGAGTACCTGCTCTTCACCATGATCTTCGTCACACTGTCCATCATCATCACGGTCTTCGTGCTCAACGTGCACCACCGCTCGCCGCGCACGCACACCATGCCCGCCTGGGTGCGCAGGGTTTTCCTGGACATCGTGCCGCGCCTGCTCTTCATGCAGCGGCCCTCTGTGGTCAAGGACAACTGCCGGCGGCTCATCGAGTCCATGCACAAGATGGCCAGCACCCCGCGCTTCTGGCCCGAGCCCGAGGGGGAGCCCAACATGCTGAGCGGCTCCCGCAGTCAGGGTCCATCTCCCACCCCGTCCTTCAGTGTCCCTCCAGAGATGCCAGCGGAACCCCAGCCTTCATGCAAGTCACCCTCCAGCCAGGCGCCTGCTCTGCAGCCCTCAGGGGCCGAGAAGGGCAGCCCCTGCCCCTCACCTAGCCCTTGTCCCCCACCCAGCAGCACCAGCGGCTCTGGGCTCACCAAAGCCAGGTCCCTGAGCGTCCAGCACATGTCCAGTCCCCACGAGGCAGCAGAGGGCAGCGTCCGGTGCCGGTCTCGGAGTATCCAGTACTGCGGTCCCCGGGACGGTAATGCCTCCCAGGCCAACAGCCCGACCGCTGGCCCCCCAACCTCTGTAAAGGCCCGCTCAGCTGAGCTGCCCCCAGACCAGCCCTCTCCATGCAAGTGCACGTGCAAGAAAGAGCCACTGGTGGTGTCCCCGGTCACTGTGCTCAAGGCCCGTGGCACCAAAGTGCCACCCCGGCACCTGCCCCTGTCACCAGCCCTGACTCGGGCGGTTGAGGGTGTCCAGTACATTGCCGATCACCTGAAGGCAGAAGACTCAGATTTCTCGGTGAGTCCGGGTCCTGTGGCTGTGTCTGGGAGGTACCCCTCAAGGGATGAGAAGATGCCCTCTGTCTCTGGCTGATGACCGAGACGAGGCCCTGGCTGCTCAGCTGTGGGTATGTAGTGTGGCTTCTGCCTGGCAACCATGTGGGTCGCTGAGCCAAGCTGGAGATAAATAGGTGTCCCCGAGTAGCTGGTGACGGTAGAGGACCAAGATGGTGCCCCTTTTGGTGTTGGGCCTTGGAAGTACTGGCAGGTGGCAGAGTGAGGGTGGCCAGCAGCATCAGTGGTCAGCAGAGGTCTTCCCTGCAGGGTTCAGGCTATGGTTGACCAGTGGGATCTCCTGCCACCCTTGCCTCGGTGATGGGGCTCGGTCCACGTGTGCCTTCTCCTAAACATAGGCATTTCTGCCTTATGCGGCCCTGCTGGGGGGCTCCTGCACGGGCTGGGCAGAGGTGTCGGGGCCTAGGAGAGAGGAATGGGGCTGACAGAGGCTGTGGGTGGGGCTGGACAATCTCTGAGGCTTCCCAGAGAAAAAAGTTGGGGTCTGGACACAAATGCACATGGCCAAGCCAGGGAAAGAGCTGCAGAGTCACTGGGCCCAGCGCAAGGCCCTCAGGGACCTGGGGGCTCCAGAGCACAGGTCCTCGGCCGAGACCCACCCCCACCTGCTTCTTGCTCTCTATCAGCGTGATAGTGACCGGGCCTCCAGGCTCAGCTGTGTCCTTGACCCGAGGCAGGCATGCGGCTTAGGCTCCCGCAGGCGGTGGGCCCAGCTCTGGGTTAGCACTGCCTCAGCCCCTGCCGCCAGTATCGCCCCCTTTTCCTTCTGTGACATCGCCAGCCTTCCCCACGCAGGGGCCTCCAGGGCTCGGGTCTTGGCTCAGATAAGGCTGGGACTCAGGGCCCTGTGCGGCTGGCAGGGCTGCTGGCCACGTCGCGGGCTCTGCCTGCTGGGGGCACAGAACTGGAGGGGGGGACCTGGAGGCCGGCCAGGGGTGGAAGGTCAGGACCCACTCAGCCGGGGCCTCTGCTGCATCAGCTGCATCTGCTCTGACTCAGCAACTGTCCTTCACAGCGATCTTGCCCTGGCCTGGCCCTGCCACATCCCTGCTGCTGCAGTCCCTCCCAGGGCCCCTCGGCTGCTTGCCAGCTCCTCTCCCCAGCCCGAGGCCCTGCCCGGCCTCAGCCCCCAGCTGTCAGACATTTGCTTCCTGGAGCTGAATGAGAGCCCAAAGAAGGGGAGCTGCTGCCCACACCCAGGGAGTGAGTCATGGCTCCCGTGAGTCAGGCCACTGAGTCTCGAGAAGCTGTGAACCTATTCTGGAGTTTTCCTGAAGGTTCTGGGCTGCACAGACCTGCTGGGAGAGGTGCCAGCTCTGGGACCTGTTTGGCTGCAGCTCCCGAGGCATGCGAGTGGGCTGCTGTCTTACTTTTCTCTCATTGCTGAGACAAAATACCTTATGGAGGGTTCAGTCCATACTCAGCTCACTCCAAGGCGGGGTGGCACGTGGCAGAGGGCAGCAGCCCATGGCGGTGGAAGACAGCAAAAGCAGCAAGAGAGAGGAGGGGGAGAGAAGGAACAAGCCTCCTGTCCCTTACAGTGTATGTAGGCTCCCCGCCCTAGGGCAGTCAAGCACTCACACCCTTAATCCCAGCCTTGGACCATGAATCAACCACAAACTCTAGACTCAGACACCTCTGAAAAGCACCCCGCCCCCGCTGCCCTTGTGACTGTGTGAGGCTTTAGGGGGACATCCAGACACTAACCCTAACAGCTGTTGAGTACCACCATGCCATCAGAAGTTTACTCAAAATCTTCACGAGCCTGGCTTGTTGCCAGCTCAGAGGAGGGGAGCTGGAGCTTGAGGGCCCCCTCCACTCCGATCTGCTGATGCTGACCTGGTTCTGATTCTGGGGAGCAGCACTGGAGGTGGAGCCCTGGACAGCAGGGAGGCTCTGGTCTGCCGCTTGGTTCCTCTCAGGATGGGCTGAGCACCGGGCATAGGGAAAGAGTTCAAGGCAATCAGAAGGAGCCCTGCAGGCCTGCTGCCCCCGCCTCTCCTGAACAGGAGTCCCAGGGGGGCTTTTTATTTAGAAGTGACCGTGTTCGCTCTGAGGCTTTGTGAAAGTAAACACAGCCATGTAGGTTTGGTTTAGAACGATCAGGATGCCTGAGATTGCTTTGAAAAATCAGGGCAGATGCCCCTAAGCTGGAAAGCTGACTTCTGTCCCTGTCCCAGGCTTGCCAGGCCTGTCCACCCCTCTGCTGGCCGGAGCTGGTGCCTGCTGTCTCTTGTTCCGGCCACTCCTGTCCACCATCCTGCTGGCCCCAGGTTCCATCCTGAAAGCAGCTCCAGTCAAGCCTAGGGGCTGTCCCAGGCTTGTCCAGACGGCTGACTACCATACAGGACAGATGGCAGAGCAGGGGCCTGCAGCAGCCTCAGGCGGCAGAGCAGCCGAGGCCAGGGCCATGTGCAGAGGAGTCCCCAAGGACTTGCTAGCCCCAGGCCTGGCCAGACAACACATTAGTCTGCCCTGAATCTTTGCTCTGGGATCCCCCTGGGGAAGTGGCTGCCCTGCACTAGCCCCCTAGCAGAGGCAGGCACCTGGGCTGGGGTCGCTCTCAGAGAGGTGTAGCCGTGGCCCCTCCTTCCGTTGCTCGTGCCTCCGTGTTCCAGTGTCACAGGACAGTCCAGGTGGGGACAGGGTGAGGCAGACAGGGCCTCGTGCATGTCTGCTGCCACAGTCCACTCTCTGTCCCAGCTGCTCCACCATTGCCATGGAGTTGTCATCCGGCAGCCTGCCCTGTCCAGACCTGCTCCAGGCCCTGCGTGTGCCAAGTGTGGGCACCCACCCCGAGCAGGAGGGAGGTATGGGCAGTCAGGCCCTGCCCTGGCTCTTGGGACCGCGCTTGCCATGGGGGCTCCTCCTCGGGAACTGACATATCGCCCAGCAGCTCCGACCTACTCCCTCACAGCCAGGCTGGCGGGCGTCAGCGCTCCGGGGCCCACTTTCTGTCTGTGCAATGAGGAGGTGGACTTGGTCTCCATGGCCTCTCCCCCAGCTTTAGCCAGCTGAGGACAGATGTCATCGGGCAGTCACGCAGCCCTCCCAAGCGGCCAGTCTCTGCCTCCTTCGCGCTTAGGCAGCCTGTCAGGTGGGTAAGGTCAGCTGGGGACAGTGTGAGCCCTGTCTCCTGTGAGGCCCTAGGGAGCTCCACTCCATCCGAATCCAGGGGTCCCACACACAGGTGCCTTACATGCAGCTCACGGCACCAGCTGCCCTGCAGTGCTTCCCTGCTGGGGTCCTGCAGCAGCCGCACTGTGCCGAGGGACTGGCCCTTCAACATTAGCTGGACGGTCATTTTGACATGCTCCCTCCCCACTCATCACCTCGGTGCAGGTGTGTGCCCAGGGTGTGTGCCAGTGCGTGCTTGGGGTGTGTAGCAGTGTGTGCCCGGGGGGTGTACCGGTGTGTGCACGCAGGGTGTGTGCGGGTGTATGTGCAGGTGTGCATGCCGGTGGAAAGTGGAGAACCACTGCTTGAAGCCCCGGCTTCCAGAAGGTTGTCTGGTTGCCTGTGAGGCCGAGGGCTGGGCGTGACCCAGTGTCTGTGTCTGCAGGTGAAGGAGGACTGGAAGTACGTGGCCATGGTCATCGACCGCATCTTCCTCTGGATGTTCATCATCGTCTGCCTGCTGGGCACCGTGGGCCTGTTCCTGCCGCCCTGGCTGGCCGGCATGATCTAGGGAGGGAGCTGGCATGGCCCAGGCACCTGTAGGACGCAGCGGGACTGGGCCTGCTTGTCCCTGAACCCCAGCTCCGGGGGGCCATGCCACTCTTTGTCCCTTATCTTCCGTGCCTGCTGTGAGACAGCCTTGGAAAAAGACACTGCCTCCCACGGGAGCTGGACTTTGGGTGCTGGTTCCGGTCATGCAATGGCCGGGAGGGGGCAGGGGGCTGGCATGGGATTGTTCTGTCCACAGGGCAGTGTTGTGGCAAAGGCCCATTAAAGGTTCTCCAGAGCAGATGGCACATGGCCCTCCTGACCTGCAGACGGCACATGCCTGCCTGAGCCTCTCAGATGCCCCGTGAGTGTCCTGTCAAGGGGTCACGAGGCTCTGTCCCCTCTCCGTCCCCTCTCCCTTGTTTCCATGGGGTCCAGCACCCCAGGCAGCTCCCTGTGCTGTGACGTCACATGCCCTGCCCGCCAGGGGGACCCAGGTGCGTTCATCTTGTCTCGCTGGGCTCAGTTCCTGAGAACCGAGTGCCATGCTGAGGAAACTCATGCGGAAGCTGTGTAGACAGCCCTGTTCGGAGGGGCTCCGTGCAGCCAGGCCCGAGTGTCCAGGCTCATGGGGACCTGTGGCAAGCACTACCCAGAGGCCCGGTGAGCCCAGAACCCTGAAGGCACTTGTCTGGGGATTCCCCTGGGGGGACCCAAGCAGGCTCAGGCCGCTCCTGGCTCTCCTCTGACACCCCCCACCATACAGCCTGGCAGACTGCAGGAAGGCTTTCCTGTCACAGTCGCTGTGCTTCAGCCATGGTCCCCTGCAGCGCAACTGGGACCTTGGGCAGCAGGGGTGGAAGGAGCCCAAGCCGTGTTACAGGTCAGGGACCCCTGGGGCTTCCAGACAGGCCAGAGCCTTCTGACTTGTCCTCCAAGGGTCTCAGAGCAAGGAGTGGCCTTACCTGGCCTCCTGGCTTGTCCAGAAGTGTGGGGGCTGAGGTGGTACCCCCAGCAGACAGCGATCCCAAGTGCCTGGGCGCCAGGGCAGGAGGCATCTTCCTGTGCAGTGGCCCCAGCCCTGCCCCTCCATGGACCCCCACGAGCCAAGGGGCCCGGTTCCCGAGGCCCTCTCATCTCTAGCCTGAGCTGAAATCTTGCCAGGGGCAGGAGGTACTTGGGAGAATTGGAAGAACTTGAAGAGCTTGGAGCTGATGCACACCACACACTGGCCCATGTGGCAGCCACCATGAGGTTGCTGGTCTCTGCTGGACAGTGACGTGAGGATGGGGGAGCCACCTGGGGCTAATGCCACCCATAGCTGCCACCTGCAGACACCCTAGGGTCCCTGGGGAAAAGGGGCCCTGAGTTGTACCAGTAGTGGGATGCAGAGGCCTAAGCGCCAAATCCTGGGCATCCCCAGGCCTCCGCACTGGCCCAGGGCACTGAGGGCTCTACCTGCTGAGCAAGGTCTGCACTGGTGCCAACCACCCCCTGCCTGCGCCTCAGCAGGGTCCCCAGGACATTCCCAGAGACCCCAGGTGGGTGAGTTCACGCAGCTGAGGGTTGGGGAAGCAGGCTGGAAGGTCACGGAGGATGCAGATTTCAGATGTGAGCTCCAAGATCTGAGTTGCATAAGCAGATCCAGCTGACAGATGTGTGGGCAGCTGTGGAGCCCCTGGGCAGGGCAGCTGCAGATGTTCTTTTCTGGGTCAGGACAAGTGAGTAGCTGGGGTACCCCTGCCAGGCAGCTCTCCTGTACCCAGCGACGCCAGGAAAGGAGATAAAGGGCTGCATCTCCCGCACCCAGCTTCTCATATTTGCCTGCAGTGTTGATTTGTGATTGAGGTAAAGTTTACTTACGGCAAAATGCACGAGCCGAGTCCTCTGGGCCAGTGAGTGTGAAGAAAGAGGACAGCACTGCCCCTGGCCTTCCAGTGCATGGGCACCATCCCCCAGTGCTGCGAGGCCTCTGTCCTCCCCGCTGGGGCCAGCAGCAGCTCTGACCTGACCCCTGAGCCTGGCAGCACCAGGCCCTGCAGGCTCAGGGCGAGGATGGCACGTCAGAACCTTGGGCTGGGGCTTTCCTCATTCAGTATGGTGATGTCGGTGTTCGTCTGTGTCATGTGCATTGTAGTTCATCGCTGTGCTGCATCTTGGTTCTTAGTTGCCGAGCAGTGTTCTGTCTGAATAAACAGTCACAGTGTGTTTATCCATGGGCTTTGCTTCTGGTTGTTGTCATTAGGGCTCAAGGTGCTGTGTGTCCGTCTCCCTGTGCACACATTCGCATTTCTCTTGGTGTCTAATTGCATGCCTTTATTTTCTGTACATTGTAATGTTTTGACATCTCGGGGGCCTTTCAGACCTGTGACTGCCCCTCCCAGAGCTGATTCCCTGGGGTACAGTGCTTGCCACAGGCAGGCACATCAAGGGCTGTGCTTCCACCTCGGTCCAAACTCACAGTAGCCAATGTTTCCCTGCCCTCAGCCAACCAGGGCCCCTACCAGGCCCCTAGAGGCCACCTCCTTGCTTCAAAGCCTGCTGTGGTGTCCACACTGGCCACCCGCGCTGAGTCCTGTCCTGCCCAGCCTCCAGGGCCCCTTGTGCCTCCTGACCAGCCTGGTGCTCCTCCCTGTGGCCTTGTTCAGTATGATGTGCCACTCCTCGAGAAGCAGCAGTCTTTCTAAAATGGCATGGGCCTTCCCAGCGTCTGCCATCTCCCTTATAAACTAAGACCCAGGCACACAGCTGGGAGCTGTCCTGTGTGGGTGGCTTGTCCCCTGAGGCAGAGGTAGCTGCTCTGTTCCCCACAGTGGTTGGATGTGTGTGCTTTCCCACCAAAAATGTGTGAAAGCCCAGCTACTCTGCATCTGGGACCGTTCTAGGTGGAGCAGGCCGGATGCAGCCCACACAGAGCAGGTTGGGCTGGCGCAAGGCCACTTGGTGTCCATGCACTGTCTGTCGCTGGTCTCCCAGCAGAGCAGAGCAACATTGCACAGCTGAGCCTCTTGCTGGCTGGCCTTTTCTTGGACCAGGTTGCCAGTGTCTGAAATAAGCCTGCAGCTCCCACACACACATACACACACTTACAACTTAGGTGTGCACCCTGTGCTCTGGCATTTCTAAATTCTTGTCTCTTCCATTGCAATCTGTAGAAAAGTGCTGGTTGCAGTTTACCAAGTTGATTTCTTGACCCACAGGAAGTATGCTGCTTTGGGTAGAATGCCTGGCACTGGAGTTATTCAGCTGTGGGGTTTATACTGGGTTTTAGGAGAGAGTGCAAAAATGTTTCCATAGGATTATGCTGTTTGCACTCTCGCCATCCGTAGCGGGCGCCTCCGTCACCCTAATCCCGGCTGACATTTCTTGGTATTTGCCTGCCCTTGGGGTGAGGTACATACAGCATGCATGACTCATCAGCAACATTATGCACACGCGCTTTCAGACTGGACTACCGTGGCACCGGCACCCAGACCCCTCCCCAGCGGCCAGCGCGCTCCAGGCCCGCGGTGGACAGGCTTGGACCCGGCAAGATGCACGCTCATGTGGGCTTCTGTCCTCAGCCTGTTTAGGCAGTTGCACATAGCTGGGGTTTGCGTGTGCTCGCCCACTACTCGTCCACTCTGGTGATGGATGTGTGGATGGTCCAGGTTGGGGGCTGCATGGGAGGTGTTGATTTGCCTGCTTCTGTTGGACACAGACCCGGGGCAGATGGCTTGCTTGTGGGAGGTGTGTGGCGTCAGCTTGATCAGCTGTCATCAAACCACTTTCTAAACTGGTTGTGTCAAGGAGACTCCCTCTTGCCCCAGCTTCCCCTGTACCTTCCACAGCAGGAGCTCTGATTGGTGGCCCTGGTGGGAATGCAGTTGCTTCCACTGTGGTTTGCGTTGCACTTAACTGCTACCCCCTAAACCTGGATAACACCTCCTAACCGCTAATGGGCACCTAGCCACATATTTATCAAGCTGTGTTCTTTTCCAGAAAATGCCTCTTCTCCTTTTTGTCAGTTTTCCCATCTTTAAATTGATTTCTAATTTGGTTCCTTGATAGAGACGTAGCCTGCTTAATCTAGTCCTTTGAATTTGTCACGTGTTTTTGGTTCCTGCACATGATCTGTCTTGGTCAGTGTCCCAAATACACTTGAAAAGAATTCATTTTCTTTTGTTTTGGAGAATGTTCTAGAAATGCTGACCAGGCCCATCGGGGTGATAGTGGTGTCAGGTCTTCTCTTTCCTTGTTGATTTTCTGTCTTTTTCTATGGATTCCTGAGACGGGGAGCCCTTGCTTCCAAGGATGACTGTGGATCTGTCCCTCAACCCCCCTCCCGACTGCTTTTGCTTCTCAGGCTTGGAAGTGCTGCTGTGTCCCCTTGGTGGACTGTGCCTTTGTCGTGTAATGCCCCTCTGTGCTCCTGTATTTCAACGCCGACCTTTCCTGACAGTGACATGGCTGCTCCAGCTTTCTTCTGTAGTGTTTGCGGGTCTACCTTTTCCACCTCACCTTCACCTTCACCCGTGTCCTGATGCAGCACGCGGGCTTCCAGCAGACAGCAGATCAGTTCCGAGTCTTTTAACCGCCCCACAGGTCTGTCCTGTCGCCCTGCACCACGACTTGGAGACTCCCTAGCCCGTTTTGAGCACAGTCTGTTTACGTGTGTTTTAGAGGTTCCTTCCCCAGCCTCTGTCACTTGGTGTGTTTTGGACCTGCACCTACACTCGCTGATGGGCGTTCAGATGGCTTGCACTGTGAGCCCTCCCTGGGGAAGCTGCCACGAATGCTCATGCGTGATCTCTGTGGACACCTGCTTTCATTTCTTTTAGCAAATACCTAGTAGAACCGTTGAGTCTTACAACAGTCATGTTTCTGTCTTCAAGAAGACCTGCTAAGCCGTGCTCCAACATGGTGGAGCCGCTTCACACCCTTGACCAACACTTGCTGGTTTTGGCCTTTTTAGTATTAAACCATTCCAGAGGGGGTGGTGATTCTGACCTACCTCATGGCCAGTGGACGCCTTTCCAGGTTCCTTCTGGCCACCTGCACATTGTTCTAGGGTGAAGCATCCTCCAGAATATTCTCCCACTGTTTCGTCAGACTGGCTTCTTTTTACGAGTGGCAGGAGCTGTTTTTACGTCCTGGGTAGAAGGCTGTCCTCAGATGTGGACAGCAGGAGCCTTTCCTCTCAGCTGTGACTGTTCCCTTTGTTTTCTTAAGGATGTCTTTCAAAGGAAAGCTTTTAATTTCAATGAAGTATCATTTCTTTTTTCCTTTTATTGTTACGTATCCTGTTTAAGAAATCATTGCCCTCCCCGAGGGGGTGTGTGTCCTGTATTTCCTCTAGAAAGTGTGCTGCAGCGTTTAGGTTTGGGTGTTTTGTGAACTACTGTATTTCTACAGTGCGACACCTGGGTATGGCATAGACGGTAGGCGCCTGCCTCTTTGTTATTCAAACATTGAGTTGTTTTGTCTCCATTTGTTGAAAATAGTGTTTTCAACATTTCACCTTTCCTGTGAAATGCTGAACAGTGTCTCATGGACTTTATGGGTTGGGTGGTTTGGGGACCAAGATTAGTTACTCCACTGTGGCTGGAAGCAGGAAGCCATAACTGGTGTTTTAATGCAATTTGGAGGTTCCTCTTTCAGTCAGCAAAACTCACGTTTATTGCAGGTTCTGCTACACTGGGAAATATTTGGGCCATCTCTTGTTTTTTTAAGTATGTTCTGCCCTCTCTGAAGAAGAGCGTTTGATCTAGTCAGTTATGCTCGAAGGATATAATTTGTTTTTATACTCCTGTGGCTGCTCCTAACTTAAGACAAATACTTATGTTTCCCAAAAGCTTACTGAATTGATGTGAGGAAGATCTCTACCGTGCCTCCGCCTCCCAACAGCAGGGCACCCCAGCCCCTCCACGTATCCTGCGTGTTAGAGTAACAGCGTTTCACTTCTTGCTTGCTACAGAGAGGGCCCGGTTGCTCATCCGTGCTGAGCTCAGCACAAGGTGTTCCCTAACCGTGGGGTGGATTCTCCCATGTGCTGGTGTGAAGCCCTCAAACCATCTTTTTTCCTTGTCCCGTAAGTGATAATTCCACTGGGTATAAAATATGAGCGCTCTTCTTCGACGCGGAGGAGCCAGTGTCCTTGCTCTCGCTGCCGCCAGCCTTGCTCCGATCTTCAGTGGTTTGGCCGGGGTTTTCTCGCGAGGATTTCTTCACCGACTCCCCACTGTCCTCAGTACGCACCGCACAAATGCATCCAGGGGCACGTTTAAACCTGTCCCATCCGGCACCCAGAGGCCTTTTAATCTGCGATCATAACTCTTTCGCTAATGCTCAAACCTTCAAAAAGTGAGTCACTTCCACCCCTAGCCTCTGTTCACTCGCTGTGTCTCTCCTCGTCATGTGGGTATCAACGTGTCAATTTTCTACTGTTTAAACCTTTCGCGAAGCTTCTGGAGTCTTAGCCCTGACCCTGCGGCTCCCTGGTTTTAGCTGCGTCCCTTTTCACTTAGACTTCCTTATTGACTATCTCCTTTTCTGGTTGGTTCTCCTTGACTTATAACTGCTATCTCTGGCTTTGTGTTATGACTATCCCTCCTTATCTTTGGCATATTATGATTTTTAAAGCCAAGGGGAACATGGATTCATCTTTGTGTGGTGTAGACTCTGTCTCTATCCATGTTTTTCCTCTCACATACCTCGCTCTCCCCTTGTTGACCCACCCCCTAAACCTGGATGACAAATGTTGTGTGCACAAGAGGGTGTGTGTGAGTGCACATGTATGTTCCTGCATGTGTATGTGTGTTTGCAGATGTGCACATGCACATGTGTGTGGAGATTTCAGGAGGAAGCAGCTGTCCTATTATAATGGCTTCTTGAGGATTAATGTCACAGGGACACACATGCACATGTGTACATATAGAAACACACATACATGTTTTTACAACCACCGAGTCTTCACCATTTTATGAAGGTTCTTTTTTTTCAGTACTAGGGACTGAACCTAGGAGGCTGAGCAGCATCCCCAGCCCGCTTTTCTTTTTTTAAAATTTTTTGAGAGAGGGCCTCACTATGTCACGAAAGTGCCATGGCTGGGCTTGAACTTGCAGCCCTCCTACCCTGGCCTCACAGGGTCCTGGCTTATAGGCCTGTGCCACTGTGCCTGGCTGGGGAAGGCTCTTAGATGCGCCAGCCCCACCTCTTGCCTTTCCGAGGTGGATGGAGAGGTAGCCCTTTGTGAGGCGGCCAGGAGTCTTTGGGGAGGTTTCTAAAGCCTGTCTGACAACACTTGAACTAATTCTGCAGATCTGCTGGCCCAAGATGGCTCTAAGCCCTCTGTGATTTTCCCCGCTCCTCCCAGTCTGTGGTTCTGTCTTCTTCCCGCTCCTAATACCACCTGCAGCCCACTCTATGCAAGGGCAGTCGCCAGCCATTGTCTCTGCTCCGTCACGCTGGCAAGGCATGGCCAACATCATCCCCTGCCCCTCCTGCCTCAGGGACCAGCCCCTGAATTCTTTCTGAGCTCATGGCCCCCCAGTGACCAGCCCTTGGAACAGGGCCAGCTGTGTCCCACACACAGCTCCAGGCTGGCTATCCCAGGCGTGAGGGTGGGCGGTGGTGACCCTGGCCAGCAAGTGCCGGCCCACCTCCAGTACCTCCAGGCAGCCTCCCCCAGTGGTCAGCTTGGTCCCCTGAGCTGATCTGGGCTGTCCCCTCCACCACAGCCCAGCCCCCATGTCCTGGGGCTCGGCATGGTCCGCCTGTCCTCATCCTGCTGCTCGAGAACCCATGAATCCACTTTGGAGAAATGGTCACCCAGGGAAGCCGTGTCACTGGCCGGACACCGAGCCCGGCCATGCTGAGCCTAAAAGAAGCCAGCGGCCAAGGACGCAGCCGGCTTGGGCCACGTCTCCGCTGCCGCATACAAGGCTGTGACATCCTCCAGGTGTGTGAGCTGCACTCCAACCTGCCCCATGCTTCACTGTGCTGGCCAAACCCACCTCTGCACCGCTCCATCGCCTCAGACCTGCGACTGGCTGGTGTGGTCTGCAGACCTGCGAGGACGCTCAGCAGTGCCCTGGTCTGTGTTGAGCAGAGGACAAGGAACCTGGTGCAAAGGCTGAGCATCTGAGGGATCTAATCACTCACACAGGGATCTGGACTTGTAGGTAGGGACAGAGCTGGGGTAAAGCCCGGCACACACCCAGATACAAAAGGGACACTGAGGCCATGGAGGGGCGCTGCTCTGAGGTAGAGACACTGTAGGTGACAGTGACCCACCCCCTGGGGAAGAGCCTGGTAGAAAGCACAGCATTTGCAAAGGCCCTGGAGTGGGCATGGCGGGGAGCTGCTGCTGGAGCTGGTGAGAAGGAAACCTGGGTTTTCTCCTATTGTGACAGGAACCTGGACGGTGGGGGACATAAGCTGATGTGCTGGCTGTGATGGTGACAGAGGGTGACAGAGGGTGAGCTATCAGCTGTCTCGGGTGAGGGGCTGCATGAGAAGGGTGTGGCACAGGATTCAGGCTGGGCTCTGAGGACAGTGCCAGAAGTCCAGACCACGCTCTGTGTGAGCCGAACAGTGACACTGAGCAGGTGCGGATTCGCCCGCCCTGCAGTGAGCAGGCACCGGGCGAGGAGCCACCAGCGGTTTATCTGGCTTGGACATGCTGCTGCGTACAAGGTTCCGGGTGCGCTGCACCTCCTCATTCCCTTCCCACCCACCGCCGCTCTTCTGGGGCATCATTCTCCATTCTGCAGGACGCGCGCCTTCCAGGTGCAGACAGACCCCGGGGAGGTGCGGGTGGAGGCGCAGGGTCACTTGGGACAGCATGGGGGATGTCCTGGTGGAGAGACGGCAGGCACGTCTGGGGAGGCCGAGACTGGATGCCGGCTCAGGACGCTGCCTGGCACCACGGACTCAGGCCTCCCGAGCGTCCCGCTCCGGTGTGCGCCTCTTCCTGCTTGCACGGGTGCGGCTCGGCCTGGTCCTTCTCTGAGTGGCCTCCCCCAACACCGAGACCCACGGTCCCTCCGCCCCTGCTGCTCACACCCAGCTCTGTGGCGGCCCCACCTCCACTCTGCTGCTGGCCTCTCTCAGGACCCTGCCCTGGGGCCCAGCTCTTCCTGCTGCGGGGTGATCATGGTGTGTCCCCACCCAGCCGCCCCTCCTTCCTGGGTACGTGTGTCCCTCAGCGGGTGCTGAGACCCACTTACCTGTCACGTCCAGGGATCCTGGGGCCCGGCTCCCCTGCAGCCCAGGACTGCCCAGTTGGCCTGAGAGGAGAGGGGACGTGCCAGGACCCAGAGGTGCAACGGCCACAGCTTTCCTTTCTCGGGGCCCTGTTCTGACCAGAGGGGCAGCAGGCCTGGACCTCAGGCCTCCAGGGACTGTCTCCCGGACAGGAGCGGGAACAGGGCAGGGGTAGGCGCCAGTGGGGGCAGCCGAGCCTCATCCTCTCTGGCTCTGCCGCCAGAGGGCTCTGGGGAGAAGACGTGGCCAGCACAGCCACAAAGGGGGCCAAGGAGGAAGAGTGTATAGCCAAGGGTAGGCTGCCTGGGGGCGAGGGACACTGCCTCTGGACCGGCCAGAGCCCAGGGGGAGGGCAGCAGCTGTGTCCCTGTGCAGCAGGCCACCCAGAGAACAAGCAGGCCGAGCTGCACCTGTGCCAGCAGGAGGAGGTGCACACCGGAGCGGGGTGCTCAGGAGGCCTGAGTCCGTGGTGCCAGGCGGCGGGCTGCTGCATCCTGGCCCAGTGAGCAGGCAGGGTAGGGTTCCCTGGTGTGTGGGGGCCCTTGGGGCTTCCTGCACGTGCCCCCGGTCCCCGAGACACCTTCAGGGTAGAGTGGGATTCACCCAATTCCTGACCAAAGTCAGGAGAGTCACACACATGCATGTATACACACACACACACACACACACACACACACACACACACACACACACACACACACACACAGCCCAGAGGCCCTCCACAAGAGCAGCAAGCCTGGTACCTTGGTGCTTGGGCTGGTGCTGCCTCTGCCCCTGGTCTCCAGGAAGTGAGGCTTTGATTTGCCGGCTAGGGGTCCCCAGGGACCCAGGCCTGCCTGGCTCCGTCTCCACGAGGATGGGCATTGGGGGCCTGGTGTTCCCGTGGAGGATGGAGTCCAGCTTGAGCATGTGTGCTGGGGGAGGAGACAGCTCAGCCTGAGCAGGACCCCAGCCTGGCAGAAGAGGGCGGAGGGCAGGCGGGCGGGGGCCTCACTCACTCTGGATGGCTGACTCGCAGGCCTGGCTCACCAGCTGGAAGATGGTGGTGAGGGACTGAGGCTCACCCTGGAAGGAGGACGAGCCTTTGGCACCAGTGGCGGCATCACCCGGGGAGGCCCAATCACCACAGCTGGGCCTAGGCCCCGGACTCTCAGCCTCACCCACCTTCTCTCCTCGCTCCCCTTTGGGTCCCGGCAGCCCCTGCAGGAGGAGGCAGAGGAGGAAGCCCAATGGCCCTGAAGCCATGGCAGATGCCACAGGGCCCGACTCCAGGGCGCCAGACCCACTCGCAGGCTGGGCTCCTGCGCACAGAGTGTGGGCCCAGCCTGGACCCCAAATCCTAGGAGCATGTGCCCCTCCGCTGCACCCCACAGCAGGCAAACCAGGCTTGATGTCCTGCAGCGGGGCCTGGAACTTGGGGCCCGTGAAGCTGCTGGAGCTTCCCAACTTGCTTGCAGCCAAGTCAGTCTCCCAGTGCGCTGCCCCCTCCCCGTGGCCCCCACCCCGACCCACCAGCCCCAGGTGGTGGGAGCAGGAGGTCTCCGAGACTCAGCCGGCTGGGTGGAGGGGACTTACCGTGGGCCCCACAGCCCCTGGGGGCCCTCGCTCCCCACTGGTGCCCCTGGCTCCCGCCAAGCCCTGGAACCCCTGCAGAGTGGAAGTTGGGGTTCAGCTGGGGCCATGGTGAGTCTGCCCATTTGCTCCTGGTTCCTGAGCAGCCTGGGCCCTACTGCTTGACAAAAGCCAGAGCGCTGAGCTCAGTGTCGGCTGCATGCAGACCTCCCCAGCCCAGTCAAGGTTCTGCCCCTCAGCCCCGTGCCAAGGGCTGACCCCCACACCCCTCACCCTGGGCAGACCCTCACAGCCCTTGCTCAGTGCCCAGGGAGGACCTCCCACTCCTGGCCAGCTGCCTGTCAGAGCCTTTGGACATCCCAGTTGCTGGTCTCCGGGGGGCATAACCACCCCAGGGGCAGCCTGCAGCAGATGCCAGCTGGGTCTTGGTTGCAGCCCTGAGACTCCATCAGGGGTCTGCCAGGCACTTGGTTCACAGCAACGATGCCTGGGAAGTGCTGAGCTGGGCAGGGAAGGTCCTTCCAAGGCCAGAGCCCTCTGCTCCAGCAGGGCTCCTGGCAGTCTTCCAACTCACGGCAGCTGCAGGGGTGGGAGCGTGTCCCCACAGTCGGCCTGGCCCCTATCCCTCCAGGCCCAAGCAGAGCCCTGCACCGCTGCCCCACAAGGCTGGGGCACAGGAGTGAGGGGGCTGTGCGAATGCTGCATCTCCACAGGGATGTGCTCCAGGCCCAGGTGCAGAGCTCTGGAGATGCTTGCAGCAGGCGCAAGGCCTTCTCCAGGTCACTTTCTGGGACGGCTGGACAGCAGCAGGTGTTATTAGTCCCCTCCTAGGCAGCTGTGCCTGGCGCCAAGGAGCCTCAGGAGTGCCAGTGAGGGCTCAGGAGGAGGCAGTGCCTACCCTGGGGCCAGGGGGTCCAGGCAGGCCAGCAGGGCCCTCCAGTCCTCTCATTCCCTGGTGGGAGAAGGGTGTGCTGGCCATTGTGACCCTCACCGAGAAGGCGCCACATACCTGCCCCTGACTCTGCAAGCCATAAGCCCCGGAGCTGCTACCCTTACCCAAACCCAGGGAGTGACGGCACCTGGCCCTGGTGCAGGCTGGCACTCCCCTCCCGCCTGGCCAGGAACAGCTGCTTACGGCAGACAGGGTAGGAGGAGCCCCTCCCCCACTGCCCCCAATTCTTGCCACCCACAGGCACCTTTGGGGTCAGAGCCAGTACCTTTGGTCCCTGGAGGCCAACTCTCCCAGGAGCACCTTGCTGGCCAGGGTGGCCCTAAAAGGGAAGCGAGGCCAGGCAGGGCTAGGTAGGGCCCGCAGTCATCCCCAGAGGAGGGGGTACCACTCAACCCTGCCCTGCTGCAGCCTGGCCCACACTACCTGCAAGCCCGGGAGTCCATGGTCTCCCTTCTCTCCTTTGACTCCTGGTGGACCCTGGAGGGGAAGGGGGGCTGGGCAGCAGAGAGGAAGGACAGAGGGGAAGAGGGCGGGGGTGGGGTAGCACCTACCACAGGCCCCTGGATTGCACGGCCCTGGGTCCCTGGCGACCCCTGCTGTCCTCCAGGGCCCTTAGGTCCTGTCTGCCCCGGCGGCCCTGGCTCTCCCTGGAGACACAAGTGGGGGACTAAGAAGCGCCCCGAACCCATGCCCCTTCCTATTCACTGCCAGCCCTCCAGCCCTCCGGCCACCACCACAGGGCTCTCAGACCCGGTCCACATGGTGCCAGCGGAGGTCAGAGGTGGCCCTGGAGGGCACCGGTGTGACCTCATCCGCAGAGCACAACCTGCTGAGGCTGCTCCTGGAGCAAGTGGTAGTCAGGATTCGAGGCCAGTACTGTGCCCCTACCCAGCCCCCAGCCCCCCAGCCCCACGGTCCGGGGTGGGTTCCTGCAGAGTTCAAGGGCGGAGAGCAGTAGGAGCTCCACAGGCCAACCACACAGAAGCATGAAGGTTTTCCTTAAGCTCTGAGCCCCAAACACCAGACTCAGATCTCACTGGAAATCCAAATGCTGCAGGACCAAGGACACCAACACTGTCTAAACTGTTTGGAATAGGGCACAGACACACTTTCAAATGATTTTTTGAATTAAGCAAATCAACGTTCCAAACTCTATAAGACAAACTGCAGAGCTATGAGAATCGGCGCGCAAACCACAGGTAAGATGTCCGGGAATGGAGCTTGCAGCGAGTCGCGTGGCGCCCGGGTGGGGACCAGGGACGGGGCTGGCTCGTTAATGGACGCGAGAATAGTTGGTATCTAGGGACAGGCCAAATTAATAGCAAACAGCTCTGGAGAAATTATTTCATCAAGCCCACAACTGTGGAACAAGCACTAAATCTTATTTAACATCCATTCCTGATTTTTAAATCTCATAATAAATTAAGAATAAATGGATTTTACTATCATGTGACAAAATATATCTGTTTCAGCTTCCAAGTCTCCACTCGACAGGCAGAGCTGGGCGTTTCTGCTCGGCCAAGATGAGGCTGAGGGAGGCGGCACCACCACTGTTTCCAGCGGGTTCTACAGCCTTCACATTAGGCAAGAAAAGGATCAGACAGAAAGTGCGGCAGTTATGTTTAAGTGGCCCCTACCGCCTAGCCCCTGCCGGACACCCTCCTGGACGCCTTGCATTACTCTGGATGACACGTCATAGCCAGCGTCATGTGTGCGCTCAGTACAGTTATTACTGCACAGAGAACAATAAGAAAGAAAAGATTTGTACTTTTTTTCCAAATATTTTCCATCTGTGGTTGGTGCCATCAACCGCGTGAAAGCTACAGATACATACAGAAGGCTCGAGAGGCAAAGTCCTTGCATGTGAAGATGGACAGATCAGCAGATAGGACGGAGCACAAAAGGGAAAGAGGGATAGGACAAAGATGGCCGGCTCCTCAGCAGCCGGGTGGGGCCGTGGGGAGAGTCTGGGAAGAGCTGCTGTTGCCCTTCCCTACTTCAAACCTGGTAAGCGGGTGAGGAAGTACTGTACGCGTGTGAAAGGCCCCAGGAGGCCTGCAAGAGACTCAAGGACGTGCACTTCCTACCCCAGGCTAAGGAACGCCTTTCAAAGTTGCTTACACAACGTGAAAGCCACAGAAGACAGACCGGTGAGGCTAAGTGAGATGCCCTGGAAGTCTGTACAGAAACTGGGTCACGAGCAAGGCCCAGAGACCCCAGACACGAGCACGGTGCACCTTCCCAGCATATAGTGACCCCAAGATGCGCACACCGTTCCCAGAGGACGCAGCGCGGTGCAGGGGTCAGCTTCCGACAAGAACCGGAGCTCTGCTGCCTCAGCTGTCCGCCCAGCGGCACTGGCGGAGGATGCGCAGGGGCCTGCGGGGCGCCTCGCACCAGGCACGTGGGGGAAGTGCTGCGACGGCGGTCACTGTGCTTGGCTGGAGAACCAGCCAGCTCTGCGACACGGTGGTCCAGGACGCCCAGCCCCACCCAGAGGGCTTTGCAACCCTGCATGCGGACGCACAGGACCCTGGCAAGGTCGCTGTGGTGTGGAGGCAGCCGGGCGCACCCTGGGCCACGTGCGGGCAGCATTGTGATCAAGGGCATCTCTGGCGCTTGGACAGCAGGGCACTCTCCCCAGCTGCTGCAGGGCGCTGGGGGCACTGTTTTCCCCTCTCTGCAGGGCCAGGCCCCAGTGTGCAGAAGCCAAGCATGTGTGAAGCTACTTTGAGAACTCAGTCTCCTCCCGTGTTCAGAGTGGAGAAAAGTGTGGAGGAAAGAGCAAGGCAGCTGCGGCCACACACCAGGCAGGAGGCTCGGCTCCCCAGCCATGCGAGACCCTGCTGCGGGGTGGTGGGGTGGAGAGGGAGCATCCACTGAACACTAGCTGCAGGGCCAGTGTTCACAGGTGAAGGAGGAGCCCAGACCCATCCCCAGTTTCCCTGGTGTCCTGGGCTCCCGGCCCTGGCTCACGCCCCTCCGAGCTGGGCCTGGGGCAAGTGAGGTGTGGCTTGTACCCTGTGTCCTGAGTGTGCCGGGGTCATCCTACAGCCGGTTAGATCCCCACCCTCACCCGTGCCCCATAAGACTCACCTTGGGGCCTGGGAGGCCCTGCTGTCCTGGGGCACCGTTGCTCCCCGGGAGGCCCTGGGAAGGCGCAGATAGGGCTGAACCCCAAACCAGCCCTAACCAAGGCTTCTCCAAGGCTCCACCCAACCTTCTGGGCTGGCCCAGCCCTGGTCTCAGTCCCTATGGCCGGGGAGGGCTCTTCCAAGGGCAGGGACTCCCAGGTCTCCTTCCCCTCCGGCTGGCAGATCTGCTTTAGACCCTGGCCCGCTTTATGGAGAGGCCTTGGGGCCGCCGAGCTTGGGGGAGTGCTCTGACAGATGTGCCCATGGGGAAGCTTGGCTGAGCTGGCAGACATGGCTCTGGCAGGCCAGTCTAAGCATCTCTTGGGTCCCATCCCTCAGCAGGTCTAGGACCTGGACAGCCTGTCAGAAAGGTCCTGCGGCACCTGCTGCAGGTGGCAAAATGGCCACCTGGAGCCCCAGCACAGAGCCACGGGCAGGGCTGCTCCTCAGGCCAGGCGGTCACGCAGTCCTGGAGGCCCTGGGCCGGCCCCCATCCCCGCAGGGACTTGTAAGAAACGCCAGCTTCTACCCGATGCTACGGTCAGTGCCTGCCCTGGAGGGGAGAGCCCCAGCTGAGAGCGGGAGGCTCAGCCAAGGGAAGGAAGGGCCTGGCTTGTGGGCTGACACAGATGTGGCAGGGAGGAGACCCATAGGTGTCCCTTCTGTGTGGCAGGTCGGGGGAGGGCCAGGCCCAGGCTCCTGCTGGAGGGGGCTGTCCCATGTTGCCATGGCGGCCGTATGCCAGCTGGACGCTCTCAAGGGGGCAGGCCGCAGGACTCACCGGGGGGCCTTGGGGCCCTGGAGGACCAGGAGTGTCAGGGGAGCAGGGACAGGCAGAAGAGAAGGCAGGGCACGTCTCCTTGTCTCTCTAGAAGAAAGGAGACGTGTGCTTAGGAGATCCGACAGCACGGTGAGGACACTGGCTTCAGGGAAGCAGACCTACGCCGGTATGGGGTGGAAGAGTCAGTGGGCGGGTCCAGGGCGCAGCGTGCTATGCCCCTGTGTGCTCAGCTGGTCCTGGGAGCCCCTCTGCCAGGACGATGGTGCCCCCTCACTCCCTCCCAGGCACCCACGGCGGGGCCCAGCTCTGGGCATGCAGGGGACAGGTGAGGACGCTGGCACAGCCTGCAGGCTGATGAGTCTCAGCAGCCATGGAGAGCCCTGGCCTGCTGGCTGCACCCCTTCCTGGCGCATGTGCACACAGGCTGGGCCGGAGCAGGGGGCTTCCCAGCCTCCCCGGGCCTTTGGGTCGCTCCCCTCCTCTAGGAAGCCTGCCCCGGTCACCGCACATGACGATCCAGACAGCCTGTCCACCCGACTCTGTGACCCTTGGGTGGGCACTTGCACCCTTGGGTTGGCCCACCAGGGGCCGAGGCACAGTGACCAGGGCTCGTGGCACATACCGACGCAGGGAGCTCGCAGCACCTGTCCTCGTCTGCCCAGGTGTCACTGCACATGATCTGCAGCATCTGGAGCTGGAACTGACCACGGGCAAGCAGGTTAACCCAGCGCGGGCCACAGGGACAGCCCCACACGCCCTGCAGGATGCAGCCCGGACTCACGGCAGCCGAGCTGCTCCGGGGGCCCCGGGCCTTGGCCAGCCTCCCCAGTGTGACAAAGCCGGAGATGGGTGAGCTGCTGGCCTCCCCCATGGGCCTCTCGGCCACCTTGCGGCAGTCCACATATAGGCGAACCTTGGAGCGGCCCACAGCCACGTGAACCTGCCAAGATACCGCAGGGGTCCCCCGCTACCCAAGCCAGGGGTGCTGTCTCGGTCGGCTTCCAGGTCCAGACCCAAACAGGTGGAGCAAGGGCCCTCCCACTGGGTTGGGGCTGCAATCCTGCTCCACTCACGTTCCTGGGGCCCGGGGCCACCACACTGGCCTCGGTCTGTTAGTGACGCCTGCCACAGGTGCCCCCCCAAAGGAAAGGCTGGACTGCTGTTTGGCCCAAAGGAACTGGAACCGCTGGGGCAAAGGGGCCTCAGGACCAGGGTCTGGCGCACAGAACAGGACGCTGGGTGCAGTGCAGGGCAGCGCAGGGCCCACGGGCTCAGGTAGAGGGCTGACCTTGTGGAAGCTCCCGAAGAAAATCTTCTTCACCTCTTGTAGGTCGAAGGTGACCTCCTGCAAGGCGGCCCTGGGGTCGTGGTGGAAGTAGGTCAGTGATTTCCTGCTGGCTGCCGGGAAGGACGAGGAGCAGATGAGAGTGGTCCCAGGTCCCGAGAAAGGGGACGGACAGAGTGTGGACGATACAGGTCTGGCCAGGGCTCCCCACCAGGGCCAGGAGCTGCCCCGAGGGAACACAGCCTCTCAAAGCACGGCGGTCCCTGCCTGGACACCTGCCTCCGCATGGGTGCCCTGTGGCTGGAGACCCTGCAGCCGGGTGGAGCCTGACTCCTGCACCGTGGGTCAGGAGAGCGTCACCTGGGCCGCCTCTCTCCCTGCTGCCAAGGGTGACACGGGGCTACAGTACCGTCCAGAAGAACCCCGAGGACAGGCTTGAAGTCCTCGGCCGTCAGCTGCCACAGCGCGAAGGCCTCTCGGGGTGTCTCCGGGAGCAGGCGCAGAAGGAAGACGATGGTGTGTTCTGGCGGGAGGGCGGCTGGGTAGAGGTCGCTGTGGGCATGCGTGAGGGTGTGAGCAGCAGGAGGGCGGCCGGGGCTGGGACGACCCCACACACAGGCTGGCTGCAGCCTTGCCCGCAGGACCTCCCCGCTGCAGTAAGCACGGAGGCTCTCCTCTCCCGGGCACGGACCGGGGGCTGCAGAGGGGGCTTTGGAGGCCGGGCTGAGGGCTCCCCGCTCAGCTTCTCTATGAGTGACATCAGGTATGTAAACCACAGCACGGCTCCGCCGGCAGCACTGGCTTCAACAAGAAGTGCTGGGGGACGCCTAACCCGAGGGCAGGACAGCAAGGGCTGCATGTGGGTGGGAGGGTGCTGGCTGAGGAAGCTCCCTGGGGTCAGGAGCCCACGTCCCACACAGCTGTCCCAAGGAGCTGTCCATCGGCCATGTGTGTCCGAGTGCTAAGAGGGGGTGTGGGAGTCCTCACCCTGCTGATCCAGGTTCACTGGGGGGTTGGGGAGGGGCAGGGGTTGGCACCTTGGGCCACCCAGGAAAGTTGTTCCCCTTGGCCTGCAGCTTCTTGTTTGGACTTCATTTATTTTTAGGATAAAAACGAAGATCCAGAAAGACCCAGCTCAGGCACATGCCTGCAGTTCTTTAAGCACACTGACCCCAGGGCCTTGGCACATGCTGTTCCTGCCTCTGGATCCCCTCTTTCCCCGTGGCTCTTATTCTCTGCTGCCTCTCAAGCTTTCTTGACCTCTCTACTCTTAGCCAGAGTCCCCTTCACAGTGACCATCAGGGTGAGGTCACCATCTGTTGGTCGGTGACAAACACGAAGCACCACTCACACTGTGGGGCCCTGGGAGAGGTCAGTCACCCAGGACAGCTGAGGGAAGGAGCACTGAGTGCCCACAGCAAAGCCAGGGACAGAAGCAGGGCTCAGGGCAGCAGAAACGACACCCTGGGTGGCCTGGGCTCGAGCATCTACCTGCCCACTGCAGATGGCCAAGCTGGGGCCTCACATGAGGGATGGAACCGCCCACTCTGCAACAGGACTTCCGTGACAAGGGGGACAGAGGAAGAGGGTGTTTGCAGCCAAGACCAGGCAGAAGGAAATCGGGGACAGTCATCAGCTCAGTGTGAAGACGCCGCGCCTGATGTGGGGACCAGACCTGCTCCGCGGCCAGACCACCGCTGCCCTCACAGGCCTTTCTCAGAAGACACGCGAGTGGTCCGTGGGTAGAGGAACAAATGATCAGCGTCACTAAGCCCCAGGGAAACGCAAGTCGGAACCACAGCAAGACCCACCTGCCACTGCGAGAGTAGCTATCACTGAAAAGCAGAAAGTAACCAGTGCTGGTGGAGAAAGGGGCTGTCGTGCAAGGCTGGTGGGAAGGTACAGGTACGGTCACCATGGAAACAGAGGGAGGGTCTGCAAAGACTTAGAAGAGAGCAACCCTGAGACGTAGCAACCCCACTGCCGGGCACGCGTCCATGGATACGACTGGATATGCGCAGGGGACGTCTGACTCCGTGTCTGGCGTCAGGAGCCAAGACATGGAATCAGCGCAAGGGCCCCTCAGCTGAGGAATGGGAGAGAAGGCGTGGCACACATCCACGGCAGAACACAACTCGCCACGGGGAAGACGAGGTGCTGTCGTCTGAACAGCACAGGGCCCTGCGGGGTGTTCTGTTAAAACACAGTGGGCGGGCACAGAACGCATGAGCCCACTCACGGACAGTCGGGGAAGGTCGCTGTCCTAGAGGGGGAGCGTGGAGTGGTGATCGCCAGGGGCTGGGGACACAGTGCAGGGAGGAGGGTACTGGCTGGCCAGGGTTTAGGGACAGCAGCAGGCTCTGCTGTGCCACTGCGCGGTTGGCTGATACAGGTAAGGACCACCTGCTGTCCGTGTCATTGACCAAGAAGGGATCTTGTTTTCACCCTAACAAAATGACAAGTGCCAGAGGAGACGGGTGTGTTTCCCCCGATTTAATACTTCCTGGTGGGTACTGTACTGAGGGATCATGACCCTCGATACGTACAGTTCATATGTCTTATGCACCAGTTTAAAAGTAAACAAATTTAAAAAATAAATGAGATAATTTTTTAAAAAAAGAACAGATCAACCCTAACGGCCTTCCATGAACCCAAACCCAGCTGCAGAAAGACGCTGGCTGCCTTAATCAACAGCTGGGGCCACACGAGCTCCTCCCCCAGGGGTGGAGATGGGCTCTCTGTGCACCTCCTGCCTGCGTCACGGCGGATCCGCGTCCCCTGCCTGACCACAGCCCTTCCGCCAGTGCCCCTGGACACCCTGGCTCAGGGGCACAGGGGGCAGATGCCCTGGGAGACCTCTGGCACCTCCTCTCCGAGGCAGTACTGGGAACACCAGGGCTCCCCGGTCTGCACACTCCCTGCGGCCCTGCGAGGGCCCCACGCTCATTTCACTCCGCGGCCTTGTCTCGGCCCTTGGGGCTCTGGAAGCAGGCCCTCGATCTTGCTGTGGAGTGTGCTGGGTGCGCTCAGGCCGGCTCTGCGATCTGACCACCAGGCGAGCTGATCAGAGGCTGAGTGCTCCATGGCCACTCCAGAGCGGTCACTACGTACGGGGACGGCGGCCGAGAGACCCAGTGAGCGCAGACAGCACACGTGAGCAGTCAAACCAGATCAGCGCCCACGCAGGATGCTGGCGGCGTGACCGGCCCCGGACACGGGGAAGACCTGCGTGTAACCGCAGAAACACCACACAGCGTGGTCTCATTCTAAGCTTGTGTGACTTTTTGTTGTTGTTGTTCCTTTTTGAGACAGGGTCTCGCTATGCACTGCAGGCTGGCTTTGAGCTCACTTTGTAGCCCAGGCTGGCCTCAAACTCTCAATGATCCTCCTGCCTCAGCCTCCCGAGTGCTGGGATTACAGGCATGTGCCACCACGCCTGGCACCTGTGCGTTTTTATGCATCTGTAAAATGAGACTTTCTGCTGCGTGTGGTCTGAGCCAGTCTGTGACTTGCTGAGCGAAGCCAAGGGCTCCGGGCTCTAGGAGCCACAGGGAGGGTGGCCGGGCTCCTACCCCAGCCTCCTCCGCCCACCTGGCCTGTGCAGCCCACCTGCAGCCCCGTGCCCCTCGCACCTGGCCCGCCGTGTCAGCTGAGCATCCTTGAAGAGTGTGAAGGTTGGGGCCAGACCCCAAGCTGAGGGCTCCATGGCCACGCCACGAATGGAGGCATATTCCTTCTGCACCAGGCCGAAGGCCGCCATCAGATCAAACCCTGGCAGGACAGGGAAGGGTGACCAGGAACCCTCAGATCAGGGAGGGGAAAGGGGGGCCTCAAACTCAGGGGCTGCCGAAGTGGGAGGAAGGGCTGGCAAAGGGGCAGCCTGGCTGGGGGGCGGGTGCATGGGGGCTCTGCTTCCAGCGTGGGCCCAGCACCACCTTGCCCCCAAGGGAGAACCCGGCCCTGCCCTGGCGGCCATGACCAGCCCCTTCCCTCAGCTGACACTGGGGAAATGCTTTGCCAATGGCCGAGCCAGGGAGGCCCAGGGAGGGAGCCCCTGGCCCCCAGCCCCAGCCCCGGCTCCTCGCCCCAAGCAAGCGGACCCTGCACCTCTGCTCTGCCCCGCCCTGCCCCCAAGCCTGCGTTTCCTCCCTGAGGAAGACCTTGCCGGCTGTGTTTGCTCAGCACTGCCCCCATGTGGTCTGAGGCCCTGTACCCTCAGGACACTGTCCCTGCTGGGCAGAGCTCCCTAAGTGGACTGTGTTCCTTAAGCCAGGCGCCCACCCTCCGGCCCTCTCTGAAGAGGGCTGAGCTCTCCTAAAGCTTGAATGAGCCCTCCAGCCTCAGCACCTCACACCTCAGCGCCTCCCAGGGCCAGAAGGACAGGGCCCAGCTCTGCCGCCGGCTGGCACATCCAGCAGGTAACCTTGGACGAGCCTCAGTTCCCCAGTGTAGGACACAGCTGCTCAGCCTGCCTTGTGGGGCCGCCTGAGGAGCTACAGGCCTCACCCAAGCTCAGTGTCAGGCCCCTTGCACTCCAGGAAGAGTCGGAGAGAAGCAAGGCAGCAGAGGACAGAACGCGGCTGTCCCAGGTGCCAGGACCCACCTGGAAGGGAGCTGTTCCCGTGAAGGCCCGGGCAGGCAGCTGCGAGGAGACAGAAGCCGTGTGAGCCACTTCAAGCTCACTGGCCACCAGAGGAGGGCTGCATCGTGAACAATGGCTGTTCTCGATGGGGGGCACAGCTGGGCCTAGGCCACGTCCCTGTGCTCCACGCAAGAACCATGGTCTCCATAGCACTGGGAGGGACGTGGGGGTGGCCTGCCTCTTCCTGGTCCGGGGCCAACACCAAGGGCTCCACTGAGGGCTGTCTCCTGAGGCGCTTGCCTCCCAGATGGCAGGCCGGGAGATGGCTGGGTGCACAGTGGGGGGTGGGGTGCGTGCAGCCGGGGGCTGGGCACACAGGCGTGCTCCATGACCAGGCCCTTAGGAGGTGCAGCAGTGGTCAGAATTGCAGCCCACCTTGGTGGCTGTCCACTCAGGAAGCACCGTCCACCTGGGCAACCCGGGGCGAGCGTGCCAGAAGGAGGTGAGGTGGAGGACTCAGGCCTCTGGGGGTCTGCGCTGAGGGGCAGGAGGCCGTGGCTTGCCAAGAAAACCAGTGAAAGAACCGACAGCTGGGCCCCAGCCTGGAGGGGGACCCCAGGGCCAAGGGAGACGCATCGAGGCGCCAGCAGCACCAAGGGCAGGCGGCCCGACTCCCAGCCATCTCCCCACCTCCGACCCGGCCTCCGCCCAAGCCTGTGCTCAGCCTCTGGCTTTGGAGGCCACAGACTTCTGGAAGTGAGGGGCTCATAGGCAGGGCCCACGTCCTGCTGGAGGCGCCGCGCGTCAGGGCTACTGGGGCCTGGCTGGGGCTGGCCGGGTCTGACGCAGGGCTGGCTCTGGGTTTTGGTGTCTGCTCACCTGTTCGGCCTGTGGCAGACACTGCCTCACTCTCCCCCGCTCTGTAGAAAGCTGAGACCAGGACCCTGTACTTGGTGGCAGCCAGCAGATCAGAGAGTGTGGCATGACTCTTGGGGCCTGGCACGGAGATCTGGGGAGCAGGGATCGTCTGAGCGGCCCACCCAGGGGTGTCTGCTCAGCGTGAAGCTGGGCTCCCTTAGCCTCTCTCTCCCCACAGAGGAGCAGCAGCCTTAGCCCACAGGGCAGCCCACCAGCCCTGCACCCAGAGGCCCCTGTAGGACAGCAGCTTCCAGCTCCTTAGACTCACCGATTTCTCAGGTCCTGAGCCTGAGGCCGGAGCATAGGTGAGCCGGTAGTGGAGCACATGGCCACTTGGGGGTGTCCAGCTGACTTGTAGGCTGTTGGGGGTCTCTGAGGTCAGGGCCAGGCCTGACGGGGGACTCCTGCTCACTGCAGCTGGACAACAGCACAAGCAGCGTGGGGCTCAGGGCTAGCATTAAGGGGCACCCTGGAGGCCAGAGGACAAGGCAAGCAGCCTGCGCCACGCTCTGTGCCCTGCCCTCCACAGGCTGTGTCATGCCGCTGCCCAATCTGCACCGTGCCTGCCTACTGCTGCACCGTGCCCCACCAAGACCTCACGAAGCCCCTGCAAGCCCTTCTGCCCAAGCTGCCTCTGCCTCGAGGCGGTGTTACCCACGCCACGTCACCTGGACCCCAGGAAACCTGTGAGGGCTGTCGAGGCCCAGTACACCTTGAGGCTTGAGGGGTCTGCCTACCGGCGGTTCTGGGAGTCTGAGTTCCTAGACCTGCGTGAATCTGGGGGCCCCCTGGGCTGCTCCTGCCCTGAGCTCAGCCAGGTGGAGGAAGTGGTACCTACGAGGAGTGTAGTGCAGGGACACGGGGTCACTGCGGGCCCCGTCCCTGTAGTAGGCCAGGATGGTGATCTCATACTCAGCATGCCTCCCCAGGCCGGACAGGACAGCTGTGCGGAGAGTACCTGGGACAGAGATCTGAAAGAGGGGGTCTGGGGTCTTTCCTGGCTCATATGTGTCCTTGATGGAGACCTGCTCCCAGGCCGTGGGTGGGCGCGTGTTCCCGAGACAGGTCTCGGTCTGGGTAGGCACAAGAGGGGCCTGAGCCCTGGCTCAGCCCAGGACCAGGGTCTGGAGGGTCTTCCCTGAAGCTCAGCCCATCCCTTGCCCACCCACACCTCGTGGGCCTTCCCCTCTCCCAGCGGTGTCCACTTGATCTGGTAGACAAGCACGCCGGATGGGGCTGCAGCTGCCCACGTCAGCCTGACCGAATCCCCTGGCAGCTCTGTCACAGACAGCTGGCTCGGGCTGGGTGCTTTCCCTGGAAGATGGAAGCGGGAGACAAAGCTTGGGGTGCCATTCCTGAGACAAGCAGCCCTGGGCCCTGCCTCACCTGCCCCTCCCTCCAGCACTTGTCCCCACCTGGCTCAGCCCTGGCCCAGGGCAAACCACCACATGCACATCGCTCTGAACTGTGTGTGTGTGTGGGGGCAGAGGGTGCAGCCCGCCCCTGCGCCCAGCCCTCCCCCTCCCACTCACTGGTGGTCACGCGGCCAGTCAGTGTGGAGGACCCGCCTCCGAGGTGGAGGGTGGTGACTCGGACAGTGTACGTGGTGGAGGAGGACAATGGGCCCAGGGTGGCAGAGGTGGCGTTCCCGGGGGCCTCCTTCTGCAGGGCAGGGGGGCACAGGCAGACGCATTGGGCCCCCAGGGCCCTGCCAGGGAGAGACCCAGGCCCAGGACCTGCAGCCAGGACCCCATGGCTCCCAAAACAGAGGAAACGGGGTTGGCCATGGGCGCCTAGGACAGCCCACGGGACGCGTCGTCCTTCCCTGCACTCCAGCCAGCCCTCCAGCCGGCTCAGCTTCCACACCACAAGCTTCGTAGCCTCGCCACAACTGTTCTCTGTGCATACGCTCCTTTGCCTCAGTCTCACCCCAGCTCCCACCACCCAGCGCCCTTCACGTGTGCGTGATGCTGACCCTGTCCCCCCCAGCCCAGAGACACTGGACAGGGACAGAATTGGGAGCATGAAGGAGAGGCAGGAGGGGCACGCCAGGGCACAGAGGCCACTGGGCCCCTCTGGGGTGTCTGACACTGAGCCTGGGCCCCTTGGCCCAGGCAGGCCTGCTCTCACCTTTCCTGAGTGGCCACCATCGCTGGAGACATAGCTGACCCTGATCAACTGTGCGGGCCGCTGGGTGCCCTCCCAGGTCACCCGGGCTGAGTCATGGCTCACGTCCAAGAAGCTCAGGTGTCTTGGGGGAGCCAGGGCGGCTGCAGAGCAGAGCAAGGCCTTGGGGCTGATGCTCCTCCTCCCCCACATCCGGGGCGCGGCCAGGCAGTGCTAGGATGGAGGGGTGTGGGACCTGCACCTGTGGAAGGCTCGGAAACAGGGTGGGGCATGTGCCGCGGGGGCAGGTGCTGGGTGGGCACTCACGGGTTCTGGCATGGACGCCCCGGACCTCACTGGCCTCTGGCCCTCGCAGGCTTTGCACTGAGACCTTGTAGTCCCTGCCCGGCTCCAGGCTGTCCAGCAGCACCTCAGGCCGTCCCACCCGCACCTGGAGGGACATGGCATCACACTGGCTCTGCCCCTACTCCATCTGTCCCCACCCTTGCCCCTCCCCAGGCCACGTACCTCTCTCCCTTCCTCCTCACCCTTGGGGGAGGCTGGCAAGCACCGCACCAGGTACTGGGTGGCCCCAGCCGAGGGCTGCCAGGTGAGGCGGAGGGTCCTGGGTGTCACTGCAGCCAGGGTCAGCGCCCGAGGTGGAGAGAGGGGTGCTGGGGAGAAGCAACCATTGGGCCACTTTGAGAACGTGACACACACAGAGGCTACACCCATGAGCGAGGTGGCCCTTGCTCAAGCTTCACGAGGACTTCCTGGCCTCTGCGCATGTGCACGGTATCCCCCAAGGAGAGGCCAGCAGGGGGTGGCCCTCGCCCACAGGAGGGCAGATCCTGAGGCACTTCCCCAAACTCCACAGGGGCCCTGTTCTGGGGAAGCCAGTGCACCCTGCAGGTCTACTGGGGCCATCTGCCCGAGGGTGGGTGGGACACAGACCAGGTATTAAAAGCACCCCACAAAGACCACATGGTGCTGTTCCTAGGCCAGACTCAGCAGACCCAGAGAGGAGAGCACAGCAGCTGGGCAAGGGGCCGGTGATGCTGAGGGACACAGAGCACTTTCTGGGGGCAAAGGGGTGTACAGTGCCCTCCTGGAGAGCAGAAGACAGAGCGCCCTTCAGGACCAGTAAGACCTGCAGTGGACCGGAGAGGTGGTTACACAGCTCAGAGTGTGCAGCGGCAGCTTCGGCCGCCATGAATGGGTGAGCGGAGTGGCGCGGGGCATTCACAGAGCTGGGGAGAGGGGCCTGTGGCAGGGACCTCGGCCATGTGCCACAGGCCAGGCGGGGTGGGCACTGTGGTCAGGAGAGGACACCAGGGTCAGACAGGCCAGGAAGGAGCGCAGCCAGGACTGCCCACCATAGGTGCCAGGCCCTGGGGGGAGAGCAGGGGCCACCCACACCCACCCACCTGTGGTCACCAGGCCCCGCAGACCCTCGCCGACCCCGCCCTCATAGACAGGCAGCACGGACACCAGGTACTCGGTGCTGGAGGTCAGGTTCTGAAGCTCAGCAGACGCAGCAGGCCCCTCCACCACCACCTGAAACAGCACCCCCAAACTGGGCGGGGCGTGGTAAACGGGCCAGGGCCCAGAGCTGGAACACTGTTGCCTGAGTGTGGGCCTGGGAGCACGCCGAGGCCACCCCCGTGCTGCTGGGCCCCACCACTGAGCAGAGGGGCACAGGCCGAGGCACAGGCAGGTGAGGCAGTCAACAAGCCCCAGTCAGCCATCACAGCGGTCACCTGTCCTGCTGAAGCCACCTCAGGCCCTCAGCCTCGCCACCTCCGAGATGCTCCTACTCTGCCCTGCTCTGCCCTACGGTGCCTCACACACCCTGCCCCGTCTCTGCCCCCAGCTGTCCTTTCTCAGGGTGACCTGGTCACGTGGGCCTGTACTTCCAACGCTTGGCTACAGCTAGCAGAGCCCCCCCAGGTGTGGCTGGCCAAGTCCCTGGCAGCTGCCCCAGCTCTGCATGGGTGACCCCAGCAGGAACCCCAAGCCAGAGAAGCCGACACCGCTCACCTCCCGGTGGGCACCACCCCTGGAAGGCCGCCACACAATGAGGTACTTGAGGGGTGGCTGAGGAGCCGGGGTCCAGGACAGGCGGATGCTGGAGGAGGTGACCTGGCCCAGCACCAGGCTGCTGGGTGCAGGGAGGGCGTCCATGGCTGGTGCAGCTGGGGCTGGGGTGGCTGTGGGTGGAAGGCAGTGGTCTGGGCCCCAGGGGCACCTCCACTTTGCGAGAGCGACAGGAGGTTGCTCCCCTCCACCCTCCTGGCTCGGCTCGCCCATCCACTGGGGCCAGGCGGACCCTCCTGGTGTGCCACATGGGAGCCACGGCCCCCTGTCCCTCTGCCCCAAGCCCTGGGCAGGCCCAGCACCATCCCTGCTTCCTCACCGGGGGGCCTGCTCAGGCTCCGGCCCTGGACCTTCTGGCAGATGAGGCGGCTGAGCAGGCCAGACAGGGTGGCCAGCTGGGGGAAGTCCAGCACGTTGTGGATGGTGATGTCCTGCGGCTGGGATGCCAGGAGCTTCAGCTCAGCCTCGTCAGCATTCTTCACACCTGCTCAGGGGGGAGCACAGAGGTGCAACCAACCCTCTCTGCACCCCTCGTCCTGCTTGCACACAGGGGTGGGGCGGGGCTGCTGGAGTCACCAAGAGCCTGTGGGAGAGGGGCCAGGGCCAAGGGAGGCCAGTGTGCTGGAGCCGCCTCGGCCAGCCGTGCAGGTGCTGGGGCAAGTGCTTGCGAGGGAGGGCATCTGGGAGATGCCGAGCCGGCCCGAAATCTAGACTTCCTTCTGTGGGGCAGAACTGACGAGGGGCCAGTGCAGCGAGCGTGACCAAGGCCTGGAGGTGAGAGTCGCCAGGCGCAGGAGGCAAAGGGACAGCGGCCAGGCGGGGACCAGCTCCGGGGTCACAAGAGAAGCTGGGCCTGGGGACTTTGCAGATGACGGCAAAACCGGACACGTTCTGCAAGGAGCAGGCACACTGGTGCCAGGCAGGTGCCCAGCTCCATGCGCAGCTTTGCAGGGCAGGGGCTGACCCTCCAGGCACTGCAGGGGCAGACGCTGAAGCTCAGAGGACAAGCGTCGCCCGCTCTCCAGCGAGGTGAATCCGAGGTGAAAACTCTCATCTGCGGCCAGAGCCCACCGCTGTGAGGAGCGCCCAGGGCCCGCGCGGGGCTCACCCACAGTGAAGACCTCGACGTCCAGGTCCTTGAGGGTGCGCGCGACCGCGTGCACGTCGTCCTGGGACTTGCCGTCCGTCACCAGGATCACCAGGTGGGCTGCCTCCGGGCGGAGCCCTGCTGCGGGCTTCAGGTTCTGCCCCAGCACGTGGCTCAGGGCCAGGCCTTGGGAACAGAGGGAACAGGGTGACAGGCAGCGTCCAGTACCTCGGCCTCCGGGGCCCTCTCAGCAGCAGCTGCCCCCAGTGCTTGGCTTGCGGGTGGGTTCTCCATGTATTCCCCCAAAAGAGCTGGCCTGCCAGGCTGGGGACACCGGGGGCAGGGTGGCTCCTCCACAGAGGGTACCTGTGACCTGGCAAGACCACATCAGCCCCCTGGGTGACACCTCTGAGGCTGGCAGCCCTGCGGGGGGAGGGCTAGGCTGCAGCTGGAGGAGTGGCTCGTGTTCAGCAAGATCTCGGCAGAGGATGTGCTTTCGTCAAAGACACACAGTGGTTGTGCCCTCTGGGGAGCTGCGGCTGGGGCTCGGCACCCACAGCCTCACGCAGGTTTTCAGGTCCGGCAGGGCATAAGGGAGGCTGAGCAGCGGGAAGGGTCGAGGCTGAGATCTTGCTGAACAGCCAGGCCCTTGAGCACAGGGGACACGAACCTGTGAATGTGTTTCCTCCCTTGTAGCGAAGGCTGCGCACCGCAGCTAGCACCTCCTCCCTGGTGCGGAAGGAGTTCAGGTCCCACTCAGTCTGCGGGTCTCCGCTGTACTGCGTCAGGCCTAGGGGAGGGGCCAGGCACCAGGCTCAGTTTTCAGGGCTGTGCCTCCCTCAAGAGCTCCCAGGGCTAGGACCACATCCTGGGAGCTGCCCCCTGCACACAGCTGCCAACAGCAGCCTGGTCCCCAGGGAGACACACACTCACAGACCCAGGGCTCCCCTAGGGGAACCACCAGACTGGCCCCCAGGAGCCCCCCAGAAGCCTGCTATTCCAGCAGACCGGGCCAGCGGCCCTGGATGGGGCAGGGACGTGAGTGAGTCAGCTGGCTGCATGGCCCACTCAGGCCACACGCACTGGGTCCCCAGGGATCTTCCCGTCTGGCTGGGTGATGAGCCCCAGGAGGCTACCGTGCTCCCTGTCCCTTCCCTGGAGAAGGCAGAGGGGGTCAGTACCCACCTACTTGGACCCGATCTGGCCCAATTTCAAAGGGTGAGATGACGCTGGCCAGGAAGTCTTTGACCAGCTGAAAGTGGCTGTGGCCGATGCTCCAGGACCCATCCACAAGGAAGACCATGTCGGTGGGCACAGGGGGTGTGCAGTGGAACTGGGTGCCAGCTGGGCAGGCAGGAAGGTGGGGCGGGTGAGGCCCATGGACCCCAGAGTCCTCTGGGCCATCTGGGCCTGGATGCAGCTCCCAAAGGACCATCTCCCGGGACTTGGTAGGTGGGGTCTGCTGTTTGGGGGACCAGCAGCACCCTGAGGACATCGGGTCTCCCCAGGCTTAGAAAATCCCATGTGGACTCTGGTCAACAGTCTCAGCCTCTCTGAGCATTCCAAAAGAGGAGTGATGCCAGCCTGGGCTCCGGGGGCTGCTTGTGCCCTTGACAGCCGCTTGCCAGGTCTGCATGCCACCAGTGGCACAGCGCTGCCTTCCGGGCTAAGCAGTCTCTACCCCAGGCACTTCCAAGACGACCCCCGACAGATCCACTTGGGATGGGGAAGGGTTAGGGGCCACCTAGCAGCTCCTGGCGCAGCCTCACTGTCCCGATGGTCCCAGAGCTCTCTGGAGACAAAGCACCCTATCCGGTGGCGCCCCTGTGTCTGTGCACACACCGCTCCCGGCAGGCTGAGCCCCAGAGCCAGACTCCCGAGCATGGCCGGCGAGGCAGACAGCAACCTGGGCTCAGACAGCTCCCCCAGGCCCGCGAGAAAGAGGCTCCACCCTGTCCTTTGGGCCCCTCCTGAGAGGTGGTGCCCTTGCCTGTGCCCTCAGGGTCAGAGGCAGATCTTTCAGCTCTTCTGGTGGAGGAGGAGGGGCCTCCTCTGGGGACCCCAACCTGACCGGGAGGCACACCTGCAGAGAACAGCGCGGCCCCCTCACCTGGCTCCTCTCCCGCTCCAGCGGGGGCCACAGTGCGGCTCTGCCTCGTCAGGTCTGGGGTCTGCTGAGTGGGCTCCTGCACCCCAGAGCCCCTGGGCTGCTCCCGATCTGTGCTGGGCACCCCTGGAGTGGGCAGAGGGGGTCACAGCCGCCGCACCTCACCTCCCATACCCGGACTGGGGCTCCCGAGGGTGTCAGAGGCAACCTGGCCTCAGTGCCTGCACTGAGGGAGCCCAAGAGCTAGCCTCAGCTAAAGCTGCAGTCAGCCGTGAGGAAGGACTTCCTGGCTACACGGAAGAGGCACGGAAGCTCAAGGCCCCTCGCAGCAGCTTACTCTCACTCCACTCTGATCCGCCAGGAGCGAGCGCCACGTGGCTGGGGACAAGGGCGGCTCTGGGCTCAGGGGTCTGCTCAGGGTCTGGGCCCCCCATGAGGGAGGCGGTGGGCTTCGGGGCTGCCCCCGCTGGCCTCTGGCCACTCCTGCCCAGGGGGTTACTCTTCAGATCCTCAACTGCAGAGAGAAGGCAGGGCTGTCAGGGCAGGGGCTGAGCCCCTGGGCACGATCCCCGCCCAAGGGCACAGCTGTGGGCTCCAGGGAGGACCCCCACCCCAGGGCAGGAAACAAGACCCCGAGGCACCTCGGGCCCAAGCTGCTGGGGACTGAACCGCACTGCCCAGCCCCACCCAGAGGCAGTCACTCATACCAACCCTGGGCTGGGGTGGGAGAGCAGAGGACTCACTCACGAACTCCCGCCGTGCTAGCAGGATGGGCTCGGAGCCAGTGAGCTCGAATATCTGCAAGGTGTAGCCCTTGGCGGGGCTCAGGCCCCCAACGGTGGCCTTGGGGGTCTTGGTGGTCAGCATCACTTCCTGCTCTGAGTCCCCTGGGGATGGTGGGAGAGCTGTCAGGGTGCCAGGATGGGTGCACACGCATGTGCCTGTGCACACGCTTGTGCAGGAAGTGCCTCAGGCCTCCCCAGTTCCTGCCCTTGAGGCAGAGGAGAGAAGCAGGATGAGGAACTGAGGAGAGGATGGCAGGAAGGGGCCTTTCTAATGTGCCCCCAGGGGCAGCCACGTGCTGAGTACCCACGGTGCCCGCGTTGTGGCTGCATCATCTAAAGACAGAGATGGGTTCGAGCACCCAGCAGTGACCCCCAGGAGGACCCTGTCCTATCTCAGAGGATGGAGCCAGACCAAGTGACCCTGAGATGGAGCCAGGACCACAGCGGTTGGACCTGAGGCTCCGAGAGGCTCAGGTCCTGGAAGGGGAAGGAGGAGCCCACCCTGCACACTGGAGGGAAGCGGCCTCCGCCCTGCGCCGACTTGGGCTGGGAGACACCGGCGGGAAGGACCCTGGGCTCTAGGTGACCACAGAGCAGGGGAGACAAGAGTTTATGCCTAGTACCAGCGCTGCACACGTATGTATTGTGATGTTCACGACATCAATGCATCCACTTTATAGATGTGGAAATGGGGGCACGCAGGACCAGCCATGCAGCTAAGCAGTGACAGGACCAGGGTTTAGAGCCAGGTCTCCCCCACTCCTGACCTGAAAGTGTGAGTTGCACTCAGCACTGTGAAGGTGACCAGGCCCAAGGCTGCTGCCCTGGGGAACGGGTTAATGCTTTTGGAGAGCGGGTTCCTGGTAATCGGGGACTCTAACCCTTTCTCTGCCTTCACCCTTACACCATGTTATGATGAGGCATGGTGCCCCCAGGGGCTGACATCAGGCTCTTGGACTCCCAGCCTCCAGAACCATGAGCTTCCACTGTTTACAATGTACCCAGTCCACGGCGTCGTGTAATAGCCGCAGAGAATGGACTAGGACTGGAGCCCCCCTGCACAAGCAGCTATGATAACAGAAGTATTTCATGAAGTTAATGTAGACAGAGAACTAGAGTTCCCGCAAGGAGGGTAAGTAGAGGCTTGATGATGCAAGGTTCTGGAGCAACAGCCATCACATGAGCTACGTGTTCATAAACCCACTGGCGTGGTCATTAAGAAAGGGTCAGTGAATGCATAAACACCAAGCTGGTGGGGGACACGGACTCCTCGCCCCACACATACTGACTAACTTCACACAAAAGAGACAGCAGACGGAAGTACCTCTGGTGGCAGATCGGGGACTTCCCAGCACCACTGACAGACTCGTCAGCAAAGACTCTGAAACAGAATCTGACCAAACTCGAGGGATCTAACTGCAGGCTATCAGGTATGGGGGAGGGGCAAGCTAAATGGCACTACGAAGATCCCACTTTAGGACAAGGACATGGGCCTCTCGTTTCTTCTATAAGTAAAAGTCAAGGGAAAGGGACAGAAGAAACAGTTGCCAATGAAAAATTACTTGAGACCCAGGAACTAAAGAAAAAGTGTGGACTCTTCTGGGACCACAATTCCGACCTGTCAATTATCAAAGATATTTATCAGACAAGCCAGAAAATGGAAACACAACTAAATATTTCATGACAGTTCTAAAAGAACTTGGGGGCATAGTAAGGGTAGTGAGGTTACTTGTGAGTCTTTTCTTTTAGAGGAACATACAGAAATGGTTACAGACAGAATTAGATGATGTCTGGGATTTGCTTTATAATAATACAACATATGGCCAGGGTTGAGCAGAGAGACACAAAGTAATACTGGCCATATGCTGATAACTGTTGGTGCTAAATCTTTGTTAATATGGGGCTTCATTACATGGTGCTGTCTCCTTCTGTCTGTGTTTAGACGTTTCCAGAAAAGTCAGCTCAGGAGAAGGCATGAAAGGAGGAAACAAGAATGTCTAACAATGAGAACAAAGGAAAACAAATGGGAAGATTGTGGATTTAAAGTGGGTCAGTAATTTTGCTAATATAAATGGACAAAAGGTTTCAATTAAAAGACAAAGATTTTCTCAATGGATAAAAATAATTCCCAATGATATGCTGCTCAGAACGGAGAAAGGTTAACAGCGTAAGAACGGGAAAGGCACTTATCGCAAACACTACCTGCTGGAGCAGGGCTGACATCACAGAAGAAGGAAGCAATGGGAAGCAGGAGAAAAGAGCGCAGGGGCTCCCTCGCCCGGACGCGCCCAGGGAGCACAGGTGCCGCCATGAGCGCAAGGCCGGGCTGGGCGCCACAGCGAGCCCGTGTCTCAAAGTCCAAAAAAAGGAGAAGAGACAGGCTGAAAAATAATAAAAAAAATCAGCCTTAAGAATAGAAAGTTAAATCCAAAGAAAGTAGAAGGAAATTGAAAAGAGAAGAGATTAATGAAGTCAAACCAAACAATAAATGCCTTAACAAAGCGAAAGGGAGTTTTATTCAAAGACTAATAAAATAGATAAACCTCTAAACTGTTGAAAATAAAAACAGAGAAGACTTAAATAACCAGTAACAGGAATGAAAGGGGGTGATAACCACCGAGCTCACAGACATTTAGAAGGTCAAAACACTATGAACAATTTATGCCAAGTCATCTGAAAATTTAGATGAAACACAAAATCCTAGAAAAAACCAACTTACCAAAACAGACAGAAACTGTAGGAAATCTGAATACCCCTATGTCTGTTAAAGACCTGGACTCTAAAGCTACACACACCAGGCTCAGAAGTCATTCCCGAGTGACGCCGCATGCCTGTGTTTACAGTAACACAACTTACACGCGATAAATCACAAAAGCTGCCCATATGTCTGCCACTACACAAGTGGACAAAGAAGACATAGCACTTACATACAGTGTGGTACGGTGCTATAAAGGACAATTTTAATCATTTGTAGGAAAATAGATGCACCTGGAGACCATAATGTTAAGTGAGAAAAATTCAGATCCAGAAGCTTAAATATCACATGGTTTCGCTTATATGAGAAACCCAAAGCACAAGTAATTAAAGAGCAAAATAGGCCAGGTGTGGTGGCACAAGCCTGTAATCCCAGCACTCGGGAGGCTGAGGCAGGAGGATCATCACGAGTTTGAGACCACCCTCAGCTACACAGTGAGTTCAAGGCCAGTTTGAACTACACATGGAGACCTCATCTCAAAAAAAAAAAAAAAAAATGAAAGCAAAATGAAAGCTAGATACCAGAAAACAGAGAAACGGACCTTTTGCAAATGAAAAGGAAACCCAGAGACAGAGGAAGCGGAGGGAAAGGGGATGAAAAGAGAATTAAGATCTGTTATGTACTCTCATCAATTCCCCAAAATGAGTGCCATTATTATGTGGTGCAAGTAAACATAACAATCAGAAGAAAGGAAAAGGAGTAACAGAGCCGCACCCTGCGGTCAGCCTGGCCGTGGGCTCTGGCGTAGGCCGCTGGTCTGCACAGGGAGTGACTGCAGCTGAGCAGCTGAGGAGCAGCCGGCACCGGCCCTTACCTGCCATGGGCTTCACCTGCACCAGGTAGCCGAGGCCGGCCCCCCGCGATTCTCTCCACTTCATCTGCAGCCGGTCCTCAGGCAGCACGGCCAGCCTCAGGCGACCTCCTGCACAGCCAAGACGAGGCATCAGGAGGACCCCACCACCGTGACTCCTCCTCCATCCCAGCCAGCTATCCCCAGGACCAACCCCCAAGGCTGAGAAGTCCTGCCCCAGTCCTGCCCCAGGACCCTGCAGGAGGCCAGCCCCTGCATGGTGTCTGAGAAGGCCATGGTCCCATGGCAAGGGCAAGACCTTGTGGACTGGCCTCTGGCCCCCCTTGGGTTCCTTGGTGACAGGGCCACCTGGCAGCTACAGTGGGAGGAGCCTCATGCCAGCCCAGGGGGCCTCTTCTTGCCTGGGCAGAGTCAGCCTGAGGCCAAGGGCAGCCAGCACCTTTGGGCAGGAGGGGCCGGGACATAGTGCTGCTGACCTGCGGGGCCTCGGCAGCTGCCTTGGCTTTCCTAGCCGGGTGTCAGAAAAGCAGCTGTGTGGCTGCGGACGCCTCACTGCTCAGGTCATGCCAGGCTGATGTCCCGTGGCACAGCCTGGGTGAAGAGGCCGACAGGAAGCACGTGTGTATGTGCAGCGGCTGTATGTTCATCCATGTGCATCTGTGTGTGTGTGTGTGTGTGTGTGTGTGTGTGCGCGGCCTCAGCCCTCGTGCTAGGGTGGGGGCGCCTGCTGTGGTGAGGGCCGGGTGCTGCCCTTGGCCAGCTGGGAGGAGCAGAGCCAAGTGGGGGCCCAGCCTGACCTCTTGGGAGGCTTCCGGGCTCTGGAATAAGGGTGGCTATTTTTGGAAAATGGGGACAGAGAGGGTCTCTTCTGGCCACCCCACTGTGAGCTGGGGCGCAGGGAGAGAGCTGGGCTGGAGAGCCTGAGACAGACACACGACCCATTCAGAGTCGAAGCAGCTGAGCAGGCTCCGGATGGGGCCCAGCTGCTCAGGGAGGAACCGCTGAAAGGCAGGAATGTGCTGGGGACGAGGAGGGGGCTCTGAGGGCCCAGCGTGGGCAGGACCCGCACTCCTGCCATGAAGAGCCTTCTGTTTCTCCACTCGGCTCCGACACACTGGGGTGGGGGCTTCGGGAAGGCTCCACTGCGGTGCCTGCCCCCTCCCCCTCCTGCAGCCGTGCGGCACCTCACCAGGGCCATCAGCCACCCCAGCCCTTCGTGGGGCTCCACAGATCCAGCAGGCACCCATGGCACGGGAGCCTTAGGCATGCTACTCCTGGCCAGGAAAGGGGACACATTTGGCTCTGTCTGTTGTAAAATTACTTTGTGACTCAGCTGAGACTGCCAGGGGTGGCTTCCTTCTCACTGACACCTCTGCCTGGCACCCCATTTCAGGTTATCCCAGGCAAGGAGCCTACTCAGATGACAGGCAGAGGATAGCTCGCCAAGCCAAGTGAGAGGACAGGCTGGAGACAGAGCAGTCTGCTGGGACTCCAGGCCAGACCTGGGCTGCACGGTGGGCAGAGGCATCTGTAACCCAGACAGCGCCAGCCCGATGGTGACCCAGTCACGCAGATTCAGACAGGGAGGAAGTACCACCAGGAACGAACGCTGCTCCATGGCAACCCAGATGTGCCAGAGAGGGCCACAGCTGCCCAGCCCAGGAAGCCAGACCACGGCACACACAGAGAGTCTACTCCCCTCGGGAGAAGGCCCCCTTTCCAGGGTCCACCCAAGCAGTCTCCCCGGGACAGTCTCCAGCACAGCCCTCCCCATCACAGCAGGGTGACCCTGGGCCAGCACTATCAGAAGGAGGCCCGATGGAGGTGGCCCCATCCCACCCTGTGAGACCCCAGCCAACCACAGAGGCTTCGTGTGGGCAGGAGAGGCAAACGAGCTGAGCTTTTCCCGGCAGACAGGAGGAGTGCATGGGGTCTTTCTCCACTCAGATGGGAGAGGCCTTTGTGGATAAGAAAGCAAAACAAAAGCGAAGACTACAAGGCCATAGTCTCACTGAAAGCCGTGAGAGGATGGCACAGGAGCCAGGCAGATGGCGCAGGAGCCAGGTGTCTCTCTGCTCTGCCTGTTTGCTGCTTCGTCAGGGAGGTTCTCTGTCAGGCAGGCATCCAACCCCCATTTCCTTGGCTAAGGGAAGGCCAAAGCGCAGCAGAGGACCCATCTCTTACCTTGTCCCTGCCCATGCGCCAAGATGGCACCCAGCCACAGCCAGAGGCAGAAGCGGAGGTCGCGGTGGCCCTGGGGGTTCATGCTGTGCAGCCTGCGGAAGGAGGGGCCGCAGCATCTCATCTCCTGCCCACCTGGTCTTTCCCCTCCCAACCAGGAAGCCAGCGCTTCCCATCTGTGGGCCTGCCCAGGGCCCCAGGCCTGTGACCTCTGTCAGGGGGATCCTGGTGTTCCTCTGAGGGCTGCTACCCTCTCCAGTAGATGCACACAGCCAGGGGCCAGGGGGTGACTCCAGGGTCAGGCCCCACACAGGTGGTCTCAGGCCAGGCCCCTGCTCCACCTCTACCACAGCACACACTGGGTCCTGTGCCCTTCCAAGCTGAGCAAAGGTCAAGTGTGGAATTCCTTGGTGGAATTCCAGTCTGGGCACCTGCAAGACCCCCCAAGCTCCTTGTCCAGTGTTCTGCATGACTTAGGACCCCTAACCCACCCATCAGAACAGAGCCCCCCCGCTTCCAGCTGTGTGTTGCGGGGTGACCCGCTAGGGAACTAGCCTTCCCCAGAGAGGATCCCACCCAGTGGGAAGCCTGCCAGCAGTGCAAGTCAAGGCCCCTGGTGCTGGTCTGGCAGTGAGCCAAGGCCAGGAGACCAGGCACAGGCAGCCTGGGGGAGGGCACTATAGGGAGTTACCCGATGACCAGAGCTACCAGGTGAGCGCGCAAGCACTCTCCCAGGACCTTGCACCCTCCTGATCATACTCTGAAGCTGGACACCTCTCGTGATTATAGCTGCAAACACAAGCCCCTCTACTAGACGTCCACCCTCCTGTCTCCTATGATGCAGAGACCCCCACAGGTCAGCGAGAACACGGGGCAGCCCAGTTCTTCCACTGCACCCTGGTCCTGTGGGTCCTGCGCCTGCTGCCCACATAGGAGCTCAGCTCCTGGCTCAACCTCTTGGAAAGGTCAAGGTGGTCCTCAGACCAGACCAAGTGGTCCTCCGGCCCCTTCGCTACCTAGCTAGACTGCAGACAAGTCACCAACCTGCTCTGAGGACGCAGCGCTCACTGCTCAGGGCCCTCTGGTCCACTCTGGGGCTGTGGCCACAGGATGACCGGGGCTTATGAGAGGCCCCTCTCCTCCCACGTCACTGCCCCGCCCACGCCACAGCCCCTCCCCTGCCCACTGCTATGTTGGGGACATCCGATGGGTGACAGCAGTCCCAGCAGGATGGACCCCATTACACGTGGCTAAGAGTCTTGCCAGAGGCAGCCTGGCCAAGAACCTTCACTCCTCCCTTCCAGAGGGCATACCCAAAAGAGGAGCCCGCAAGGAAGGCCACTGGGGGACCAAGGCCCCAAGCGTGGCCCTGGGCACTAAGCTGCAGAGTGCTTGGCCCTAGGGGAATCGAGTCTACTCATTGTGAACAGACTGGAAGAGTACCTGGGCCTCACCTGGCCTCAAAGCATAGACTCCCCACTGCTGTGAGCCCCAGGACCCCAAATCTGCCATGCCCCAGTGGCTCAGGCCCACTGTACATTCCCTACCTGACAGCAGGGTGGCTACTGCCCCAATCCAGCCAGCCCAGTTCCTAACCCTCCACAGGCTCCACCCAGGCCCCCTGCTGCACCCCACTGGACCCCAGACCCTCCCATGCCAGCCCTACCCAGTCCAGGGCCCAGAATAAAGCCCCACCCACCTAGTACTGGCCCTGCCTTGCTCCCAGCCTCAGAGGAGCCCGCAGGACTGGGGCAGTACACCACCACCTCTCCCCGCATGCCTCCCTACTGGGCCCCTTGGGGACAGAGACCCTTCCCTGTCCTGGGCCATGCCCATGGCAACAGCAGCTGCTGGGGTGCCTGATGTCCCCTTCTCTGAGCCGGGTTCCCTGAAGCTGGGACACTCCTGCTGAGTGCCTTTGCTGGTTGACATCTGAAAGGATCATGTGTGCCCTGGTGTCCACACCAAGGATGTCTTGGAGGTCAGTGCGGCCCTGCACAGCCCGCCTCTTCTGATGTTCACAGGGCTGCCCACCCTTCCCTGTCTCGTGCTCAAGGACCTAAACAGACCTGCCTTTGCCTGGCAGACGTTACTGCGGAAGTGTGCGCAGCCTGAGCTCGCAGGCACCTGGGAATGTGCACACTCACATCCATGCACGAGCTGGGGTCAGTGTCCATGGCACTCCTGGGACTATGAGCCCTGTACAGTGATGGGTCACTAGAAGGGCTTGCTGGTTAGGAGTGACCACACTGCTGAACTCTACCAGGTGGCTCCTAGAAGTCCGTCTTAGAAAACACCCTGAAAGGGCAGAGTTGGCCTTGCAAAGTCCACTGGGTAGGCCAGTGCCTTGGGCAGGGAATTGGGTGGAAAACTGCAGAGGTGTTTGAAAGCCAGACACCTCCTGGGGGTCCAGTGGGTGGTCAGCTGGGCCCCTAGAGCTATGGAGGGGTTCACTGTCCATACTCCACCCTCAACCACTTGGCCCAAGGGCAACACCAGGCTTCAGGCAAAGGGACTCAGGGACCACACTGCACCCAAAGCACACTGGGCCTGGGCCCGGCACCTATACTAACCTGAGACAGGGCGCCTTCTGGAGACAGTGGAAACAGCCGACTCCAGATCTCCATGGGTCTGTCCTGACTAAGGTCACCCGACATCAGAACACAGCCCCGACCCCTCAGCATCCTCTGTGCCACTGCCCACATGGGGTCTGAGTCATCTTTGGAGAGCTGCCCTCTCACCCATGGCCCTGGTATGCCAGAAGCTACCGCCTGCCTGCCTGGGACCTGGGCAGAGGCCACTGGTCGCCTCCTCCTGCTGTACTTCCTGTACCACCTACCTGGCTGTGGTCACCCAGGGGAGCCACAGCTGCTCAGCTCTTGGGTTACACAGCCCCAGAGGACCCAGCTCAGAGTGCATGCCGGGCCTCCCAAGGGGATGGGGGACCAGTGGACCTTTCCACAAGGCACTGAGTCAGCCAGAGCATCGAGGCTGCTGCACCTCCCAGGCCCTTTGCTGGTCCCTGTCCACTCACATCCACAGTGGAAGTGGCCCTTCAGTTCACCAGGCGGCCGGTGTTCCCACGTGCTTTACTGGGATGCTACTGGCAATGCCCCGGGTACAGGACTAAGGACCCAGCAACGACCAGGCTGCACTCTATCCCCGCACCACTGTTTGCCCTTTGCTGAGTGGTCTTGGAGGGGACCCACAATAGAGCAGGACTCAAGCAGTCTCTGTGCGTGCACGCGGCCAGGCCATTCCCCACATCCTGGCGGTGGCTGCCCGAGGGCGCCCTATGCACTGCCCATCCAGGGCAGCTCTCCCCTCCTCTCAGAGTTCAGCGACCAGCTAAGGATGGGGCTGTGTCCACGCCAGCAGAGGCCCCGCCCACACTGTCTCCTGAGCTTTTCACTGTGACCTGCGCGGGCTTTATCGGTCCTGTGGCTCTTCTCACCCTGACCTCTAACCTGGCCTTCTGGGAATAAAGCCCAGGAGTGACCTCTTCCTGATGCCTGGCCCACCTACGAGGACAAAGACCCAGGAGGCTCCCAGATCTGAGGCCTGGCCACCTGCAGGCAGCTAAGCCCCATGGAGGCAGTGGAGCACAGCAGCAGAGGGGAGGAGCGCGCTTGCTACACATAAACCACACGGGCGCTTCAGGTGCATGCACTGCTGGTCAAACCGAGGGCACAGAGAGGTGGTGCAGGAGAGGGCCCCCACCCTCCAGCTATGCCATAGCAGCGTAGTCATCAGATCCTGGGGGAAGGGCAGTCAGACCAAGGTGCTGGCATCGCAGGCATGGTGCCCACAGAACACGTGTCCCACGGTCCGGGGAGCCCACACGGCTTGCACTTCACATGGGTGACAGGTTCAGAGCCTGGGAGGCTCCACGTGGTCAGTGAGACCCGACGGCCAGGCCTGAGATGAGGTGGGTGTAGGAGGACCTCGCAGTGCTCAGGCTGAGGGAGGGCCTGGCCATCGCAGGCCCAGACTGCTCGGTGTCCTTCAGCTGGGCGCGCAGCTCCAGGGAAGCCACCCTGGACCCCCAAAGTGGCCCAGGAGCCCTGTGCTCTCCTGTCTGCCCTCCCTAGCAGCCCCTGCACCAGCACAGAGGGGCGGCCACACCAAGGCTGCCGGCACTCTGTTCCCGTTTCCGTGTCGGCAAGGGAAGTGTTCAAGTGCTGAGGTCAGCTCTGCATCAGGAGAGGCCGGAGCCACAGAGCTGTGAGGCTCATCCAGAGAAACTGAGGCGGGACGGCGCCCCAGGAAAGCTAGAGCTTGAGGGGTGAGTTTCACAGCATATGCCACAGACACGGGCTGGGGGAGGGGTCCGATGGCAGTGCGAGCTCTGGTATTGCTTTCAGCATCTCCACCTTTAAGACTTCAGGCATCTTCTTCAAAAAGAAAAAAAAAACAGCTAGCCCACTTCTTGAAAGTTAAAAACACATTTCAACAGAAATACATGTCTGGCATTGCCGAGAGCCCTGTGCCTGGCCACCTCCGGCAGCAGCAGACTCCTGCTTTCGATGGCATCCCGTCCCAAGAACGGAGTCCAGAGGCTGGGGGGACCCCTGGCCTGCGATCGGCATCCCGTGTGGCCGGGCGCTGCCAGGCGCTCGACCGGGGTTGGAGGTGGCACCCCTCAAGTCCTGCCTGGGATGCCATCCTGGTGCTGCAGTCACTGCTCTTGCTTGGATCAAACAGAAGGGGGAATGGATGAGGGCAGAGTGCAAACACAGCAGCCACCCTGCAGGGCCGGGCAGGACAGCCGGCACTACCAGTTCTGGTTGTCCCAGCCCTCGTCCACAGCCGCGGACGCAGCCGCCTTCTTGGGGGCCTTGGCCCTGCCCTCCCCACCCGCGCCCTCCCAGCTCTCCCAGCCGTCGCTGTTGCTGTGCCTGTTGTTGGACGCAGAGCCCGAGCCCCACACATCCCAGCTGTCCGAGCTCCTCCTTCCTGTGGAGGCGTCTGCGCAGGTCCAGCTGTCACTGCTCGGGGACTTGGCCTTGGAGGGCTCGGAGCTGCCGAAGGTCTCCCAGAAGCTCTGGTCAATGGTGTTGTTCTGGAAATTATCCCCACTGCTGTTCTGGTAGCTCTGGCTCTCCATGGGCCTTTTCACAGAGAGGGAGACACTCAACAGATGTCACAAACCACATACTCACACTGTCCGTCCCCTGGCTCCAGCATCTTGGGTTTTAGGGGCACGGAGAACCACTCCGTGGGCCCAGCCCCCTCTTGGAACCCCACAGCCCATGTGTGGCCACAGCCCCCCGCAGCTTCACTGCCCCTGCACCTACACCTAGACAGGCAGCACTTCCCAGCCACTCTTGGGCCCACAGGCACCAGGTGGGAACTGGTTCTGTCACTCTGCAGAGGGCCCAGGGCACCACTGGTGGCTCACCTGAGAGGACTGAGATGGTCCCCTGACACACCGAAGAGAACATGAGGAAAGGAGGATGTGGCCTTCTGCCTATGAGCAGGGAGCCGTGGGGGCCTAGGGTAGGGGAGCAGGCAGGCCGTGTCTCGGGCAGAGAGGTCACTGAGCATGACACCCACACAAAGGCAGGACACTGGCTGGGGATGCTGCACTAGGGACACCACAGTCTCTCAGCCCAGGATGAGGGACACAGGGCCCTGGTGGGGCACGCATACCTGTCTGAGTGCTCATCTGTTTTTCCAGAGAAGAAGGTGGTGACATCCCGCCATCCCTTACTGCCGGCTCCCTGGACCTGGAGGGAGACCAGAGGCTGGGCAGGGGCTGCTCCGCAGGGGCCTCTGCCTTCAACCCAAACACAACCGCCAACGGCCCTGCTGAGACCTAAGTGACACTGGGAGTGCGAGACACAGGCACACACACAGCACAGAGCGGTGCTCGGGTAATGTGTGAGGTGCCCACTGCTAGATTTCCCGTCAGGGGCTGCCCCTTCCCCACGGTTCACCCTGAATCTATTGCTGCAGTGGGGCCAGCACAAGGCTGTATTCACAGGCTCACACTCCTGTCAGTGGATGCTGCTGGCCAGCACAGGCCTTGTCTTTACGACAGTGGACAGAAGGCCCGAACACGCTGGCCCCACCCAGGACACTACATGCTGGGAACATGACAGACACTACGCACACCTCAGCAGGCTCCAAGGCAGAGATCACACCAGCACTTACCTCAGAAAGGCCCAAAGGCAGCAAGTGAGACAAGGGGAAGGAGGAGCGACAGGTTAGCAGCTGACAAAGCCCCGCTGGTTGAGCTGTTTCCATATTCCTCAAGCCCTCAGACAGCCAGAGGACAGTGGCCGCCATCACGGCTGGCCGAGGCCCGTGAGATACAGCTCCTGGGCCACCTCCATGGTTGGCACCAGGCCACAGGGCTGGAATATGGAGACTGGCTCTGGCTGCACCCGTATGGCAGGCAGGGCCTGCCCTACCTTGGACGCCAAATGAGAGACCCCACTGGACACATCCTCAAAAATCCTTCCCTCCTTCACCTGTGCAGATTGAAAGGGCACTGTTAGGGGATTAAAGCTTCAAAGAAAAATGGAGACCTCAGGTGTGAAATCCCCTAAAACAGCTGCCGGGGAACCACCTGTCACATTAAACCCCAAAAAAGACTGACAGTAAGCCAGGCTTAGTAGCACATGCCCATAATCCCAGCACTCTGGGAGGCTGAGGCAGGAGAGTATTAAGTTTGAGTCCAACTTGGGTAACTTAGCAATTTAGTGAGACCTTGTCTCAAAATGTAAAATACAAGGGTTGGGGATGTAGCTCAGTGTTAAGGCCTTGGGTTCAATCCCCAGAACCACAAATAATAATGACCTGAGACCCCAACACTGGCTTCAACATCAAGACCTCTTTGCCATGCAGGCTGCATCCTTCCTCAGAAGTGCCTCCTGCCTGGGCTGGTTCATGCTTTGCTCACGCCCTCTGAGGGCAGGCGACTGGGGTAAGTGGCAGAGCAAGGGTGAGCCCGGAGACGGTGGGCGGGACCTTGGCAGGGACCTTAACCAGAGGAGCGGGTGGAGCTGGCCTCGCTGACGCAGGGGTGCAGAACAGCACAATGCCCCTGTCACGCATCTGCTCCCCCAGAAACCAGGGACCTGGTGAACGCAGCGCCTTTTGGCCACCGGTGCTGCCCATACCTTCTCCTGTGCAGGCTTGAGGACATTCTCGTTCAGGCTGTGGCCCAACTCTGAAGCCTGTTGGAAGGGACACTTTGTGAGGTCCAGGAAGCAATGCTCACCACAGAACACGGGCAGTACAGGGAAGCGCAAGCTTTGCCATGTAGGGGAAGCAGCGGGACTTGGGTACACAGGGCAGTGAGCCACGGGTCACAGAAGGGCAGCAGATGACAACAGGAAGAGGGAGGCCCTCACAAAGCAAGGCCTGCGGTGTGAAGGGAGCTGCTCCACAGTCCTCTCCCGGGCTTGGCCAGCCAGACAGCAGGCGGCAGCTCACAGATCAAGGGCAGCAGGGTCAACAGCGACCCCTAGTGGCTGTAGGTGCCTCTCTCCCCTCCCAGGGTCCCACCAGGAGAGAAGTGGCACAGAGGCTGGGCAGAGAGCAGAGAGGACACAGCGTCTCCTACAGCACTGTGGGGCCGCAAGGCCCCGGGACACCACATGTTCTCAAGGAAGGTAAAAGCACAGAGGAAGATTTTAAGAGGACGAATTCCATAACACAGGAAGGACAGTCCCCAGCAGGGTGGAATTCTCCTGGGTACTGACTATTTGATTAGAGGTAATTAAACCATAACATCAGAACCGTGCCAAGCAGCCCATTTCCCGGGGCTCCACCTGGCCCAGCCAGTGCGCCTCATCGACAGGCCCTGGGCTCTGGGTCTTGCGAGAAGCTGCAGGCAGAAAGATGGTGTGGACACAGCTCACGCGGACGGCAGGCACGTGGGGCAGGTGTGGGCGGGGGCAGCACGTGCTCAGCAGACTCGGGCAGCATGCACCAGCAGACATGGGGCTTTACCGGCTCTGGCTGCTGCTTGTAACCCCAAAACTTGACCCAGACGGCACGGACACAGGTTAGCAGAGAGAGAGCAAGGTGGTAGGAGCAGCATTTAGCAACCGGGCAACACCTGAGAATGCACCCCTTGGCTGAGCTCTCGCTAATGGTGCCGCAGGTGGGCGTCGCCAGACCTCCAGCCAGCCTGCTCTGAACTTACCCATTCCACACGGGTGTGAGTCAGCCTGACAGAGGCTCAGAGACGAGCCAGGGAAGTGCTCCCAGGGTGGGTGGCTAGCGGTGTGCAGGGCCAGAAAAGCCCTCAGAGGCTGAAGAGCCCAGCGGACAGTAAGTGCTGCATCGCAGGGGGAAGGGGCTGCATGACAGCTGCCCCTCCTTGTTCGGGGCTTGAGGGCAGGCCCTAAAAACCTGCCCACAGCACAGCAGAGCCCTGACCAGACTCTTTGCACCTCAGGGCAATGCTAGGGGCACACCAGGTTTTGAGGAAAAAAGAAACATCAAGACCACAGACTACTACGGCATCCAAATATCATGCCACCTCAGGGAACAGCCAAGGTGCACCTCCTGTGGCCAGGCGGCTGCATACCAGTGTCCAGTCCTGTCCCAGGCCAGGCTAGCTGCACTGTGGCCTCCTTCTGTACTGGATGCCAGGGAGCGGGGAGGCCCTACACAGGGGCAGCCTCCTGTGCAGCACTGCAGTGGCCACACAGATGTGATTATGGGAGCCAAGGCCCCCATCAGACTCACAAGAAGTTTTTATTTTTTTTGGTACTGGGAATCAAACTCAGGACCTCGTGCTTGCCAGGCAGGTGCTGTGCTGCTGAGCTATATCCTCCGCCCAAGAGTTTTAAAACATACCAGGCAAAAGCTCCTCTTTTGCTGGGCATGTTGCTGCACACCTATAACCCAGCACTCTGGGAGGCTGAGGCAGCAGGATCACCAAGTGCAAGTCCAGCCTGGGCAAACTAAGACACTGCCTTGAATTAAGAACAAGAATTATTCACAATGGGGACACAGCTCAGTGTAAAGGCCCTGCGTTCAATCCCTGGTACCAGGGTGGGAAAAAGCTTCTCTTTTTTACCTTTTGACTTGCTTGGGATCCAAACTTTGTAGCCTAAAAGGAAAAACAAAGAGCATTTTAGTCAGTAATCTTAACGCTGACCACTAAACTCCACTTCTGCAGAGCGAGGATGGTTCAGTCCCAGCACTGTCTCCTGATGCCACCCACACTGACAGTGCTAACCTGGCGACAGCTCCAAGGTGCCCACAGCTCCGGCAAGGCCTGGATTAGCATAAATACGTGCTCCAGGCACTGCTGAGGGCTTGGGGCACACCCAGGCCACACCAAGGATGGAGGAAGCACAGAGCCAGCTCCATCTCTGAGAGCCAGGCCCGGCAGCCACCAGCACTGTCCTCAGTGGTCCTCCCACCACCCAAGCCCTGCTCTGGCCCACTGTGGCGGCAACTCGGTGCCCAGCACACCCAGGCACATGGCTGCCCACACACTACTTGCTGCAAGGAGAGGGCAAAGCCAGTGACAGGCACCCGAGGACACACGGAGCCTCAGTCCTTGTCAAGAGCACAGAGCTCCAGCAAAGCCACTGCCGCGTGCGGGAAAGCAAGAGCCACCCAGTGGCTTCCAGCTGGCTGGGCTCATTGGGCCAGGCCGCCTCCGTCCCTGCTCCATCTGGCATCATGGCCACATGGTCCAGCCCAGGCGCTCTCCTCCAGGGCCTGCTCCTTCTGGGTACTATGTTCGGGCAGCCTGCCTCCTCCTCCAGGGCTTGTCAGATCACTGCTGAGGCACATTCTTCGTGGACACCACCACCTGTCCCAACCAAACTCCCAAGCCCTTCCTTCATTTCAAGCAAAAAAAAAAAAAAAAAAAAAAAAAAAAAAAAAAAAAAAACCGCAAGAAAATCCAGCCCACCTCACCACTACACTGAAGACCCAGAGGCACTCACAACCTACTCAGTGGGTGAGAGCAGAGGTGTGGGATCAGCCAGGGTCACATCTGCCCCCACAAAAGGGAAGATCAACCTCTGCAGGGAGGTAACCATAGAAACATCTGGGACCACAGCAAGAACACCTGGGTTGTCCTGTGGCTGCCAAAGCCTTGGGCCTCTCTGCTGGGAAGCAAGAGCCTACAGGACCCCTCAGTACCTCTGTCTCCCCGGCCGCCAGTAGGCGGCAGCCGGCACACACCGCAAGGGTACTTACGCCTTCCTTAGCTGCAGAGGCAAACTTGCTTGCTCCGGTGGTAAAACTGCTCCAGCCCTGAGGAGGCAACAGAGGAGGAAGCTGGCTGTGCCCAGATCCTATGGGCACTGTGCTCTGCCCACCTCAGCAGCCAGAGAGCATTCTGCAGGGGCACCGCAAACACCCCTGCCGTCCCTGCCGCTTGTGAGTGAGTGAGGTACCTAGCACACCCCACCCCCTGGCCACCAGCACATGGCTCAGAGTGCACCAGGCTGTCTGCACAAGGGAACTGGCCGCGTCACAGGGAGACCCCCAGGGCCAGGCAGTCTGTGGGTCCCCTCCCACCTCTGAGAGCAGACCGTGGGTGAACAGGATCACAGCCTTTCCGTGAGTTCAAGGTCTTCTCCTAAGCCTGCTAAGGTAAATCCACTCATTCACTTGTTCACTGAGTTGGTGGAACTGGGGATTGGACCCAGAGGTGTTCTTCCACTAAGCTATGTCCCCAGTGACCCTCAACCCTTTTTCATGTTTTTTTTGTTTTTTTTTTTAAACAGTCTTACTATGTAGTTTTGGCTGGCCTTGAACTTATAGCAATCTTCCTGCCTCAGCCTCCCAAGTGCTGGAATTACAGATGTATGCCACCACACCCAGCTTACGACTTAAAAAAAAAAGTTAACCCTTTTTTTAAAGACAAGGTCGTGCTAAGTTGTTCGTGTTGGCCGCAAACCTGCAGTCCTCTTGCCTCAGCTTCCCATGTAGCAGGGATTATAGCACATAAGAGTGCATGTCAGGAACAAAAACAGCACTTTTAAAAATGGTTTTTCTTATATAAGAAACCCAAAATATAAATAAAGAACAAAATACAGGTAACAGAAGGAAGGAGATCTTTTTTAACTGGGAAGGGGGGCAGTTGATGAAGGGAGGGAAGAGAGAGAAAGGGGATGAAAAAAAGGAATCAAAGAAAAAAAAAGGAAACAGAACTTTTGCAAATGGGAAAGGAACCAAGAGCGGAAGGACTGGGGAGGACTGAAAGGGGAGGGGGTGAAAATGAATTGAGATGCCTTATGTCCATGCACCAATCCCCACAAAAATGTAATCATTCTGTACTACAAACATGTATCAATAAAATTTTTAAAGTGATTTGAGTTGCAATAAAAGGAAATTTTGACATAAAATTTTTTTAAAAATCATGTAAAAGGCAGGAAAAAGAAGGGTTGACAAAATGTATTTCTATACTCAACAGCTGGCCTGGGATGTCACACCCAGAATATCTGCCCTTGAACTTCCAGAAGCCCCTACACAGGCAGACACTGCAAAGCTGCACACTGCCACCTGAGAAGACACCAGGCCTGTCTGGTGTCTGCACCAGGACCTCACCTCCTGGGTACACCCATGAGACACAGATACCCAGGGAGGTTGGGTCTGCGTCAGGCAGCACCAATAGGCTGCTAGGTTCCACAGGACCTTCAGCTCTTTGAAGGAGTGTACCTTGTTAAATTCAAAATATGTATTTTGTAATGTATTTTGGATCTAAATAATTTAAACCATATTTTTAGAAGGAAATTCCACTGAGAATAAGGAGGGGGGCCTCCAACCAGACCCATCAGAGCAGGCCATGGGGGGCTGTCCACACCGCCCGGGCCTGGGCCACCCCTTGAACTGTGTCTGCTGCAGGGGCACCCTGCAGGGCCTGGAGTCCTACCGAGTACAGGGAGGACATGGCGTTGTTAAGGAAATCATCTTCTCTCTTCTGAGGTGGCACCGTGTTCCCAAACCCCACATAGCGGTTCTCCTGGGCCCTGAGAAGGAAGGACAGATGGGGAGAAGCCACTGCCTGAATCTCGCCATTCCTACATAGCCCAGACCCTGGCCCCCCACCTCCCAGACATGTTGACCCCCACAGGACGTGCTGCTTCCAGCAGAACTTACACACAAGTCACTGGCATGCACACTACAAAGTCCCCCTACCACACTGTCTGAGGGTCCCCAGAAAGACCCAAACCCTCATAACCAGGGTTTCTGGAAGAAGCATCGAAGTAACTTAATCAGTGGCTTTAGGGATACAAATTTACTCACAGGCCAGGCAGCTGACATGAAGAAAATGCTTCCTTTTGTTCAGTGTTCAGCCTAGACACCAGTGTTCCTTTTGTTCCTTTTGTTCAGTGTTCAGTTTTCTCTATACTCAAGACTCCCAATTCAAACCTACCTGGCCGGGACTGGCTGTGCATGCGCACACGCTGACTGCTCAGCCCACAGAAGGAAGCAGCCTGTCCTCATCGCCTAAACCTCCCCCAGACACCTGAAGCATTGCCTGCTTCCCAGGCCTTACCCTTGGTAGGAGCCAAGGTCATCATTCAGCCAGTCTTCGAAAGCCTTGTCAGCAGAAGCCGTCACATTCTGTGGCTGGCCAGAGGGTCTGAAATGGAGTCAGAGGTCAGCATAGCCAGCACCAGGAGGAGCAGGAGGTGGCGGGCTGTGACCCAGCAGGTGGCCTGGCAATGCCAACTGGAATCACGTGTCTGAGTGCAAAAGCCCTTCCCATAAACCTGGAAGGCACCTAGGTGAGTCTGGGCTCCAGCTCCGTCCCCAAGGGATGCTTGGGCTCAGCTACTGAAGCCACAGTAAGGACAGCCTCAAGGGTCTGAAAAGCAGCAGACAGAATGCCACACACTAGTGGGAAAGGTGGGAGGCCCCAAGTCAGGAAACAAGCTGAAGCTGCAGCAGTGTGAAGGCCTCCTGGTGGTCCTACAGGACAGCAAGGTTGTGCTGGCTCCCAGGGCACAGAGAGCCTCCTGTGCCCTGCTGACCTGCTCCTGCCTCCACACAGGAGAGTCCCTGCAGCGGGACCTGCGACGCAGCCATTGTGGGGGGGCCGCAGGGTGACGGGCAACTATCCACATCCCCAGCCTGCTACCATCCTACGGCCATACAACACACCTAGAAGGAGACATGCCAAGCCTGTCTGAACAGGGTGCAATGCACTGGGTAAATTTTCTCTAAAAACCCATACTGTTGCAGCAGTTTCTAAAGCTGGCTTTGCAAACAGCTCAGTTGGAGTCATTTCCATGGCAGTGGGGGAAAGAAAGCTTCTGCGGAGTCCTGAGCTACAGCCAAGATTAGGGTCCACTGGGAACAGTACTAGGCCTGGCCAGCAGGAGTAACTACCGGTGGGCCGTGGATGCCAGTATCTTGGGCTGAGGTGGGGTCCAGTTCTGGGCAGGCGATGACTCCAGAGACCATTCTCTGCCTTCAGCCAGAGTGGCCACCTGAGAAGAGGACAGGAGACTGTTAGGGTGCGCACACTTCCCCTCAGGGCACTCGACCCCACATGCCAGTGCCCCGCAGGCAGCTCCCCTGGGCCTCATGCTGCCTGTGATGAGTGACAGAGTGAGCGAGCTTGCAGTCAGTGTAGTTCAAACTTCAAATGCATAGGGATGCATTTATCTGGCCCCAGAACAACAGGCTTGCCAATTTCTCAGAGGCATTGCCGCCAAGATGTATGAGAGGCATTATAATCAGTTCCTCTCCTCCAGTTAATTATAGGGCACTTGGTCCCTCCTCAGGCAGGAAGAAGAGCTTGCTCTGGATGAGGCAAGGGTCACATGTCTTTGTTTACACCTGAGCTATGCGCAGTCTCAACTGACAACGTGCCACAAATGTGGTGACTCAGTGCCCCCGAAGCTATGTTCCAGCTGCCATGAACTGGTGGCACAGCCTGGACACCAGAAAGAGCAAGCAGGCCTGTGTTTACCTTGTCCCTGAAGAGTGCTGCAGCTTTGCTGTTGTACTTGTCCTGCAGGGACCAGCACGGGTCGTAATCCTCCTGTGACTCCAGGAACTCTCGGAACTTGGCATTCCCACCAGCCTTCATCTTCTCGAGCTCCATGTCCTTCCACTTGTCCATTGTAACAGAGCGCACGAAGCTAGGAACCAGAGGCACACCGGTTATCCAGGGCCAGGCAGATAAAGGAGCCTCCCCACCTAGGGCGGGCTGTGAACCAGACACAGTGTTTCTTGTAGTGAGACAGAAGCTAAAAGAGGCTACAAGGAGGCTGCGCAGCCAGCAGCTGATGAGCCTGGCCAGAGTGGCACTGAGTGGGGAGCAGCCCCTGGTCAAACAGTACTTTGGGTGACAGGTGCCCACTGTGACCCAGATGCGAGGTTAGACAAGAGGATCCACAGGGCTGAGCAGCAGGACACTGACCTGAGATGCACCCCAAGCCCGCGGTGTTTCCCAGAGCACTCCAGACAGATCCAGATGCCGTAGGTCACGCTGACCCACTGAGGGTTGAATGCACCACACTCAAAACAAACCTGCAAAGGGCCACGTGCAACTCAGCAGGTACTAAGGGCAGAGTCTGACCCCAAAGACCCAAGACATGTCCCCAGAAAGGTGCAGAGGAGGGGCAAGCAGCATATGCAAGGCCTGAGGGAGAGAGCCAGCGCCGGCAAGCATGGAGGGGCTGCCTGGGTTCCAAGGGAGGGGGGGTCTGGGTGAAGCCTAGACACCAGCATTAAGAGGAACAGCCCCCACCATAAAACTTTTATGAGAAAGATGAAGTAAACCGTGGGTGCAACCTGAGCACCACAGCAGGAGCTCCGCCCCCTACAACTGCATCAGTGAGCCCCCCACGACACTGGTCAGCTCCACCGACCACTCCAAGGAGTGGCACACAACCACGAGGCACGGCCAGGGTGCACAGGCCGTGGAAGCACAAGCACCCCGTGGCTGCACAAGCACCCCAAGGCGTACACTCACATTGTTCTCATCTTGCACTCTGACTTCTTTGAGAACTTTCCTGGTCCTTGGGCTCGCCATAATGCTGCAAAGGAGGAAAACAAACCCTTAAGTTTACAAATGGATCACTTTACAAGCAAATAAACAGACAGCTCAAAACCACTACCGAGCGGAAACTCCGAAAACTTTTGGGGAGTCCCTTGGAGGGGACAGGGCAATGTTGCCCCCTACGAGCAGTGCACAGCCCACTCACTGAGGCTCCTCTTCTCTACCCTCTGTGGTGCCCCAGGCCATGCCAGGGCAGTGCTTAGGGATGCCAAGAAATAACTGGTGGCATCCACGCTAAGTACCACCGAGACTCCATGATTCACAAAAGGTCCTGTCTCACAGCAAGTTCTTTACAAAACACGCACAAATTGACTGTTAAACGTGACTCTATCTAAAAAATAAGTATGACAGAGGCTGGGCCCCCGGCCTTTGAGGCCGGGCAAAGACATGTTCCTGACTGATGGTGTGAAGAGGCCAGCCTGCTGGAGGGTCTGCAGGTAGGTCCTTGGTGGGGCCATTCTGAGAGGCAGAAATGCCAGACGGTGAGGCCACTGCAGGACAAGAACTGTGGCCCACATACCACTCGACTCCCAGCGACCCCGGTGGGGGCAGCAGCAACGAGGCTCAAGCTGAAGAGAACAGCTACTTATTTCTTTATAGAACTAGCAGCTGCAGCGAAACTCAACTTCAACTGGGGCCCCACTTAGTTCACAACCAGGAAGTCAAAGCTGGAGGAAGAGGGTGGCACCAGCAGCAGTGTCAGATGTAAGGTAACTTCCTGAGCTCTGCAAGGGCCAGCACCAATGGGCCTGGGTTGCAGGCAGGGCCAGGACCTGAGGTCACTGCTGCCCTGCCAACCCCCAGCTGTGGGGTCACCTTTCAAGAGCTCATCTACCTCTCTAATGGACCCACACGCTGCTCCCTCCTCCAATTCACAGAGCAGCCCAAATACAGAAAGCACACAAGCACCCTGCAAGCGGTGGGAGTTACACACAGCGGCACTGTTGATACTTTCAGGGTTCTCTCCTTGCTACTTCAATGCTGTGCTGAAGACAACTGATTAGATTGGCTTTTCTGTTCAGTTAGGTGGAGCTTATTCTGATGTGCAATTTAAAAAAATAATAAATCAGATTCCCAGTACTAAAAAAAAATCAGAAAACTGTGCCCTATATTATTATTACTATCATCATCATCATATCACAGTACTGAGGACTGAACCCAGGGCCTCTGCACTGAGTTATATCCTCAATCCTTATTTTAATTTTGAGACAGGCTCTCACTAACTTACTAAGTTGCTCAGGCTAGGCTTGAATTTGTGATCCTCCTGTCTCAGCCTCCCAGAGTGCCAGGATTATAGCCATGTGCCACCATGCTCAACCATTTTAAATCTAAATCTGCAAAAATAAGGCATTCCCCAAGGAGAATGCTAATTCTCCATACACCCAACCTTCTCCCTTTGTAAGTCCCTGCCTCTTAACATTCACTAGAGCCCATTTTTAAGCTATTTGAGATTAGAAAATATTTGTTTTCTGTATGTGCATGAAACAAAACCTATAGCTCACCCTAGGCTCCCTTCCCCTCCATAATTCTTTGTGCGAGGACAGTGCTTGAAACCACATGATGATGCTTCTTCTAGCCTGCAGCAGTCAGACCCAGACTGACTCATTCAGTAGGAATATTGTAATCACAGTAAGAGTCTACTTATACACAGCACCGAGGCTGAGACTGGGATAAACACACAGAGACACCACAGCGGGTTTGAGCTTCACAAAGCCCTTTGAACACACTCTTTTCACAACAGTCACCTGCGGCCCTGTGACTCTGACAGAGGGGCCAGCAGACAGAGACCAGTGCGGCTCTCTCACTCAGCCTGACTCCATGGCACTGTGTTTGCGCTCAGGTGTCCACAACTTGGTCAGCAGAGCAGAGGCAAAATAAGTCAGGACCTGGTGAAACTGCTCTGAATTTCTAAGTGTGTGAAAGACTCACTGACTTCCTTGAGAGACAAAAAGCACCAAAAGTAAATGACTTGGCGTAGAGCTACATTAACTCTCCTGTGCGGCTAATCTTGGGTGTTTAAGTGCCTTTAGTTATCTGAAATGTTAAGTTTCATAACACGAAAACAAATGCCTCTTAACTTCAAGAGCATAAATATTGCTTATGTTGAGAAACAGTCCAGGAACTCAACACCTGAAACCCAGATGACAAAAACATTCCTCCTTACATGTCGAAGCAAATGAGTTCACTTTTACTAAGTTCACTAAGCCACTTGTCAGACCAAAAATACATTTGTTTTTTAAGTTGGAGCATGCTCCGCCTCTGAGACCTAAAGGGACGTTTCAGGACATCGCTTACTCCTAGTGACTCTATCTGCATTAACAGGTAACAGGGTGACTCTATCTGCATAACAGGTAACAGGGAGAAATACTAATTGTCTTTCTCACAGCTGTCTGAGGTACTCAAAGAACCCATGTCTAAGTACATGTTCCTCATCCTAAAGAACTTTGAAAGGCATGATACGGTCCCAGAAACGGATGTCCAAGCAAAGCTGAGAGCTACCTTATCTTTTGGACCAACAGTTAGGGCCCCACTTTGCTGCTGTCATTAACTGCGTAGGGCAGGAATAAGAGACCTAAGACAGACAAGTAGAATTCTTTCTCAGCTTGGAGTTGTTTAACAGGGCATAGCTCTTCTAGACACAGGTAAACTGAAAAAAGAGTTAAACGCCTCGTCTTCGTGTCTTTCCCTCCCTCCCCCGAAACAATCGCCCACGTCAAAGGGCGAAAACGAGAAAGCAAGCTGAGACTGGTGAGACTGCACAGCCCCTTCCTTCTGAGGGGTGCAAGCCGGTGGGATTCCCGGGAATCGAGTGGGCTGTGCCAGGCCGCGTCTGCGTCCGCAAGAGCTCGGGAAGCGGGTGCTGGAGGGGACTAACTGGTGGGCGACTCCTGATCCCGTGCGGGACTAGAGCGGCTTCAGACGGAGAGGGGTCACGGCAGGACGGCAAGGCTGGGAGGTACACGCGAGAGAGCCGGGTGCTCGCGGGGACACTGGCAAAGGACGGGGGACGCGGCCAGGTCCTGGGGGCGCGGGGCATTGCCGAGGAGCCGGGGCGTCAGGCAGCGTCGGGGCGCCAAGCCGTGCGCTTACCTGGCAGGAGGCGGACAGGGCCGCCGGGCAGGGCTGGGGTCGAGGTCGGGTCGCGACTAGGCCAGGGTCCGGCAGCGCACCGCCGAGCCGCACTGCACCGCCGAGCCGCACCGGGAGTGCGGGTCGCCCACCAGCCGCCAGCAGCTTCCGGCTACGTCCCACTTCGCACGGCCTCACGGGAGACCAGCGGGGCGGGACTTCCGCTTTCGTTCCCGAGCCCGGAAGCGCGGTCCCGTGGCCGGTCGCTGTACCTCGTCCTTCCGCTCGGACGTACGTGGACCGCGCGGCGATGGGCAGCTCCGGACCTCGTAAGCAGTACAGGCAGCACCCCGTAAAATGTGGCAATGAGCTCCCGCAACTTGGGACCCTTGAAGCTGCCTCGCTCAGCCGGGGGAGCCGGGGCTTCGCGGGCACTGGCCGGAGGCGAGGCGGGCGGGCGGCGTGTGCTGCCCTCCGCCTGGGCGCGAGGGGCAGTGAGCCGCGGACCCCCGCTGTGACAGTGGGCTCCAGCAAGCTGTTAAGGTGATTGCCTGGAGATTAATCGCGTGATTTTTGGTGTTGTGTTTGCTTTGTGCCTTTCTGTGTTATTCTTCACTGGTCTGTAGTTTTTGAAATGACCAAGAATGACCACCTTGTAGATATCAGCATGCAATGAAATGTACAGTTGAATGAATTTTGGTAAATGCAAACCCCTGGGGACCTTCATCACAACCAGTGTGAGAACATGCCCCGCACAATCGCCGCTGGTGGGATTTCGGTCTCCTTATCTTAGTTTTGTCTGACCTGGAGCTTCATATAAGTGTAATCACTAGAAGTGTGCTCTTAAAACGGCTTCTTTCACCATGGCGTGTTACCGGTGATCGAGCCCAGGACCGTCACACTGAGATACGCTTCCAGCCTTTTTATTTATTTTATTGAGACAGGACAACGTAATGTTTTTGAGATTGATTCGTGTTATGTATCAATAACTTACCACTTCTTACTGAGAATTCCACTGAACAAATGTGCCACCCATTCACCTGTTGGATGGACACTGGGGTCGTTTCTAAGTTTTCTAAGAATGAGAAAGTGGAAAAGAGACAAAGAGAAAGGCATTCCTAGAAAAGGTCCAAGTGGGACCGGCTTCTGGCATTGGGTAATCAGCCAGGAGGCTGTTTGCGATTGTGTGATTATAAAGCAGGGAACTCAGCACTGCCTCATCACACAGCCCACCAGGGTTGGGAGATCTGGGGCTGTAATCCCTGTAGAACAGGTGCCCAGAGCTGAGACAGAGATGTGACCCTCGCAGAGTCAGGGCAAGCCTGCCCCCTCAGCATCTACGGCTTTGGCACACATGGAGGCCAAGTCACAAGGAATCCACAATGGAGTAGTGAACAGTGAGGAAGGTGGAGCTGGAGATTGAAACATTTTATCATTCTGCCTAAAACATTCAGAAAACTGTAATTTGTTTTCTTCCAGAGCTGTGGGAGGCCCATTAATTTTCAGTTATAGTAATGGATCGTCATTGTGATTGCCACCCTGAGGCTCTTGAGTTCACTTGTGAGTGACACTGGGCGGAGTAACAGAAGCACAGAGAAATGTCGTCAGAGTAAGCGGCCAGGCAGAGCGGGAGGCCTCAGAGCAGCCTTGTCAGGCGAGGTAAGGGGAAGCAGAGCCACTGTCAGCCAGATTGCAGTGTGGTCACCATGGACATGGTACAGTGCTGCCTCTCCCTGGACTCCCCTTCCCACTGTGAAACAAGGCCTCTGCTTTCTAGGCCTGGCTGGAGTTGAGGCCTTGGGCTTGACAGGGAAGTTCTCGTTTAACCCAGAGCAGCTGCGCACTTTCTTTGTGATAGGAACTCATTGCTCCAATGAGTAATCAGGCAGGCGTAGAAAAATTTGGTAATTTGTTCTAAGTCAAAAATGCGGTACAGGGGCTGGGAATATAGCTCAGCGGCATAAGCGCCTACCTGTCAAGCACAAGGTTGTGAGTTTGATCCCCAGTACTGCAAAAAAAAAAGGCAATACAGTTTGGTGTGATGGCTCACACCTGTAATCCCAGCACTCTGGAGGCTGAGGCAGAAGTTCAAGGCCAGCCTGGGCTACATAGTAAGTTCAAGGCTGGCCTTAGGTGCGCAGTGGAGCCAAGGTTCACACCCAGCAGTCTGCTGTGTCTTCCTCAGAGTAGAAGGATATGGGGCTGGGGCCAGGCTTGTCCTTTGAACAGGGAAGCCCAGAGGTTTCATTCCAGAAGAGTGACAGGAAGTAGACATGGCCTTGGGCACAGGTCCCAGTGACCCTGCTCCACAGCCAGGTCAGCTAGTCCACAGGGTACAGCCAGCTCTCAGCAGGGGCGGCAGGACCTGGGCTAGAGCTACACAGGCGTGGTGAGGCTAGCCCGCGCGGGCTTTGTGTGTGTGCACGTGTGACGTGTGGGTGTGTATGGAGTTTATGTGTGTTTGTGTGACTGTCAGTGGTGCATTCTCTGTGTGAAGGAGTTGCATGTGTGGTCACACACCTTTAGGCTCATTAGCTAGGCTTGTCATCCTGGGTCCCCTTCAGCACAGTGACAGTGACATAGGTGCAGGTGGGGTGTGCTGAGGGTACACATCTGCCCAGGGTGCCCTGTGAGGCAGGTCATGCCATGCCCACATGGCACAGCTGCCAGGGCTGTGGCTTAGATGTGGGTGAGGTGCACTGGGGTCCTGATGCTCGTGGCAGGAGCATATGGATGCAGCCCCGCCTCCCCCACCTCAGGCCCTGGTCAGCCTTGCCAGAATGCCACATGGTGAGCATTACCAGGCAGGCTGAGGAATGCTAGGTTTGCCACTCTTTTCACACCTTTCTGTGCAGTGCACTTTGGACAGAAGTCGCGTGCAGCCACACTGAAGGTGTGGGAGGTCACGCTGCACTTCCTTACAGCAGGCAGGAAGGCGCGCGGTCCCCAGCCACCCAGCTGTGGTTCTAGGCTGCTCCCCTGCCAGTCAGGTCGTCTTCCTTCTCAGAGGAGGGCTGCTCTCAGGAAGTGTCACTGCCTGTGCCAGCCAGTCTCTGATGTCAGAACCCTCAGCCTCCTTTTGGACTTTGAGTGCACCCTGAAAACACCTTCCTGTTGGGCTCAGGCTGGGAACCCCGTAACCTCAGTCCACCATTCAGAGGTGTCTCTTCCGAGCCTTCAGTGAGTGTGGGGCCCTTGCTGGCCTCCAGAGTGCAGGTAAGCCCACCTGAGGCTCCCTTGGAAACAGTTCCTGCTGTCTCCTGACAGTGACTAGGAGAACATTGCAGCAGATGAGAAAGGTGTGGAGGGTCCAAGTAGGCTGGTGGGGTCCCGCATCCCACAGCACACCTGGGGCCGTGTGTGAGGAGGACCACTGGGTGGGGGTGGCTCCCGAGTGCACGTGCCTGCATGCACATACAACAAAAGGAAGTGCCTGGTGGCATGGGGGCAACAGGAAGGAATCGGCATGGCCTGAGCAGGGGACTGTTGGGCCAGAGGGAAGAACTAACCTTCCCCTGCCAGGGCCTGGTGGTTAGGACCCACAGTCCGCAGAGATAAACATACAAGTGGCCCTCTGTTCCTACCCCTGACCTTCCGTCATTTATCCCCAGGTGCACGTGCACCGTGTGGCAAATGCCCTGATGCTGGAAATCTAGAGGACAGGAGGCAGCGCCCCATGGGCAAGTGCTGGCTCCTGGGCAGGGTTTCTAGGCACAGTGGACGCTGCAGTGCCCACCCAACTCCCTTCCCCAGCGGCGCACCCACCCCAGATGTGGGTCCACTATGCGTCTGCGTCTGATGGCACCTCCTTTTCCAGGGAGTGCTTCCCCTGGCCTTGGGGCCACATCCCACCCAGACTATAGCCAGTGAGCGACAGATGGGGACACAGAGGATCTCCCACCACAGGGGCTGTCGCAAGTGCCAGAGCTGCTGCCCCCAGCCAATAGCGCCTGCCTATCCTGCCCTTGCCTATCCTGTGTCACACCCACCTTCCTCCTGAGAGCCTGTACCCGCCAAAAAAATTCACTATGTTGAATCCTAACCGCCAAAGAGACAGTGTTAGGAGGTGGGGCCCTTGGGATGAAGGGATTAGTGCCACTATTAAAGGGTCCCGGGGTGCTCCCTCGCCTTTTCTGGCCCAGAGATCTCAGGGAGCAGACCCCTCTGTTAGGCAGCAGGCCCTCCCTGGACAGCGGACCCTGGGCTTCCCAGGTCCAGACCTGTGAGCAGTAACCCTGTTGTCTGCACGCTGCCTTCTCTACGGTGTCCTGTTACAGCAGCCTGAGCACACAGCCAAGTACCTCCAGGGACCCGCTGGCACAGGAATCCACACTGCAGACTGTGCTTCTGGACAGCCTGACCTCCCTCTGCCGCCTCTGAGCTGGCCCGTGAGGTTGTCCTTCCTGTGACAGGAGCTAGCGTCTCAGTGCAGGGAGGGGACTGCGGAGGGCTCTCCTTTACGTCTCAAACCCTCGCCATCACCAGTGTCAACCTGCAAGTGTAGCTTGGTCATCCCGAAAAGCCCAAGCCGCTTTGGGTGGTTCTGGGTGCGAGAGCTGGTGATTCTGTGTCCACACTGTGTGCAGGCATAGCAGCTCTTTCCCTGGTCTGCTCGTCTCCTGACCCCCTTCAAGCCCAGAGACAGGAAGCACTAAGGAGAGGAGACCAAGGCAAGAGAGGCCCAGCATCTTGCCCAAAGTCACACAGCTCATGAGGACCAGAGTGGGTTCATCTGTGGTGGATCCACTGCGCCCCCTAATGCTGTCACCCCTTCTCATTAAGAGTCCCCGAACTCCTATCCAGACAACTTTCCTTCTTTCCAGACCCCCAGGCAGTACAGTCAGGTCCTCCAGGGAACTTGGATTCCATAGGTCTTTGCCCCACCCCTGTTGTCCTGCTGCCAGGAGCCCGAAGGCTCACTCACACCCTCCTCCCCTCCAGCTGTGGGAATCCCGGCAGCTTCTCTGGACCCCCTCCCTGGGCTGGCAGTCCCCAGGAGACCCCTAGGCTCCACCTCTGGGGCAGAGTCATTACCAGGACGGTGGCGGGTTCAAGCCTTGACAGCAGGGGTGGGCTGCGCTGGGGAGCAGTTGCAGCGTGGGGGACTCACCTCAGTGCAGGCTCCTGAGAGCTGGAAGGATGCGTCCTGCTGCACCATGTGGGGTTCCTGAGGGTGCATAGCCTCCTCTTGGGACCAGCAGAGCTGCCAATGGGAGGATCAGATGCTGATACTGGGGGAGTGGGTTTCTGTCCATCTCTTGTTCTGGGCAGGTGCCCATGCACTGTGTGGCAAATCCTCCAGAGAGAGCAGCCAGCAAGTGCGTGTTATTGGGGTGGGGCTAAGCAAAAGTGCGGGCTTGGGGAATATAGCTGATGCGTGTGCATCCAGCTGTGGTGGCAGGTGTGCACGTACAGGTAGGTGTCTCATTCTGAGTGCTCAGGGAAGGTGCCAAGGCCTCAGGTTCCAATACCCTCTGCCCCCTGGACACTACCTAGAGACAAAGGCGGGGCAGGTGCAGGGGTAAGGCACTTGCACCTTTGTCAGAAGAGTCAGGAGCATTGGCCTAGAGCTGGAGAGGGAGGGCGCTGTCAGATTCTGCTTGAGGTGGGGCTCACAGGGAGGCAGGGAGGGCTGAGGAACAGGTGGGACACGGGGAGCTGTGAGTTCAGAGTTGGACATGTCTGGAGTGGAGCCCCTCAGGAATACCAGGGAAGATGCCAAGCTGTGGATGTCTGGGGCTGGCTCGCAGCGGAGGTCAGGCTGCAGCAAGGTCTGTGAGGGAGCAGAGACGTGGACGCAGCACTGGGAGCTCCATCATGTTGGTAGGCACAGGGCGGGTACCCATCAGGAGGCTGCGAGGGGATGCCAGGCTAGGTCAGAGGAGACTCAGGAAAGTCAGCAGTGGACACACCGATTCCAAGGCTGATGTGGCAAGTTGGGGGGTCAGGACTGCGCTGGAAAATGTGGGGCTCCCTGGAGCTCTGATCAGCGAGGAGGCCTGCAGGCCCAGGCAGGCTGCTGGTTTTTCTCCCTCCAGTGTGTGTGCTGGGTGGCTGGGGTGCTCACTGGCCACTGACTGTCCTGGGACCCTCCTCTGGAGGCCCTCCCATGCCTGCAGGCCAGGAACCCTGGAATGTGCTTCTAGCACCCAAGCTCCATCCCCTGAGCCCAGCTCTGAGGTTGCAGAGACCTGGAGTCAAATCCTGTCTCTTCCATTTGCAGGCTACAGGAAAGTCACTTATGCCCAAGCCTCAGTTTGCTTATCTGTAAAGTAGGAGAATGGATAGTCCCTTCCTTCAAGGATTCTTGTAGGATCAAAGGAGGTGACAGGATGGTGGAGGGCTGGGATGATAGAGGCACCCTTCTGTGGCCCCTGCTGAGCAGGCTGCTTCTCAGTGTGGGAGTGGCCCTGCAGCAGAGACTCAGAGCAGATAGTAGGGAGGGTGCCTTGTATTTCTTCATCCAGCATAACCAGCAATGGACACAGCAAGACTATGGCAGCTAGACATTTCCTGTGCTTCCAAAGCCATGGGCGCTCGCCAGAGGAATCACTTCTGAGTCTTCGCAGGTCCTCCCTGCTGTGGTTGGAGTGATGAGGTCCCCTTCAGAATTCACGGTGAACTGAATCCCCATGTGACGGCTCTCAGAGGTGTGGCTTCAGGGAGGATGAGTCTCAGGGCTGTAGCTTGAGTGGGATCAGCACTCTTGCGAAAGGTTCCACGTTGAGGAACCTCCTTCTGCCGTCCTCCATGTGAGGACTCAATAATGGCACCACTGTGGACGTAGAGAGCAGCAGCCAGCAGATCTGCTGGTGCCTCCAGCACGAACTTCCCAGCCTCCAGAATGGTAAGAGATAAATTTCTGTTGTTTATAAGTTGCCCAGGCTCAGACATTCTGTTGTAACAGCAGAAATGGGTGAAGATACTCCCAAACGCTACCTTCCTATGACATTGGGAAATCACGTTGGGGCCTCCATCTGGCAAGACATGGAGGGACAGGAGAGGGAGGAATATGTGGAGGATGAGGGAGGGCCGGCCACTGGTTCCCAGAGAGGGCAGGCATAAACAGGCCTGCAGCCTTGCTTTTAATCTCTTTGATTTTTTTTCCAGTTTGTTTAATGAACTAAATGCTTAAGAAAGAAACCCCAGCCTGGCCTGCCTCTGCCTCTCCTCTTTGATCCCTGAGTTGCTGAGATTAAGGAAGTCCCAAAAGACAGCTTTGAAACATCTGGACAGCTCCCAGCCCCCAGTGCCCCTGGAGAGGCTCTTGGGAGCTCTGGTGGACCTGCCTGGAGGGTGTGTGGAGTGTGTCCCTCCTGCGGGGCTTCAGGGCAGTGAGGCCTTATGCTGCTGCAGGCTTCCTGCAGGGAGTTGTTTCCAGACCTTCCAGGACTCAGCTCAGCGCCTGGTGTGTGGCCAGCCGGTCCTGCCTTTAGACGTCCTCGCAAGGCACTGGAAGTTCCCGTCATTGCCCATGTTTGCACTGCCCTCGTCTGGTGTCTGTTTTGATTTTTGGCATTGGCCAGTGCTGGTGGCTTGGGCTGTGCTCTGTCTATTGTCCCAACAGCCTGTGGTCTCCATGCTTGTGTGGGGAGAGCCTGTGCCTGTCCTGGAACCCAAGGGAGGCCCATCCTGGGAGAGGCCTCATCAGGACCCATGGAATTGCAATTTGTGAAATTCTGGTGACAGCGAATGTCCGCTTGAAGACACACCCTATTTTGACCTTTATTCTTGCTGCCTCTTCCTCCTCTTCCTCCTCCTCATCTTCCTCTTAGTAATATGATCTCCCTAAAACTGAGCATCAGCTCCCCAACCTCAGGTGAGTGGGCAAACATACTGGACAAGCAGACCTCCATGTGAGGACTCAATAACGGCACCACTGTAGACATAGAGAGCAGCAGCCAACAGATCTGCTGGTGTGCTGGTCCTTGCGTGTCCAGCCCATATGATCTCAGCATCATTAACCCTCATTCATCCTCACATCCTCACAACCGCCTGTTACAAGATAACAGGGCCTGCCTGGCCAGGGAGCAAAAGGAGACAGCGGGGGGAGGGTAGGTGTGGGTACTGCGGGGGGACTGGAGCTGTGCCCTGCTGGAGTCATGCTGTGAGGTAGACAGGGAATACTGCACAGACCCTGTTCCCTAAACTTCAGTCTGCTCTTTCCTCCTATCCAGGTGATCTGAGCTCCACATCAAGCCCAGAAACCTGCTATTCCAGATCTGTGCATTGGCTCTGAGAGCCCAAGTTCCACAGGTGAACTAAATGGCCCAGGCCATCCCTGGACCCTGGTGTGTCTCAGGCCGAGCCCTCTCTCCTGTCACCTTGCCCAGTGGGTGAGGCCCAGGGGCCTGGGAGAGGCCTCATCAGGACCCATGGAATTGCGAAGCACCAAAGCCCAAGGCTCTTGGCCCTCTGTAGAGAGAAAGAGCAAGAACACAAACTGGGCACCCCCTGGCCAAAGGTAAGGAGGACGTGGGCTTGGGCCACAGAGTTCTTAGGTGGGACCACACTGGCAGCCTGCACCACACTGGCAGCCACACTGCTGTCCAGCACTCAGACATGAGCTTGGTCACCATGACAGCCGGAGGCGGAGAGGCAGGTGGCAGAGTGCCCCCTCCTTCCATCTATGGCTGTGCAGCGAAGGCCGCTGCCCACGCATGGTTGCCAGTGGCCATGTGCGAAAACGCACCTGGGGGTGTGACACTGCCAGCTGGTAGATGGTACTGCCATCCTGCCCTGCCTGTACCACCCAGCAAGGCACACAGTGCTACAGTAAGTCCCTGAGTTCCAACTTTCACAGATACGACCGGACCTCACGTTATGAATATGTGTAGATGCAAACAAATCGCTTAAATAGCTCACCCTAGCCCTGTACCACCATTTAATGTAACTGTGAAAGTAAAAATTATTTAGTGTTTGTGTGTCTGGTTTTTTACACTTTACATCATATATTTGTGTCCAAGGTACCTAAGACTCACTTTGCCAGGTGTACAAATGAGTCTGACTTATGCGCATTTTCTTGGAAGGAGCTTGTTCCTAAATCAGGGACTTCTCTCCTGATGCACTGCACCTGCCTTGTACATGGTGACGACCATCCTGGGGGCATCATGTCAGGAGATGTCTGCACTTGTGGGCCAGAGCCCCTGGCGTCTTGGTGGAGGCCAGAGATGCTCTACCATCCTGTGCCCAGCATGGGCCAACCCATCCATGGTGCTGCTGCTGAGACACGCTTGCAGGCAATGTCTGCCACCTGCCCCTGTTGTTGAATAACTTCCCAGGAACATCTTCCCAGGACATTGTGCCATCTTCACGGGGCTGCCCTGAAGGCCAGGACTCTGACAGCACCATGTGTGGCCCTGTCTGCGCCCCAAGTCTGACTGGCTCCATTCAAGGGACATGGGCTGAGCCACCCTATCAGAAACCGGGCCTTCTGGGCGCTTCAAGGGCCCTTCCTCACCCTGCCCTCAGCCTCACCCCAGCTGCCTGTTCTGTGGACTGGTGGGCATCAACCAAATCAGATAGGGGTGTTCTTGAAGAGCTATGAAATGGTGTGAATTAGGAATCAGCTACCACAGGAAACCACCCAAGACGCTCCTCCATCAAGGGCCGGTGATGACCGGGGTGATGACCGGTACCCAGTGCGCACACAGTGATGGGAGGAATATGGGGGCAGGGCATGGGGACTGGTAGGGTAGGTGGGTTCCTCTTGGAGGGGCCCCGGGCCCACTCAGGCTCTGGGCCAGCGGACTTGCGGCCTGAGAGCTGTTCCATCGCCGCTTTAAGGAGTATTCCGAGCCCCCTTCCCCTTCCCCTTTCCCGAAGCCCCCAGGGGCTACAGAGGGGGAGGGAGTGAGAGACAGGCCGCAGCTGTCATCCAGAGGAGGGCGGCGACTGAACGGGGCGGGGTCTGCGGGGCGGGGCGGGGTCTGGGCCGGGGTGGTGGGCGCGCCCGCGGGGCTTGGCCCACACTGGCAGCGGCTCCTACGCACGGTGGACACCATGGGCTCCTGTTCCGGCCGTTGCACGCTCCTAGCGCTCTGCGCTCTGCAGCTGGTGAGTGCCAGGTCCGGCCGGCGGTTCCGCGCCAGCTCGGGGAGCTCCGGGATCAACGGTTCAGACCCCAGCTCCGGCAGCAGACGCCCGACACCGCCAGTGAGGAGCGAGGAACCGGGGCGCTGCGTCTTGAGCCGCAGGGACAGGTGCCAGGGAGCGGCTGGAGGGCTCTGACCGGAACAAAAGCCATTGGGCAGGGGCGGCAAGTCCCATGGGCGCGTGTGGTCAGGGAAGGACTCTCTGCGCACCGTGCCCACGCGTGTCTAAAGGCTCGTGTGGCCGAGTGTGCGCCAGGAGCGTTGCCAAGCCAGCCCCAGGTGCAGAGAGACAGCAGCGTCCCGCGCCTGTGAGCCCCATGGGGATGGGGTGTGCTAGGGAGTGGGAGAGCCCTGCCCGCGCGGTGTGTCCCCTGTGGTCCTGTTCAGCCTAGCCTGGAGAGTCGGTGGGAGAGCGGGAGCCCTGGTTCCCAGGGCTGGGCCCACACTTTTGTGCCTGGAGATGAGCAGCCCCCTGGGTCAGAGAACTTGCTCTCTCCTTGGCCAACTTTCCCTGGCCCCTAGTCTGGATCCCCTGAGACTGGAAGCCTGGAATGTGCGCTCTGCTTTTGGAGGAGGAGGCTGAACAAAGGTTGTTGCAGCCCCGTCTGGGAAGGCCTCTGCTGGATGCTAATGGGCCCTGGGTCTCGCGTCTTAAACAGGAAATGCTGCTTTGTTGTCTCCAAGACTGGCTGTGGGCCATGGGCTCAGCTGGTCAGGGTGCCGGCTGGTCTTTCGAAGCTAGAGGGTCCAGAGGAGAAACAGGCTGTTTCTAAGAAGTTTTAAAGAGAAAACTTGGGCGCCCATGGCTGTGCAGTTTGGGGCTGCACAGGTAGTGAGCCACCCCTCCAGGAAAGAGGCAGCTGCCTGGTCCCTGCAGGCCTTGGAGCAGCCCTGTGACTGCCTTTCAGGAGGGGCTCCCTGTGTAGGCCCCTGGGGAAAGGGGCTCAGATGCCTGGCCACATACCCTGGGGAGGGCAGGGATGAGCCCAGTTGACGCTGAGGCTGGGGGTCTTCGGCCAGTCTTGGGGAGAGGAAGTACAGTGGATTTGGGGGGCTGGTACTGGTTTCCCTGTGCTATGTTTGGTGTGAAGATATTCTCAGGGGTTGAGGTGTGGGCTGGGGTACAGGCCGGAGAAACAGGTGTTCAACTAGAACAGGAGCCAGGGAAGGATGTGGCCCTGGGATGTGGAGGGGTCAGGTCAGGTCACATTGCCAGTTTTGTCTGCTGTAGACCAAGGACAGATGGGCACTCTGGACAGGCCCTTGGAAATCTGGTTGCCCCTGAGAGGGAAGGGCTGTCTTGGCTTGGGGACACGGGGCTTCCCTGGAAGGGGCTGCTCCCAGGCATCTCAGCCAGGCGAGCCAGGGCCTGGGCAGATCTGTGTCCCCTTGCTGTAAGCATCTTGCAGAATGGCAGCGGGAAGCTGTCAAAGGCTTTTTGTCCTGGCCTGGCTGGCAGTTGGGGCCAACCCCTCTTCCCTCCCTTGCCTTGAGGAGGAGGCCTGCTGCCACCCAGTGCTCTGCTTGCTGTCTGCGAGTGGGGGCCAGTGAAAACTGGGGGGTGTGTCCTGAGGAGCTCTCTTTTTGACAGGCGGGAGAGTTTTCTTGTTACCAGGTTACAGGACAAAGTGTCCAAGCATCTCTCCCTAAAGAATAGTGTAAACTTCACCCGTTCTGAGCCATCCGGGCCTGCTCAGCCGTTCACAGGCCTTCCTCTGCTGTGACCAGAGTCGGGGCCTCAAAGGGGCTTGGGGTGGGGTCCTGGCAGGGCCACCGGCTCTCCATCACCCATCTTCACAGTGAAGCCTTGGCCTTGTTAACATGGCCACAAGGCCGTGGAATGACAGGAAGGACCCAGCACGGAACCCCACCACCAGGACACCCCACAGCTGCAGGGTCTCTCGTTCCTGAGGCCACCCTGAAGCTGTGTGCAGCTGTCCCAGCTCCTAGCTGGGGCCTCCTCTGACAGTGCCAGGGGAAGCAGAGTGGGCCTGTGGTACCCCCTGCAGGGGCTGGAGGCCATCTTCATCCTCTCGTCCTCTGCCCCTCCTGGTAGGGCACAGGCAGGGCAGACACTCCAGCTGTGAATAATGTCCTCCGGGTAGGAGGGCTGCCCTGGGACTCAGGCTTGGCCAGCTGTGTGTGAGTGGATCTGAACCATGCGCAAGTCCCTGTTGGTCCTGCCCCCCTACATTCGCTGACACTCATCCCTGAACCTGGTGTCCACACCCCTACCCCGTCACGCCTGTGTCCTGGAGTCTGCCTGAGCCACACCCATCTGGGCCTGCAGAATCTCCTCATATGTGGGATTCCCAGGTTGTGCCCCTCAGTGGCACGGTACAGCCAGTCAGTGTGAGGCCGAACAGGGTTTCCAAGCCGAGTCCATCCTGCTCATGGCTGCTTCTCAGGCTTAGGGTTCAGAGAGACAGGGAGAGGCTGGGTCTGTCTCTCAGGTGCTATTTTCTTTGTCCAAAATGTGTGTAATGGAGAAACTTCTGTGTGAGGCCTCCTCTGGCCATGGGGGCCACCTGGGGAAGGGGCCAGCTGAGCCCGGCCCTCAGCAGGATGGTCCAGATGTTGGAGGCTCATTCTGGGCCAAGAAGCAACAAAGCATTTGTAGGTGCTCTCTGCCCTCGGTCAGTGCCACCTGGAGTGGCGTGAAACAAACCAGCACTCAGGTTACTGTGTCTGCCCAGGGCAGGTGTGGAGGATTCCTGCTCTCGCTGCTGGAGGGGCCCAGGAGGAGCTGCCAGCTGTGTGTGCCAGTGATGCTGCAGGTCCCAGGTGTCCTTTCCAACTATAGTGTTTCTCGCAGCACGAAGGATCTGCCAGCTTGGACCAGTTTCACATGTTTCATTTCTTGTGTTTCCTGTTGACAGTGACAGTCGTGGCTTCAAGGCCTACTGGCCTCTGAGCTGTGGCTCGCTGTGATGTTCACTGCCTTCTGTGGCCTCCTCCGAGGAAGCCAGGGCTGGAGTCCCAGGCCCCTGCCTAGCTGTGTGGGTGTCCTGAGGTGATCTCGCGGTTCTGGCTCACCCTTGAACCAGTCAGAACCTGAACACACCTCACTGCTCTGGGCTTTGTTCTGAAGTGGCAGTGGGCCAGGACATGAGAGCTGTGGAGCTGCCACCCACCAAGGGGCAGGTATCGGGGGAGCTCCACCTCTGGGGTGGAAGCAGCTCGGTGGTGTCCTCCCTGGTGCAGATGCTGGACAGTGCATGGGAGGGGCTGGTATGCTGGCCTCTGGAGGGGCCCTGTGGGTGGGCACAGTCATTCCACAGGTCCATGGCACGTGGCTATCAGCTTGTCCTTCACATCAGGAGCATTTGGGAGCATCGAGGGCTCAGAGGACAGCTGGGAGGTGGGGCAGCGTGACCCTGGGCCAAGCAGGGGGCCTGGCTGAGGTGCTCGGGTCAGTGAGAGTGAAGGGCCATGCCTGCCAGGAATGAAGACCCTGGCTGGAGACCAGAGCTACCTGCCAAGGCAGGGAGGGGGCTGTCCTGCAGGCCACGGAGCCGGAACAGCTGAGCCTTCCGAGGCAGTGGCTCAGGAGGAGGGCAGCTATGAGGGCCCTGGGAAAGGAGCACTGGGATTAATTGGGAGGAGACTGGGGGTCAGTTGGGCAGCACCGGGGCTGGATTTGGGGGCGGCAGGGCTTTGGGTGGGGGTAGAGGCCTGTCCCCCTGGGCTGTGAGCTGTAGCATCACCTGCTCTCTGAGAGCTCGTTATGCAAAGACTCTAGGTTGAGGCCAGACCAGGATGAGACTGCCTGGGAGCCAGTGTGGAAGGCCCATTAGCAATGGAGCCTGCTGCTGCCCAGTGAGGCCCCAGCAGCACTTCCCCTCGAGTGACCAGGACCCAGGACCCACGCTGGATGGTGGTGGCTCCCTTGCTCAGTTGACTCCAGAGTGTGGGGTCCTGACACTGCCGACACCCACCCCCCGACCTGGGTCGGAGTCACTGGTCCCGAACCTGCATTCCAGGCCCAGCTGTCAGGGCATGGGCCTGAGGTTGAGCAGTGGAGGGCCTGCTGGGATTCAGCAGGTCACAGAAGGAATCTTTCCTTCCAGAAAGTGTGAAGACATCACCACCTGACAGCATGTCTGGGCACAGCAAGGCAGAGAAATTCCACAGTCCCTGTGACCCAATAGGGCCCATCACTGTGACTCTACCTCCCCATCTGTGTGCACACACTACAAGCGCACACACACACACACACACACACACACACACACACACGTGCACACTGTGCTCTGTGCTTTTGTGCACATGCAGGGTCCACATATATCCCAGACATCTGTCACTTCCGAGCAGAGGCTGGGCAAATGGTCTAAGCTGGGTCCTTAGGATACAGAGGCCATTGGGATAGCTCACGAGGGCCAGGTGGGCTGTCCCTGGGTGTGAGGCCGTATTCCCCCTTTCCTCCCACTGTGCAGGTCCAGGCCTTCCCCACAGAGTCAGCAGGGCTAGAGCCCCGGCCCCAGCTCCATATCTGCAGGCCCTGCAGGGGCCCACTGTGGGGCCCTGTCTGTGGGGAGCCGGGGACCCTGACGGGGCTCTCATCTGGACTGTTCTGGGTCCCACCCATGAGCAGACGGTGGCAGATAAGTGGGAGGACCAGGCCCTATTTCAGCAGCTGCAGAGACCTGCAGGCCCGGGCTGAGTGCAGAACAGGCCTGAACCATGTCTAAAAGGCGATACAAGGTACACGGACCCTGCTTAAGGCCCCCGTGGCCACCCAGCCTGGGGCAGTGAGTGGCCAAGGCCTGCCAAGGTGCCCTTCACCTCATCAGCATCCTCTCCTCATGTGGGGTACTCAGTGTCAGCATGTGTGGACCCAGAGCTCTGGCCTCTCCTGGGGGAGCCCCTGAGGCTTCCTGCAGACCTGGTCCTTTTCATCCCTGGTGGCCCAGCTCAGTCTGGATCTACCTGACAACTGGATCCTGGCACTTCTCTGCTTCTCTCTTGGGTGAGCAGGCAGAGGGTCTCCTGGGGTCGCCCTACCTTCCTGTGCTGCACAAGTCCCACCCCCAGGGTATCTTCTGGCTGCCTTTCTCCCACGGTGACTTTGAGTGACTTGTGCTTGAAAGAGACGACTTGAGGGGGGCTCCTGCCAGCTCCTCTAGACAGGAAAGAGCTCCCCCAAGGCCCCCAGCTGCCTCCCTGTGCTCCCACATTAGTGATGCTTTGAGGAAGGGCACAGCGGGCTTCAGTGGGAGGCCAGGGTGCCAGTTCTAGAAGCGGTCCCTCTCTCCCCTCCCTGGGTGTGGCTCCTGCCCTGAGCCCACAAGGCTGGAGCCTTGGGTGCTGGAAGAGTGGAGGGCAGAGGGAGACCCCCTCCCCCGCTCCCCTAAACCACCCCACCAGCTTGGGTGCTTCTTGCAGAACCAGGCTCCCAGCATTCACTGATGCCTCACTGCAGCCAAGAGCCAGGCCTGGTGAGAGCTCCCGTGGGGGCAGAGCCGCTGCAGGCACAGGTCTGCCCGGGGTATACTCAGCAGAGGCAACAACGTAGATGGAACAGGGCCCAGGGAAGGTGCTGCCTCCAAGCTGTGCCTGGCTGGTTCTGAGCTGAGGAGCAAACACAGTGCTGCCCCACAGGGAGCTGCTCCAGCTGCGCTGTGCACCGCTGGGGAGAGTGCCTTCAGCCGCAGGAGCCTACCTGAGCAGAGCTTTGGCTCCCTGACAGCCAGGGTCCCTGAGGCAAGGCTGGGGTGCGTGGGTGTCCGCACTTTGTGAACACAGGGTGCAGCATCCAAGGAGACTGAGTCCCTGGAAGGGCTCTGGTGCTGGCAGCAGTTGTGCCCCTGCCTTTCCACTCAGCAGGACCCCTGCTGTCACCCGGGAACCCCAGCCCCTGCAGCACTGCCTGGAATGGCTCCCTCCTAAGACTTCCTGCACGTGGCCACCACAGCCTCAGGCCCTGCGCTGTGGCCAGGGAGTCCCCACAGCAGCTGCTTCCTGCGGCTGGAGGATACAGCCCAGGACAGTGGAGAGGAGCTGGGCAGGAAGGACCCACTGTTTTGCTTGGAGTGGATGTCTGTGGCCTGGCAACTCTGTGATGGGGGCAGTGCCATCCCATCACAGTGCCACAAGGCCGTGTTGAAGAGGCTGCCCCTCGCTTCTGTGCTCACCCTGCTCTGGCTGCCTGGCCAGCTTGACCAGTGCTGGATCTCAGCCTGTCCAGCTTCGGGGGCCCTCGGCAGCCATGAGATTATTCTTTCTTTGAGCACCAGTCTTTGCGCTGGGTCGGAGACATCACCTTAGCTTTCCCAGTGCCTCTTAGCACTGGAACTGGGGTCCCTGACACCTAGGGAATGCTGCCCTCAGCCCTGCAGTCCCTCTTGGATGTGGCCAGCTCCTTCCAGCCCTTGCTGGATGCACCTTTCTTCTCCCAAATGCAGCAGCTCTGCCTCCCAGAGGTAGATCTGGCAGTGTTTTCTCTTGCTTTCTCTGCTCTAGCTAATGGATGGGGAGCCTGGTGAAAGATGGATGAATGGATGGATGAATGAAGAACGAATGGATGGGTGGATGGATGCTTCAGAGTCCCAGCACTGCTCCGAGTCAGTTCATCTCCCGCAGGTGTAAAACCTCACATTCCTTGGATCCGTCATTCCCTCCCCTTGGTCTCTGGAGGGCGGTGTTCTCAGAGCCGGAGGCCTCCCGAGTGTCCTGAAGTGGAGGTGCAGCCAGCACGCCGGGGCACAGAGCTGGCCAGTGGGAGAGGCCACTCGCCTGGAGACAGGGCCTAGCACTCCGTGCACTCAGGGTCTCGGCCACCGCCAAGTGCCTGAGCGGCATTTTTGGGTTGGTGCTTGCTGTTTATTTGCCCCTGCCACCTGTGAATTAGAACAGCAGATTGAGAAGGGTTTCTCAAGGGAAAAACACCCTATGCTGACATTCAAGGCCTGACAAATTTATCTGGAGATTGTTGTTTGGTTGGTTTCATTTTCTTGTTTCTTTGTTTTTTGAGACAGGGTCTCCCCTGTGTATTCTAGGCTGGCCTTGACTTGTGAGGATCCTCCTGCCTCAGCCTCCTGAGTGCTGGAGTTATGTGTAAAAGGGTCTATGCCTGACTTTACTTGGAGATTTTTGTTAGAAGGGACAAGTCTGTGACAATTAAGCAGGGGTTTGTGGTTTGGCTGGCATAGCTCCTCTAGTAGAGCCAGAGGGGCCAGTTAGGAGAGAGACAGGTCCCAGCCTGCTCCTGGACCTTAGGGCCTGGTGGGTAGGTTTGGGGCCTCCCTTAATTTCTGCTGGCCTTCACTCCCCTCATGCTTCTAGGTCACCATCCTGGAGAGGCAGGTGTTCGACTTCCTGGGCTACCAGTGGGCGCCCATCCTGGCCAACTTTGTCCACATCATTGTGGTCATCCTGGGGCTTTTCGGCACCGTCCAGTACCGGCCGCGCTACATCATGGTGGTACGTCCGCTGTGGGTGGGTGACCAGGATGGGATGTCCCCCATCACTGTCCTGTCCTGCTGCCCTCAAAGCCGCTGGAACACATATTGATCCAGACCCCGGGCTCAGACTTTTCCCAGCCCAGCGTCCCAGAATTCTGACTTGGGAGAGATGGCATTTATGAGGGCGCCTCTAGGCTTGAGGGAATCTCTGAGCTGACATCCCTAGCTGTCAGACCCCAGGGGCCCCTGACCCTGCTGTGGATCTTCCCCAAGGGGCTGTGCAAAAGCAGGCACCCCCGCTATAGGGCTCACCCTCTCCCCTACTCCTGTCATCTCCTTAGTACGCTGTGTGGGCAGCCCTCTGGGTCACCTGGAATGTCTTCATCATCTGCTTCTACCTGGAAGTCGGGGGCCTCTCGAGGGTGAGTAAAGACAGCAGGGGACTCCTGACCAGGAGTAGCACTAATGTGTGTGCGCATTTGTTCATTGTGTGTCTCCCCATGGGGGTGGGGAATTGGTCAGATCACAGCTGTGCCCCTAGCGCTGAGAACACCCTGGCCAAGTTGGTGCCTAGTAAAGCGGGAGAGTGATTTATGGTCAGTGAAGGGTGTCGTCAGGGTGCTGTGGGGGTCAGCGGGCTGGGGCCTCCAGCTGCAAAGCACACCACAGTTTCCTGGAAGAGGGGGCCTTGGAGCCCAGGCAGTATGGTGTGGGGGGAGAGGCCAGCCTGGCAGAGTTGTGCAGGAAAGACACGGGCAGGGCTGGGCAGGGCCGGGGCGCAGGCAGAGCAGAGACCCTGCTCTCCATAACTAGGTGTGTCTTCTGCCCAGGTGGTTGGTGCTAGCCTGCTTGGGCAAACCTCAGGGCTGATGAAGCCTCAGGCTGGTGCTGGTGAGGCAGCTGCTCCAGGCACTTTGCACTTGGTCCTGGGGCCCAGGGTGGCATGGGGTTCCTGCTGCTCTGCTCTGACTGGGGCCAGCATAGATGCCCCGCAGGACAGCGCAGCCCTGGTTTGTGAGGCCACCAGGAGCCTCAGTGCGGGAGGCTGAAGAAGCTGAACATGCACAGAAGGCTAGCACTGGCCGGAGACTTGGGGGGCTGGGTCACCGTGAGAGCGAGTCCTAGGTCTGCGGGCACAAGGAGCCTCACAGAGCGTGGGGTGGAAGGACTGAGGGCCGGAACCTGCGGGGGTGGGGGCACCCTTCCCTCCTCTGTGCTGACCAGTCCTGCCCTCCTGCCCCCAGGACAGTGAGCTCCTGACCTTCAACCTCTCCTGGCACCGCTCCTGGTGGCAGGAGCACGGGCCGGGCTGTCTGCGTGCGGGGGCGTCCTCAGCTGGACTCAGGACCCTGCATGGCCAGGCCCTGGTGTCAGGCTCTGGCTGCGCCCTGGAGCCTGGCCATGTGGAGGCCCTGCACAGCGGCCTGCAGATCCTGGTGGCGGTGAGTAGGGAGGGCCGTGGAGGGCTGTGAGGGGCTGGAGAGGGTGTGAGGCGTTGGGGCCGAGGCTTTGCTGTGTGTGGAGGAACCAGCCTGTCTCTTGGCCAGTGTAAGGCCTCCTCCTCCTCCCTGCAGGTTGGGCGGGTCACAGTGGTTCTCAGCTGGGCACACACCGTGGGCTCCAATCCCAACCTCCTGGTGCTGCTGTGGGCGGGAGGCAGGCCTAATACTGTGGCACAGAGAGCTTGGGGGAAGCAGGCTGGGGTCGTTGGGGAGTCTCCTGTGTCCCAGCTCCAGAGGCAGTGCAGGCAGGGGAGACGTCCACAGGGCTGGGAGAGGGGGAGTGAGTGTAGGGGTTTGGTGGTCTCTAAGTTGTCCCCGGGAGAAAACAGTGAGGGGATTTAGAAAATAAGATGAGACAAGAGCTGGGTCGGGTAGACTTACCTCTTACCGGATGGACAAGAAGACTGAACAACCCCAGTAAGGCGTTCGTTTATACCCTTGCAAAGTTAGTATCATGAGGCACAAGGTTGCCTAGCAACTGCTGACTGAAATTGTCCGGGCAGGATGCTTTTCTCAAGACCAGGGTAGCTTGACTGCTTGAGGCACTCTGGCTCTGTCCTGCCCTCACACATATGATCAATATCCAGCTCCAGCGGCTCCCAACAAGAAAGTCCTGTTGGTAACACGTTTGTCCCTAAAGAGGCCTGTTGGACTTGGGCCTGCCCTGGTGGGTGCGGAGCTTCCTACTCCCAGCGGCACAGGGGCCTTGGGGGTATCAGCTCAGAAGTTCTCATCTGCCTGGGAGAAGGCGAGGCAAGGCTGCGCCTCCTGGAGCTCAGTGGGATTGGCACAGGCGCCTCGTCTCCTTCCCTCTGAGCCGCAGCCTGGGCCGAGACCAGAGCTTGCAGGACACAGTGAGCAACCATGGTGGTCTGGCCCGGTGCTCCCAGCACTGCAGGCTGCTTCGGTTCCCACGACTGCAAGCAAATGCCTTGAGGCCATGCGCTGCTTAGTGGAGGGGCTGGATCCACCTGCCCCCAGGAAGTTCAGCTTCCTTCTGCTGGGCCTCAGTGGTGCAGTCCCCACGTGGCCATCTCCCTCTGTGTTCTTGTCGAGCAGGCCCCCTCCTGCCTGTGGGGCGCTGTGGAGGACACCTCTGCTCTTTCCAAGACCCTACCATGCCCTCTGCCCAGCCAGTGCCCCTTAAAATATGTCTCCTGTGTATCCCGAGTCTGTGGGTCACTGCAGTGAGACAACCCAAGCCTGTGGGTGGGGATGGGCCCTATGAAGCTGAGGCTGGGGCATTGTCACACTCCTGGGGCCTGTAGGAGCACCTTGGGCCGGTGGGATGTGGGAACCATAAGTCACCAACTCCAGGCTCTGTGCTGGGCAGGGGCAGCCCTGCGGGGAAGTGGCCAGGACACCTGACCTGCATTGCCCTCCCTCCAGTGTCCTGCTGGGCCCCCCACTGGCCAGCCCAGGCAGACGCCGCATCCATCCACACTGCCAGCCAGGCTCCGGCGGGCCAGGAGCAGGTTGCATGATGTTGCCTGGAGTGTGTAGGCCTGACCTCTTGGGCTCAGGGCCACCAGGTATGACCTCGCCTGGTCTGGGGATCTCTCAAAGCTTCCACATTCTGTGAAGAAGGTTGTCTGCTTCTTGTTGGGTCCCTCACATTGTACCCCAGCCAACTTGAAGAGAAAAAACTCCGACAGACAGTCAGTCTGTTCAAACAGAAAGCCCCTCACTCAGCTCGAGAGACTACAGTGAATCTGTTTATCAGGATGGTTCCCAGGCCTAGTTCTCAGGCTTACAGGAAACCTTGTGAGTCTATAGCATGGATCTCTGTAAATCGGCAACATGCTGATGTCCTCCTGTACTTCCCTCCCCCAGAGGCACCAGACCCACCAATCACCCCTGAGAAATGTAAATTTTCCACCTTCCTCAGTGGAATTTCCCCTTCCTATACCTAAAATAGTCTATAAAGTAGGCCTCCTTCCTTTGTTCAGGACCAAGGGCTTTCTCACCCTTGGCCCAGGCTGCACCCAGCCTGAAATAAAGATATAGCTGTTTGCTTTTATCCTGCCTGTCCTGGTAGTCTCGGTTGCTACTTGGCGTCTAGACTGACACTTCTTTCATAATGAGCTGGGCTGAGGTGGCCTCTGAGGTCCCCATGGGGGTGACCGGTCAGCTGCGGTGGTGCCATTATGACACTGGGCCCTGGCTGCTCCCTGCCTTGCCGGTCAGCCTGACTGTGAGTCCTGTCAGCCCAGGCCATGCTGGGGGTCGCTCCCTCCTGCTGGGTGACCTAGCCTGTGTGCATCTGCAGTGGACCAGGGCGCCCAGGCACCTGCAAGGGCAGTTAATGCCGGCCTGACCCCACCCCTGGAGTCTTGCCTGGGGCTTTTCTACATCATGGGTACCTCCAAGTGCCTTCTGTATCCCCTCCCCTTCAGCCCCCTTCCCAACACCCCATTGTCCTCACTGAGTGCTTCAGAGGGGGAAACAGGTGCTCCCTGAAACAGAGAGCTCAGGAGCCATGCAGATCCATCTGTGGTTCCATTTCACAGAGGAAGAAACTGAGGCCCAGGAGAAGCAGGGCCGTGGTGCTCCCACACAGACCTGCGACGGCGCTCTACTGAGCGTGCCCCGCAGCCTCACCACTGGCCTCTCGGTGTCTTCCAGCTCCTGGGCTTCGTCTACAGCTGCTACGTGGTCAGCATGCTTACGGAGGAAGAGGACAGCTGTAAGTGCAGCCACAGCCTCCAGCTGACACCTGTGGGGGGTGGCAGGGAACAGCTGGTCAGGTGACAACTCTGGGTTCTATCCTGTGGGGCCCAAGGCCTCTTTCAGCAGTGTGCCCATGCCAGTGGTGGTCCTTGCTCCCCGCTATGGGCCTGAGCAGAGCAAGGCAGTCCAGTGCCTCAGGGGGAGGATGGGCTCTGCACCAGGGGCTCCAGAGCTCAGCCACCCTTCAGATTCAATGGCTGCTGTCCTTGGGGCCAGGCCTCTCCTCTGACTCCACAGAGGCCCCAGGAAGCAGGTCTGAGCGTTTAGGGGCACAAGCCATTCGTCCTGCTGGCCACGGACATTCACATCAGTGGCGGGAGGAGGCCCTTTGGGTGCGTTGTTCTCTTCCCTCCATTTGTGAGCTCTGTTCAACTTCCTGCTTGTAACAAGATGTGGTAGTGCAGCTGCGTCTCAGGCAGACCCTGTAGAGAAAGGGCAAGTCCGACGGCAGTGCAGCAAAACCCAGGCCAGGGCTGGGCGCTCCTGTGGACAGAACCTTGCCAGAGCCTGAATGAAAATTCAGAGCATCCGTGCCTGGGAATCGGCAGTTGCCTGTGCCCCAGCCACCTCCGGCCCCTGTGCTGCCTGGACCACAGCTGGCCTCCAGCAGGAAACAGCCGGCACACTGATGAGTTGGGAGCGTTTTAAGGCAGGACTTGGCCCTGGGCCCAGAAGTGCACTCACTTTGCCCTGTAAGTCCCTGCCACTGTATGGGACAGGCGGGTGCAAGGGGCCGGCGATCAGCTCTATGGATGTGATGAGAGGACAACTGGAGGAGCCTCGCCAGGTGAGGTGCAGCCCCCTCCTGGGCTGTCCTCGCTGCCTGCCCCGCTGCTGGAACAGTGAGGCCTTCAGATTTTTCAGCCAGGGAATCACACACACAGCCAGTGCCACAGTGGGATTCCTCCCAGGCTCTGAGGCCAGACCAGGCCTGGTTTGGGGTAGGGCCTGCCCTCCCAACTCTTGGGCTCCCTGTTGCCCTGGTGGGGAGGTCTACCATTGTTCTCGCTGTCTGTTCAGCCATCTCTTCCATCGTTTGGGTTTTCTTTTATTTGGGTCTTGATTTCTTTCAGTTGATTTCATTGGTGGATTTGATCCATTTCCTCTGTACCATGTTAATGAAAAGCCATCCAAGCTATTGTGCAAGCAGGCGCATTTGTAAGTATGGCCCGCTAAGCCTGCTCCGCGGCTGGTCTGGCCGATGGGGCATTTATAGTATGAGGCTTCCTTCCTTGAGCGGTCTCATGAGGTATCCATCCGTCTGTCTGTCTGCCTGCCCATCTGTCCATCCATCCATGCATCCGTCATTCACTTGCCTCCCCTTTCTAAGACCAACCTCATGTCTGGCTGAGTTAGTTACCAGGACTGAGATAGTAACCAAGGCTAGCTACCAGACAGTCCCAGGACTCAGTCCTTCCTCCCAAACTTGGAGCCCAGCAGTGATAGTCTGTGGGGGTCGGGTCCCAGGTCTGGGTCTGGCGGGTGGTAAGTGACAGGTCACTTCCCAGGAGTATGACTGAGTGATTCTCCAGGGGCTTCACTGCGGCAGGAAACACTGGTGTCCTACCTTTGGAGGATCATACTTCTTTTCCAGAAGGTAGTGCTTGTGGCTCCGCAGACCCCAGGCCTCCGGGTGGGGTGGCCGGGCTCCTAGCCTACCTTCTGCTGTAGCCTTGGCCACACAGCCCTGTCCAGAGCAGTTTTAGGCTTTGGGGTCATAAGAGGGGTCTGGTGGTTCTTCCGTCAGAAGCAAGGCTTCTCCCAGCTGCCCAGGCCCTCTGTGGCGTCCCCTGGCTGCCTTCTCGGCAGCCTCTAGCCCTCCTGTGAGTACAGGCCTGCCACAGCCAGGGATCATCAGAGGCAGCCAGAGTCCAGCTCCCAGGACAACAAGTAAGGAAGCAGAGACCTGGGGCTAGGGGCTCTCGAAGGCCCTGAGTCCCGACAGCTACAGCACTGACCACGGGTGGAGGGGTGGGTACCAGCCTGGAGCCTGGACTGTGGCTGGGTCTGGCAGACCTTGCTGATGGCACAGACCTTGGGGTTTTCCTACAAGGGGAGCCCGGGTGGGTCGGAGGACCCAGGCTGAGGCCCTCACTCTATGCTCAGCCCTGTTGCAGTATATTTGGCTGGAGTGAGCAGAAGGCAAGACCCCAGCCTTCCCTGGGGAAGCAGGAGCCAAGCTCCTTGTCCCCAGCCCCCTTTTGCCAAAGGCCAGGAAACCATATGCATTTCAAGCTCTCCAGAGGACAGGACGCAGCCCTTCCTAACTCCTACCTTGCCTGCAGGCCTGCATAAGTGAATGGCAGCTGAGCCTGCTCCTGGGACCTCCGACTTCAGCGACTGCCAGCAGCGCCTTGGAGACCCTCAGCCCTGGGGCTCTGGCTGCCTCCTGCCTGCCCTGCAATCTGCAGGTGACCACCAGCATATCTCATGTCACCCTGGACTCCAGCCAGGGCAGTAGTGCCAGGCCAGGGTTGGCTGTGACATGGAAAGAGTTTATAATCTTTTTCTAAAAAAAAGAAAAGAGAGAGAGAGAAAAGACACAAAAGAAAATGAAGAGAAAACAAGAAAGCCACACTCCCAGTCTCCTTGGCCCATGCTGGGACTTCAGCTCCATCCACAGCAGGGCTGGACTGTTTTCTGAGGATCTCCTCCTTGGGTGTCCTGCCTTAGGGTGGCTGGACCCACTGGCTGTGGCCTGCAGCCAGGGGAGAGGGATAGCCCCACCAGGAAGTTCACATAAGCCACTGTGACCTTTTGGGATCTTGATTAGACACCGTGCCCTGCCCTGCTTGTGCGCTTGCCCTGGCAGAACCCCAACCACGTAGGAACCAAGTTTGTTGGGCCCTGATGCTCAGCTAGTCACCCCTACTCCTCCCCGCTCAGAGGAGTGCTGGGGCCACCACACAGCATGAGGCTCCTGTGACAGTAGGTGGCACTGCTCTGAAAGAGGGATCTTGGGCAAATAGTCCCAAAGGTATCCATGAGTAAATAAAAAGGACATGGCCCACAGCCCAACCTTCCTTGCACTGTGGAGCTCAGTGCAGAGCTTAGTGGAAATGGGTAGTCAGAAACAGGGTCTTGGAAGGGGCCCAAGGGCAGCCGGCTCTGGAATGCTGAAACAGCAGGACAGGGGGTGGAGGAGGCGCGGCAGGAAGCGGGGAGAGAGTCGGAGGAGCAGCCTGGAGTGGCTGTGCTGCCCCGCTGGTGAGGAGGTGGGCTGGAGTGAGTAGGGGACAGCTGGGTTCTGGAACCCAGCCCGAGCTGAGCAACATCCAGAGGAGACCCTTCAACATATTTATTTTCAAAAGTATCCAAACAAGCCAGGCTTGGTGGTGCACACCTGTAATCCCAGCAGTCTGGGAGACTAAGGCGGCAGGATCATAAGTTTGAGCCCAGTCTGGGCAACTTAATGACTTAGTAAGACTCTACCTCCAAATTTAAAAATATATATATTTTTAAAAAGGGCTGAGGGTGTAGCTAAGTGCAAAGGCCTTGGTTTCAATCCTCAGTAAAACACACACACACACACACACACACACACACACACATCCAAGCAGCTCCAGTGAAGCCACTCCCCAGGCCTAGCAGGCTTCCTCCTCCATGCTGGCCCGTGGTCCAGGAATCAGGGCTGGGCAGTGGTGGATGACAGCTCTCTGTTCTCAGCAGATACCTTGTTTGGTTTGGGACAGGCTGAGGCCAACAGGGTCCCACCTGGTGGCCACCTGGCCGGTCACAGCATCTGCAGGGAGAGCAGAAGGCAGGGGTGAGCCCAGCCCCACTCAGGCTCGTCCACTGAGCCACAGCCTGGCTCCAGGGAGCTGAGCTGTCACTTTGTTCCATCAGAAAATCCTCAAATGCATCATGAGGGCACACTGGCTTTTGAGAGCCCCGAGAAGGCCATGGCTCTTCCTCCTCAACAAATACAGGGGTTCCCAGCCACTTCTGCAGTAACAGGTTGGGGTGCCCCCATCCACGGGTTCCCACCAAGCCCCGCTAAGATCTGAGGTGCAGGCTGCAGCTCGGCAAGCCCCGACCCCACCCTCAGTTCCCCCACAGACTTCCCCTTGGCCTGGCTGACCCCTGGATGCCCAGCGGGGCAGGAGGTGTCAGCCCCGGGCACTGCTGGGGTGAAGTTGAGGACCTCTGCACTGAGAGGAGGAAATGGGATTGGCCACAGCTGCCTGGGTGCTGCTCCTGGTGAGGACCGTGGAAGTCAGGACCACCCGGCACATCCAGGCCACAGGAGTCACTCACCTGGCCTAGGACAGGAAGGTGCGCACGCAGCTGCGGATGGGCGCCCTGCAGATGGGGCACAGCTGCAGGCTGGGGGCGCACTCTGCACAGACCAGGTGGCCGCATGGCACGAAGACAACTGACACAGAGCGGTCGAGGCACACCTTGCACCGCCTCTCCTCCTGCAGCCGCCGCAGCTGCTCCTGCGGGTCTCCAGCTGTCGGGGATGGAGGACCACCAGCACGCTCAGGGGCTGGGCTCAGACGCCTACTCAAGGGGGCAGGCTTGTGACACGGGCCCCCCTCTGTGCAGGCTGATGAGAGGCTGGCATCTACAGGTGCCCTGTGTCCTCCCTCCTGACTTGCCCAAGACGTGGGAGGCTGGACCCACCCCAGTTCCTGCCCCTGGTGGACCTCGGCTGCCCCTGGCTCCCTGCTGTCTTCAGGCAGGATCTCCCTTCCGGGTGGGAGTGGCTCAGGGCCCCCAGGACAGGAGCTGTGGGCAGTTAGGAACAGAATCGAGGCCCCACCCCGGGGAGAAAGTGGGACCCGGCCCAGAGACAGGTCTGGCACCTGGCAAGGCCCAGTTCTGACCAGGAGAGCAGGATGACACGACTGTGGCGCATCCTTGCTCCCTCCACGCGGGACAAACCTGAGGCTGGAGGCTTTCTGGAAGGAACACCGAGGCACCTGCCCCTCTGCTGGGGGCACTTTGCACATCCAGCCCCATAGGCAGCAGCCACAGTGCTGCGTGCCAGGGGTGGTGGTGACGGGCTGTGCCCAGAGGGGTGGGCAAGGGGAGGGACAGGGCGTGGGCAGCATCCCAAGGGGTGGAAGTACCTGCAGCCCTTGCTGCCCGCTCCCTGTCTTCTTCCTCAAGCGGGTCAACCCCTAGCTGGGATGTGCTGCAGGGGACATCTGGGTGCTGATCCCACGCTGACCACTCCTGCCTGCCCCTGGCATCTGCAAGGCAGAGAGCAGGAGAGGGCAGGGCCTTCTAATGGGCTCTGTCAGCACCTGCCTGGGGCACAGCACAGGGTCAGATCCTCTTAGACAGAGGGGGCTGCATGCCCAGAAGTGCCACCATCATGGGAGGACTGTCCAGCTGCAGGTGCTCATGGGAACAGCGTGGCCTGTGCCCAGGGCTCTCACCTGAGGGGGTAGCAGGGGCCGCATCTTCTGGTTCTTCCCATAGGTCCTGTTAGGAGACATCGTCCTTGGGTGAACAAGTGTGCACGGGGTGTCACTGTCCATGAGCCCCGAGGAGGGGTGGACTCACCCAGGAGCTGAGCAGAGGGGAGTAAGCTTCTTGGACGCTGCGGACGAAGCCCCTGCCTCTGGACTGGAGCAGGAATTGGCACCTGAAGAGATTCAAGTCCCTGTTAGGGACTGTGGATTGCAAGCGTGAGAGCCCTCTGGGGCTGAGGCCAAGTGTGGGGCCCCTGCCCTTGGGCGCTCGCTGCGAAGGCTGTCTTGGAGGCAGGCCCCAGGCAGCAAGGGAGGCTTGGTAGCAGAAGAATTTCCCCCCACAGCCCTTCTGGAGAGGGGTCCCGTGTGAAAAGTGGGGATGCCTGCTGTCCTCGAGGGGCAGTGGGGGATGTGAGGCAGGGCCAGTCTTGGTCTTGGCTGACAGCTCCCCGAGGCCCTTCCCAGCCCAAGCCCTGGGGTTGGAGGGGTCAGACCGGCCTTTACCTGGGGAACCACTTGGCGTGCTCAGTCCAGGGGTCATCCCCATGCTCCCAGCTCTGCAGGCCCCCACAGCAGAAGAAGCACCTCACCTTGTCCTGCTGGCCTGTGTAGAGTAGAGTCCTGCAGCAGAGACTCTGCCCAGTCCCTGCATGTGCTGGGAGCCCTGCCTGGGCCAGCAACCCTGGGGTGATCCCTCCAGGGCTATAGGAGCTGGGGTGGGCTTGGGGGGCAGCAGGAGGGTGTCTTTCCTTCCAGGAAATCAGTGAGGGGCAGGGTACTCCAGGACCCTGGTGTGTGACTTCATGGCACCTCATTTGTCTCAAAAGGAAATGGGGACAACGTCTGGGGCTTGTGCCAAGAAGCAGAAGGATGTTCAGGGAGGGGTCGAGCCAGCCTTGGTGCTGTTCACAGTGCAAGTGGCCTGAGGGGCCCTGGGAGCCTGGGATATCTGTAGCCTGGGAGCTTGGGGGTCCCCTGGGTGACTTTGGGGTTCCCAGGATGGATTTCCAGTGATGGAAAGAAAGGGGTGGCCCCTAAATGCCATCCTGGTACCAGGCTTGGTTTTAGGGGCTCCCTCCCTCCCTTGTCTTCCCCATGCAATCCCACCCTCACTGTGGGTCCTGCCTCTTCCAAAACAAAGGTCACAGCCCCACAGCAGACACCAGGGCCCTCAGCCCCCCTCGTCACCCTCACCTCCGCCTACTGGCCCTCCCACCCAGTGTCCAGCCTGGCCTCTTGTAGACAGTACCCACACAAAGACTCCCACACAAGGGCCCTCTGGGCCCTACTACTGTGGCCTGCAGCTAGGAAGGGGCAGAGCCAGACCTGCATTCCAGCTTGAGCATGCTGCCACCTGGTGTAGACAACTAGAATGGGCTCTGGACGGACTTTGTTCAGAGTCAGACCTAAGCCCCAGCCTAGTGTGAACCCTGTGGGAACTTCTCACAGGCTGAGCAGTGGGTGATGCTCCTGCCTGCATCCTGATTTTGTCCCCTAACCCTCTGTCACCCTGGGACGTGGCATGGACCCTGATGCTACTGCAGACCTTAGGGCAGCCTCTGTCCCTACAGACCCACCTGAACCATGTGCAGCAATAAACCCACAAACCCTACATGCTGAGATGCCCCTGACCAGGGCCAGAGTGCCCTCTCCCCTGTGCACTGGGTTCTCCTCACAGTGAGCCTAGGGGGGTGGGCACCAGGGTGTGGCCAGGGAGGGATTACAGGACCCCACTCTTCACTGGGCAGGACCCCCTGTGTGGGATGGGCAGGGTCCTGAGGCTGGAAGGGACTGGAATAGCACCTGGCCCTCAACAGGACGGACTCCCCTGACCCAGGACTCACCTGTGTGAAAGAAGCCGGCAGCAGCCAGTAGCTCGGGCTGAACCCCAGTGGCCAGTGGCCAGTCACAGAAGGAGGCCAGCCGCAGCTCCTCGGAGCCCATCCCAGGGAAGGCAGGCTGCACAGACGAGGTGGCCCCTGTCCCCTCCTCCTCACCCTCCTCTGTCAGGGGGCGTAGCTGGCCCAGGATCTGCCCATCCACATGGTCCTGGTACAGGACACGGGAGCACAGACAGGGATGTCCATGCTGCTCTTGCCCAGGGTCATTGCTAGCTGCCCAGTAGTCTGGCTCTGGGTCACAGCGCAAGCACTTGGTCCTGCCCTCAGGCCCCATGAGAGAACACCAGGCCTGGCCAGGCCTGCCTGAGATGACAGCCAGCCCTGGGATGTGCCGAGTATGCCCAGCTGGCTTGCCTCGGAGGTCGACCCTGGACCTCCCTGGGAACAGCAGTGGCCTCTATCTTGCCACAGATGACTGGACAAGGGAGTGTCCGGGAGCCTGGCCCTTTCTGGAAGGGACCAGAATGACAGTTGGGTCATGTGCTCTCTGCAGCAGGGCATCACAAGGCCCTCTAGTGTGGGCCACAGGTCCCCCTCCACCCTACAGGACAGCTAGCAAAGGGAACAGAGGGGAAGGACATGGAACAGGGGGACCCCTCCAAGGGCAGCCCCTGGGGGCTGGCCTGAGCCTCCAGGCAGGGCAGGAAGCAGCAGGCCCTGTTGCCAGTGAGCTCAGGGCTGGATATCTGGGTGTTCAGGTAAGGACAGGGCACTTCACCACGAGTCCACAGGAGGGGGGACAACACCTAGAGGAGGCCTGGCCACAGGGTGCCTGGCACTAGGTAGGGAATGCAGAATGGGGGTGGTTACCTGAGCACCCCCGAACCCTGGGAGCACGTGCATCTCTCTGTGCGGCCCAGAGCCACACAGCAGGAGGGCACGGGGATCGCAGAGCACCTCTCATCCTCTGGCCATGAAGATCCTGGGCCTTTCGCATGATTCCAGGGAAAAAGCCAGACCTCAGCTGCCCCCACCTTCAGCCTCCCTGAGTGGAGGAGGACAGTGGACTCTGCATGGGTCAGGCTGGGACGGTGAAGCTGAATGCTGGCCCCAGTGCAAGGTTTCCACGGAAACTGGAGTCCCCAACGTCCACTGTGATACCAGAGAAGCTAGAAGAGCTGCAGTTCTAACCCCCTGCGCCTGCCACACCAGCACTGTCCGATGTTCCCTCCTGGGGCTTTGTGGAGACCTCTGGTGGGCTCAGCTCCTCTCTGCCTCAAAGCTGGCCCACCTCCCTCAGGCTTGGCCAGTTGTTGCGGGGCTGGCCCTTTGGTCTGGAGGAGCCTGAGGTTTGGACTGTGTTTGCTCTGTGCCTAGGTCTAAGTCACTGTCCCCAAAGTCATCTGCCTGCACCTGGCATGGGCTTTGATCACACCTGGTCACCGACCAGCTCCAGCTCAGGGGTTAGCGTGACAGGAGGAGGGCAAAACCCCAGAGAAGCCCGCGCTCCCAAATGGCCAGGATCGGAGTCCTGGGACCTGGGGAGAAGCGCTGAGGAAGACCTGAAGGGGTACGGCACCTCCTCCTCCCCAGCCCCAGGAGTCCGGTGTTGGGGTACCTGCTCAGCATGGGGAGTTTTAAAACAGGAGTAGAGAAAGAGGAAAGCCACCCCCAGCGGGGGCCGCACCTTTCCAAGGGTGGAGGTGAAGACCATCCCTGCGCTCAGCAGGGCTTGTAGAGGAGTGCTCAGCTTGTCTGAGCCCTGGGCCGACACCCTGCCTCTCTGACTTTGCTTGTACCAGCTGCTCAGTCCTGAGGTTGCCCAGCTCCCTGCAAGACCCTCAGGGCCTCTCCTTTCAGAGGCTGGAGCCATCTGTTCCCCTGTAAATAAAGACAGTTTTGGCTGGAAACCTGCTGCGTGACCTGGGCCCCTCCAGGCTCGAGAACACCACTGGGGCCCAGGTCCGGGCAAGGCTTAGGGTGAATGCAGATGAGGGGTGCTCAGCCGGCTGCTCAGCAACTGTGGGACGGCTGTGAGGGCGCAAGGGAGTTAGGCTGGGTGCAGTGAGGAGCTCCTCAGCAAGCTTATCCGAGGGATGAAGGTCGCTGGGCCTTCTCCCTCTCGGTCCTCTAGTCCTTCTCAGCAAAGTGCCTGGTTCCCTCGGGTCAGAATTCCGGTGACTTTTGGCTCCTGCACAGATTCATGGACTGCTGACTTGGTCCCCAGTGTGGCAATGTTCAGATTGGGGCCCGGAGAGATGATCAGGGATTAATCCATCAATGAGATACCATCTGCTGCCACGGTTGGGAGGTGACAGACGTGAAGTTGGCCCCTGGCTGAGGGAGTAGGGCCTGCGGCATGACCTTGGGCAGGCACTGGTCACTGGTCCCTGGCCTGTCCCTCTGTCTGTCCTGCTTTCTCTCTCCATTTCCACTGCCCGTGGTGAGCAGCTTTCTCCCACCACACCTCTGCCTGGCTAGAGTATTAATTAACAACAATGGCGCCACCGCTCAGGACTGAAAGCCCTGCAGCCAAGGGCCAATGAGGCCCTCCTCCTCCAAGATGTTTCCCTCAGGCATTTAGTCACAGGGACAAAAAGTGGCTAACACAGCCACTCTTAGCACCCACCCCTGAGGCTATGGCTGCATGTCCCCCCAGCTCCCAAGTCCTCACTGTATCTGGGGACCCTTGAGGGGCGGGGAGGTGCCCGTCTCCTGTCTGCTTGGGGCCGGGACAGGAGATGTGATTTCTATTACTTCAGAAAATTCCAAACTCAAACTACTTTTCCAGTTTCAAAATGGAAGGAAGGAAACTTCATGGGGCCGCATGGTGGGAGCTGCGCAGGGAGCTGACCCGTGGTAGACAGTGGAGCCGCCAGGGGCTGCTCCTCTCAGGGGCTCCCCCTCCCCCACCCCCAGAGGCACAGGAGAGGGAGAGGCCAGGCAGACACTGTAGCTTCTGCCAAATGTGGCTGTGGTTGAAATTCCTGAAGCTGGAACTATCCACGTGTGCTTAGACTGTTACATGGTCATTCCAGAAAGCTCAGGAATACTGAGAATACAGTGAAAACTACCGCATGGCCCGCCTCTGTGGGTCGCATCAGCACGCTTCTGGATTCACTGTGGGTGTGGGGCCTGGTGTGGCTCCGCAGCTCTGAACCCACGCTGACTTCAGACAATGGCTATTTCGTCCTGCTGCGTCCTTCTGGGCGTCCTTTCAGGGAGCCTGCACATCTGCTGTGCTCTTTGGCTGTGGTCTCATTCTGTGTGGCACCTTGGTTTTCAGGATGAGGGAGCCCCATGGCCCACTGTGACCACTTGTCCTCCAAGGCCTGACCAGCCAGCTCCTCAGGAAGGAGACACCGGAGAATGGGGTAGAGGACCCCGGGTCGGGCTGGCCCCGGATTCACAGGGCTTTGCTGCTGTTGCCGGAGCAGTGAGCTCCTGTTGTCCTGAGTGGCTGGAGCCAGCTGGGTGGGTGGCAGCCCCCATGGTGGGTGAGCTCCCCACGCAGAGGCCTGGGTGATGAGGGCCGGCCTGCTGAGGCAGGTGAAGACTCACTTCTCCTAGGCACACCCTCCTGGCAGCTCCACTGCCCCAGGGCCGCAAACCCCCAGCTGAATGAGCTCTGGTTCTACTGGAAGGTGGCTGGGGCCGGCTCCCCAGGGCCGGTGGGCAGGCTGGCTGGACATATTTCTATGCTATGCTGGGGTCTCGGGAGGGAACTCCAGAGAAAGAATCTTCTTCAAAGCTGATGCCTGAGCCGTCACCCTCAGAGGCTCTTCGTTTTTGCTTTTCCTCCAGCAATGTTTTGTGAGTCATTAGCACTTTGGTGTAAGCTAGTCTCAACTTTTTCAGGACGGGTATATTGGGCAAGGCTGGGATTAATGTGGAGTAAGAGACGGAGCTGAACTAGAGCCCGGGGAGGGCAAGATAATCTGAGGCTAAGGGGAGGGCAGTTTTTCTTTCAGCTAGATGCTACTTTGCTTTAGGAGACCCTGGGGGGGGGGAGGGGCCCTAATTCAAATTGTGTCGGTCCCAGCACTAAGTGCACAGTGGCAGGCCCTCTTGGAGTCTCACATCGTGCTCTGATTAGATATGGAACTTGCACCATTTCAGAGGTGAGGAAACTGAGGCACAGGGAGGCACGCAGGGTTTGCTGTGAGCTCAGAGGTAGGAGGGTCCCCAGGGAGGCAGAGCACAGCTGGGCTACATAGGCCCCAGGTCTCATGGGGCTCCCCAGAATCTGGGGTCCTTGGGGTCCCTGCCTATCTGTGTAGAGCCTCCCAGGGCTCCAGCCTGCCCGCCTGGGCCCCTTCCTGGACTTGCTCCCCTGGAAGGAGCCTCAGGGCCACACAGTGGGGAATGGGGGCTCTGTATCAAGGGGCACTGGGGTGCCTGCCTCAAGCCCTGTCCCCGCCTCTCTCCTGGCCAGGGCCCGGGCATCTCTGTTGGAGCAGCTGAGCTGCCCCCTTCTCTTCTGTGTTCCCAGAGCGAGGCCTTCAGCGACTGCAGGGCCAGATGTGTGAGTCCCCTGGAGGGGCTGGGGCCTCCAAGGCTGGCAAGGGTATGGCGTGGGGTAAGGGGCAGGGAGGGCAGGAGCAGAGCACCCTGAGGCGGCTTGCCAGCCACACCTACCTGGGGCCCTCAGGCCCTCAGAGGCAGCCTCTGCAGGGCCTGCCTGGTGGCCCATGCCATGTGTGACCTCTCTCAGACCGGGAGCTGCAAGCTGAGCTTCCCACTGATGCCCGCAGTGACCAAGCTGGCACTTGAAGAGCTACAGAAGATTATGGACCAGAGGGTGCACGGTCCCATAGCGGTGAGAGCACAGCAAGGCTGTGTTATGGGAACACCGGAGCCCCCACAGCAGACCCTCAAACAGCCCGGGCTCAAGCGCCAGGAGGAGGGGCCACCGCGGATGTGAGTGTGCTCCTGAGGGCTGTCTCCCTGGGCGCCTCCCAGGCCTGGGGACCCGGTGTCCAGCCACAGGAAGAGCACTGGGCAGCCTTGCTCCTGCAGGCTGGAGAGAATCGCGGACAGAGCCCTAAGAGGCCAGCAGGGGGCGTGCGGGAAAGGCGGGCACAAGGCATTGCGGGCCCCACCTGGGCTTCTCCCCACAGGCTGGGCTGCGCCGGGCAGGCCAGGATGCGAATTTGGTTGGCTGGGGGACACAGTTGGGCAGCTTTTCCTCGAGTGCAGCTGTCTGGTCTGCACCTCCGGGCACCTGCAGTGGTGCTGCCGGACGTGGGCCCTTTGAGTTAGCCGTATTTCCTGGGCACGTGTGGCTGGGCTGGGTTCCTCAAGCTTATTCAGCATTGCTGCGCCTTGCTCCCT